CGTCCGTGACCTGATGAGTGGGGAGACGCGAGAGAGGATCTGCCTGCGTGTTCGTCTTCCCAGGCTTGTGGGTGAGGATGAAGTCGAAGCGTGCCAACCAGATTGACCATCGCGCTTGCCGCCGTGAGAGATGCTGAGCAGTACGCCAGTACTCGAGGTTCCGATGATCCGTGATGATCTCAAAGGGATCTGGAAGGCCCTCAAGGTAGTGGCGCCAGTCCTCCAATGCTCGGATGATCCCCAAGAGCTCTCGGTCATAGATCTCGTAGTTGCGCTCTGCATTCGACATGGACTCTGAGCGGAACGCGATCGGGTGCCATAGGCCGTCGGGGAGCTTCTGGAGCAGAACACCACCCGTTGCAAATCCAGAAGCGTCCACCTCGAGTCTGGTGGGTCGATCTGGTGCCCATGTAGCGAGAACCGGTTCGCTGATGAAGGCGTCCTTGAGCGCGCGGAATGCCTGACGCTGCGCGAACTCCCATGTCCACGCGACGTCCTTCTTCGTCAAGTCGTTCAAGGGACGAGCCAGCCTAGCAAAGTCCTTGATGAAGCGACGATAGAAGTTGGCAAATCCAAGGAAACCGCGCAGATCTCGCAGGTTACGAGGATCTGGCCAGTCACGCACGGCTTTGACCTTCACCGGGTCCATGCCGACCGAGCCCTGACGGATCACCAGCCCCAGGTACTCCACCTCCTCCCGCTCGAACTCGCACTTCTCAGGGCGCAGGTAGAGGTCGTGCTCCTCCAACCGCTGAAGTACTTCATGAACCAGTCGACGGTGCTCCTCTAGGGTGTCCGTGAAGATGAGGATGTCGTCCAGGTACACCGCTACCTTGCCCTGCGCAATGAGATCCGCGAAGATCGAATTCATCAGCGCTTGGAAGGTGGCCGGCGAATTGGTGAGCCCGAAGAACATAACCTTGGGTTCGAACAACCCTCGGTTAGTGACGAAGGCAGCCTTCCATTCGTCACCCTCCTTGATCCGGACGTTGTGGTACCCCCAGCGCACGTCGAACTTGGTGAAGTACTTCGCTTCTCGCAGCCGGTTCACAATGTCTGAGGCGAGAGGAAGCGGATAGCGGTTCTTGACAGTGACGTCGTTCAGCTTCCGGTAGTCCTGTACTAACCGGAGCTTCCCGTCCTTCTTTTTGACAAAGAAGACTGGAGACGCCATGGGGGACTTAGAAGGTATGATGTATCCCTTGCACATGTTGTCCTCCAGGAACCGATCCAGCTCCTCCTGCTCGTTCAGCGGCATGGGGAAAACCTTGGAGCGGATCGACTCAGGCGCATCAGGCTTGAGGTCGATCGCATGGTCGTAAGGTTTCGACTCAGGGAGACGCTCTGATTCGACCTCGGAGAACACCTTAGCGTGGCGTCGATACTCCTCCGGGACCATCTCCTCAAACGTCTTCTGAGGTTTCCCCTTGTTGGCAGCCTCTGCCAGCTGCGTCGAATAGGTGTAGCCCGCCGCACACCACACCTCCTCCCTCGCATCCTCCAACACTCCTGCCTTCTGCCACTTCCGTCGCTGTGCCCGGTTCGCGTTGATCCGCTCGAACGCAGGCCGTTCCTCCTCGTCCTCGTCCGTCTCAATCCGCATTTCTCCCTTCTCCCAGTCTATCTCCGGATTCACCGTACGTAACCAAGGCAAGCCAAGAATCATGTCCTCTGGTCCCAGATCTGTAACTAAGAAATTGAGACGCTCGCTATATGTACCCATACCTAACGTAAGCCTTGTGAAATGTGTAATACTACCTGCTTTGTTCTTTGTACCGTCGATATTGTGCACTGTGATCTCCTTGAACAACGGGTGCACCGAAATACCATGCCTATCTATGAACCTTTTACTAACAAAAAGCGAAGTCGTGCCAGAGTCAATCATTGCTGCGGTCTTAACACTCTTATCGTTTCCTTTTACTATCACGCTAGTGCGAAAGTGCGAACCAGATCGATTTGCTTCAGGTATAGTACAGCTATCTACGGTATCGTACGCGCTAGGTACAGGTTCAGGGAAAGAAGAAGAAGAGACCTTGGGTGGGGGCGCCGCTGCCGCAGCTCTTAAGCGGGCCCGTTCGGAAAAGACTTTTGGAGCAGTTCAAGCTCGCCACGGAGGATCTTCTGCTGCTCCGTCATCTGCTGCATCTGCTCGAGGATTGCGTTGATCCCCTGCACATTGGAGTTCGCCGTTGAGGTCGACGCGACCGGGCTGTCCTCGGTGGTAGCTGCAACGCGCTGCTGACCGCCCAAGCGTGGCCTGCCCAGTGCCTTGCTCTGGCAAACGCTCTCGCGATGGCCACGGCCTCCGCACCAGCGACAAGTCTCGTTCGAGTGGTTGCCGTCCTTCTTCTGGTGGTCGGTCGCACCACAGCCCCAGCACCTGCCGTTCATCGACCGCCTGAACTCGCTCAGCTTGGCAGCATCAATGTCCATCGCGTCGGGGTCACGGGACATGCGCGTGGTCGAGGGAGTTGCCACAGATGCGAACTGCCCGGTGGCGGTACGAGGGACAATCGGGGTTGCAACAGACTTGCCCTGTTCGCGCGCACGCTCAGCTTTGCGTGTGCGAATGCGCATGTCGAGGTCCGTAGCGACCTGAACGAGGTCGGGGAGCGCAGCAGTGTTGCGAGCAGTATGCACCAACTCGTCTTTGATCTCCGAGGAGAGGTGCTCGTAGAACCTGTCGCGGAGGTCGGTCTGGCTGTAGCCGGTCCTGTCTGCGAGCTCATTGAACCGCGCGTAGTACTCGACGACGGAGAGGCTATGCTGGTGAAGAGCCTGCAGGGCTGCCTTCGCGTCGACTGCCTCGTCGGCCGTCTCGAATCGCGTTTTGAACGCCGCTCTGAAGGTCGTCCAGTCGTTGTTGAACACGGCCAGCCCGTTACCGATCATTTCCAGGTAGGGGGTAGCCCAGATCGCAGCGTCATCGGTGAGGAGAGTGAGAGCCGACTTGATCCACTTCGCGTCGTCGCGATCGAAGCCGCCCATGGCGTTGGCAGTGTTCAGATGGCCTCCCATCTGCATCGCATAGACTTGGAAGGACGCTACGAAGCGGCGTACATCCGAACTGGTCTTGCCGTTGTACGGCTGGGGCTTGTTCGCGACCTTTGTCGCATCCTTCGTGGCTTGGGTGTTGACGTTCGAAGCCACCGTCGCATTTGTCATAGCTTGGGGGAGGGTGGTGGACAGGTTCTGGAACGCGGTTGCCAGATCTGTCACCGCCTGGGTAAGGTTGGCCTGTCCGGCAACCAACTGCTGCTGGTTCGCGGTGAGGGCCTGCATGAGGGCCTGAAACTGCTGGGCATCCATGACTAGGGGTGGGATAGGAGTGTGCGTCTCGTCGAATCTAGCCCTGCGGGTCGTGTAGGTGACAGGGGTACGGATATGGGGACACGGTTGGTCGTCGCACTCTCGCCAGAGGAGGTCGTTTCGCTCGTTGCGGACGATGTGGACGTGCCGGTTGTCTTCAGTGTCAATCGCGTGCTGATGACCTGCGCAAGCCACCGTGCTCTAGGAACCAGGGTACGCTCCGGGGAAGTGAACACCTATTGAGGCTTCCGGGCAGCCAATCAGTCGGGATGACCAACTGCGCGGATAGAGTCGTCGGCCGGGAGCGGGGTAGTGTTCTCAGAGTGTGATACTCGAGCTCAACAGACCCAGGGAGACTGCGATACGCTCAGAGCCTTATAACTCCAGCAGGTATGCAGAGTAGGGGAAGAGCGGGGCGAGTGGCACAGGGTGGGGACGATGCTTGCACAAGTGGGGGCGATCCGATGCTTTGATGCCAGCACTCACTGGTTACATCTCGACCTAATGACGCGGGAGCGGACCGCGAACGCCAATCGGAGGAGAGGGAGGTGTGGATGGGTATGGATAGAGGTTGGATGACCTCGATGTGGTGGTGCAGAGGTGTCGCCGGCACTAGGCGCAAAGCAAACGCAAACTAGAGTCACGCGAGGGATGTCTAGCCCACAAAGACCAAGTTAACATAGCTCTACATACATACAGGCAATTGAGATACTCACCTAGCCCACAAAGACCAAGAGGTCGAGATGAGGGCTAGGACACGAAGTGCAAGTGCTAAGAGAGTCCGCGATACGGGCGCTTAAGCGCGGGAACAACCTTCCAATATAGTAACAGGCAGAGAAAAGGCAGAAAAATGGCGAAAAATAATACATAGGGTGAGTCCAGAGTCCGTTCCACGACAGTGAGTAACTTCATTTTCACGCAGGTCTGTTTCCTGACATTCCTGATAAATGATCTTTGTTTGGGTTATTTGGCAGTTGTGGAATGCGCTGATAGCAGCAAGAACATCCTAATAAACAGTGAGTACATTGGTAGCCTGTACTTGCCCTCTCACTCACTTGTAAAGCCACAAAGGTCTTCAGAAAACTGCTGTCTGGTCGACATGATGGCATGCGATAAGGCACCACCAAATTCCCGAGCATACAGCGTGTCAGAAGAACACCCAGTATTTGTTTTGTGATGGGGTCAGTCAGTATCTCGTTGACTCGTCGGATCTTGCTGATGGGGATGTCTTTGTTCGCATTTCCTCACCTAAACAGTATGTATCGTCCCACGTGACTTTCATCCTGGTTTTGAAGTTTGACAGTCTCACACTTGTGCACCTCTGTTAGGAGCTAGTCTGGCGCCATATTGAAAGACATCGTCTCATCTGCTGGCACTACATTCCGCTCTGTCATAAGGGATCTGAACTCTCCTTTGGTGAAAATGTAAGCTGTTGTGTAACCAAAAGATGCCTTTCACTGACCTTCACACGACCTCTCATGCACATGGCTCAAACCAAGCATCCCCGCAAGTTCTTCATTACGCAGAAGCGCCAGTACATCTGTCCCCGCCTGCCAAGGGGTGATCAAATGGCCTTCATGGTCAGCCATAATATAGCCACCACTGACAAGATGTCTAATGGCGTGAAGATGGTCGAAAGATCAGGCAATGTCCAAGCTAGGTGGGTGACGGTTTGAGTTGATGCTGCGAAGTCAAATGACGAGATTGTAGGGCTCGAACATCTTTGTGGCATACAATGGAGCCGGTCCGAAGCGAAGGATATGGTCGACAATGTGCACGAATAGATAGAACTTTGGCTTGTTGAACCACAACGTGTTCCAACGAACCGCAGCCATCAAGAAGTTTTCGACTGCGGGTTTCAGAGTTGCCTAGGAGGTCATAGACAATAAATCAGCTCTCATCACCGTGTGCCCTCACGGTGCCCACCATGAAATCCGGTACATTGTTGATCTCTGGCTGGAACACCAAGGGTGTGAGCTGACATAACACCATCCAGGCGTTATACACGACATCAGGGACTAGTCCATGGAGGACCATTGGTGCAACCTGGAGGACAACCCGAAAATCTCGCCCTACCAACAAGCCTGCATATTGCACCAGTGTATGCCCACGTGGTGTCGAACCTCCGAGATTGGCCATGTCACAGCTGGATAACTGAGATTTGAGTGTTGCCCGGCCCCCAGAATCTTGCCTCCCCACTGCGTCTCACCACCAGTACTTCACAACACCAAGCAGCACTACATGGAGAATCTCGACAGGCGTGTCACAGTGCGGATCAAATCCTGTGGCATGAGTAAGTTAGCAGCTGACACATCATTGTCCCACAGGCACACACTCACACCAGGAATATCTAGACCTGGATTGAAGAGTGTCTTCAGCATTGTGGCCCGAACATCACAGAAAAAGTGAGCCTCTTGCGCCTTTTTGTCCTCTGCTCCTACGTTGTCTCCATGCCATTGATTGAGTTGCTCTTGCAGGTCATCGAGGACATCAGGAAAACCCCCACTTGCAAATTACACATAACTCGCACTAATGAGCTGTAAATTAGACTATTAGTTTGTTTGTAATAATTGAAGTTCCCCCCCTGCAAATTAGCAGTAGTGTCGCTAATATAGTGCTAATGAGTGCAGACAGAGGTATAATAGAACACTAGTTAGAGGCCATGAGATAGAAATGTTTGCACTTGCATCAGACAATCACACTAAGAAGTACATCAAGACTGAAGATGATATTGATAAGATAACTATCTAATACATGCCTCATACAGACAAACATTATGTACAGCAATGGACAAAAAGGCGCCAGAGGCACATGAGAACCCTTGCCAAGGGGGTAATTTGGGCAATGTAGATGACAAGACGTAGGCGGCAATGTGAGCGAAATAGATGTGGGTGAAGTGGGTGAGGCAGGCGACATATGAGATGTGGGTGAGGCAATTGAGATGGAGGAGGTGAGACACGGGCGAAGTGGATGAGATGAGCGATCCGGGCGAGGCAAGTGAGACAAGGGGGCAAGACGGGTAAGGCAGGCGAGATGGGCAAGGGGCCGAGGTGCGAGACAGGTGAAGCAGGCGAGATGGATAACATGGGCGCGAGGCAGTTGATACAGGCAATGCAGTGACAAGGACGAGACAGATGAGGCAAGCAGGACGCGGGCGAGACAAGCGAGACGGGCGAGGTGCAAGACAGGCAAAGTGGGTGGCCCAGACACAGGCAAAGACGGGCGACGTGGATGTAGGCAGGATGGGCGGCAAGGTGGGCAAGGCGAGAGATAGAGGGAGACAGACAAGGTCGACAATGCAGGGGCTGACCTTCAGTAATTTGCAGGGCACATGTAGGAGGTGGAGGCGGGAGAGGGAACACAGCCCTGTTTTCTCTTTCTATCTCCTCGTTCACACTGAGGGCCGTCTTGAGCAGTATATGGCTGATTATAGGCTTGTTTCTGAGCCAATCACTATATATGTAGGTGTATTAGAACACCTCTTTGAAGGGCTACAAGACAGTATATGTTATGTTATGTATTGTACTTTGCAGCTGCTATACTATAGCAACTACCACTTGGCAGTGTTGACTGGGTTATAGCACTGTGCCTGGGAATATGCTTATGTAACATGCACCGTTCAAAAGCCACTTTGAAAAAGTACTTGGCATAGTTTAAATCATAAGAAACGGACAAGAGATGAGCAATAGAGAGTGCAAGCAATGTTCCCATATGCAGTTGCCTAATAAGGCACGTGAGAAAAGTGTTACATAAGCACCAGCAGCGCACTCTCATCACTGCTGCCACTGCTCCTCCCCTCTTGGGGGACTCTCATCCACCCTTCACCTCTGTTACCTGGCTTTTGGCCAAAGTCAGTGCTTATGAGTAGAAGGATGCCCCTCCACAGTCCCTGTGCTCCTGTATCATGCCTACTCAGTGCACCATTGTGGAGCGGGTGGTCTTGAGCCTGTGATGCCTGCGACATTGCCATTTTGGGTGGCCAGGTTGTTGGAGCACAGACCGAGTTCTGTGTGAGATGGATTCAGCACTCTCTTTAACTCTTTAGTAAGTTTTCAGTGTTTATAGGTACTAACTAGGTAAGTGTTGTCTGCCTAGTTGCTCATCCCCATAGTACTTTGCTGTCACTGTGCCTCCCTCCCCATTCCCCATTACCTCCAGAACATTGCCAGATTGTTCCCAGGTGTGTGCTCTTTCTGTAGACCCCTCATTCATCCCCCACTTCGCATTTTTCATCCCCCTGTGCGCATATTGATGATGTGGGTTGGCACAGTGCTCATGGGCGTCTATTTCAGAGGTGCCCACAGTGCTCCTACATCCACAAGCCTTGCATGCCATCCATCCCTTTCCCATGGTCATTGGCTTCATTTTTGGTAGATAGGCATTAGTAATCCTGCACACACAATCTATGTACTTTGTTTCATCATGTTGTGTCATTTGAGCCCATAACAACATGTTTAGAGCCTGGGACCAGCCACCTAACCCACCTCAGTGCTCATGGGTGCCTATTTTCACACTCATCCACCGCCACCACTGCCAGCTACTGCTAGCCACACCTAGCCACATAAAATTGTCATCTACAAGCCCTGGCTGCAATCCATCCACTTTGGGTCGGGCTGTGCTTCCCAATCTTTGTCAGCAGCCTCTCTCATGCCTCTCCACCATATATGGACACTATTTGCCACTATTTGCCCCCTCCTGCCCCTGCCACAGCTGCCACAGTGGCTAAAAGTGCAGCTAGGTGCCTCTTTTGAACGCTTTTTCAAACTCAGCTCAACTCAGCTAGTCCAGCTGCTGGGTGGTGGACCCCACAGCCTTGGGTTCAATCCCTAGTAGTGCCGCTTTTTTCTCCATGTGGCTGTGCTATGCAGCTCTGGTTGTAACAAAGGGTATTCAGGCTTTGTAAAATCCAATCAATTGCCTAAAGTCCTGATTATATTCATGAAAGCAACTACTATAGAGTGTGTTACTAATATGCTTACAGCTTGGCTTTAAACACATTAGATCAGGCACAGTGTAGATATTATCACTGATTCCTACCAACTTTCAATCACTCCTGTGACCTCAGTTGTTGTCTGTTTGGTGTGATTGTATATACATCAGAAAGCTATGTAGAAGGCCTATATGACTGCAACCTCTTTGTTTTCTCTAGTTCCCTCTTTAGGTGGTCTAGCAATGTAGAATGATAGTGTATATTAAGGCTATTTGCAGCTCCAGCTCACTTCATAGGGAAACCCGTCTCACACATCACTTGCTCGCCATTATCCCACCTCCTCTCCTCACTCCTCCTCTAGGCTTGCCTTCCACTCTCCATCCATGTGGCTGTCCTCAAGCCCAGAGGCTGTGCTGCGGGGTTACGGTGAGCTCCTATGGCCCAATCTCCTCTGGTGAGTGTTATGGCCTGCTCCGACACCTGTCTGGTTACGAGCTTTGGCGTGCACCTGCTATGGACGCTTAGCATACAATTGTCCGCCACCATTAGCTTTATATACCATTCCCACACCTACTGTGTCGCCATGCAATTGCCTTCTGGCTCCTCCCCGTCGCCTCTCCTGTCTCCCCACTACCGCGAGCCTCTCTGAGGTCAAGCGCGTCCTCTAATCTGATCCCGACTTCCTGCTCGTCTCTGACTCGCCTGACCTCCACGCTCCGCGACTGTAACAGTGAGTTTTCCCATGTCCTTGCTCATCTCACACTCACCCTCTTGTTTCCCTTGTCTGATCCCTCATCTTTCTCTGCCTCATCCTTGTCCCGTGCTTCGCTCTCTGCCTCCTCCACCTCAACTTGCCCTCTGCCTGTGGTGCCCTCCACCTCATCACCACGCATCTCTCATCTTGCCTGCGTCACCCGTGTTCTGCCTGTGTCGCCCTCGCCTGCAGCTTGCAAGCCCACGTCCCCCACCTGCCCCATGTCAACCAATCCTCTGTCCACACAGTGCATGCTCGTGCAGTCATTCTGCGGGGTCAGAGTGAGCTCCCGCAGCTCCAGTTTCTTGTGGTGAGTGCTCCCCACTCTCTCTGCCCCTTGTGTCCCCTCCCCCTCCCAGGTTCCGGCCACAGGCAACGCCCTTGCCCACTTTGCATTCACCCTCATCACCCTCGTACTCGTCCACATCGCCTTCATCTGTGTCCCCTTTAGCCTCTCTGCCTCTCCATGTCACCTTTCCGTGTTGCCTCTTCACTTCACCACCTCGCACTCGCCCATGCGTGCCACTCGCGTTGCTTTACCACATTGCCCATCTCATGCCCACATGGTCACGTCTCCCGCATTCGCCTCCACATTGCCTCGCCCATATCTTCACCTCTCCTGCGTCACCTGCATCATGCACGCATTGCCTGTGTCGCCCGTGTTGCCCACCATGCCCTCACCCATCTAGCGCCCTATGTTGCCCTTGTCCACGTTGCCCTTGCCACATTTCCCTCTCTGCATCGCTCACCTTGTCTGCACCCACAGCCCTGTCCTCTGTCTGCTCCACATCCCTCACATCCCCAACCTCGTCCACATCACTCACGTTGTCTGTGTCACATTCTGCATGTCATCACCTCACTCCCTCACACCCACGTCACCTTCACCTGTGTCGCCTACTTCTCTTATATCGCAGTTGTAGTATCTAGAGCTAACAATATACTTACTGTATGCCTATAAAGTAGTAATTATATCAATAAAATACCTTCCCACTGCCTTTGGATGACCATAAATGACCTGAAATACAACAACTGAGTGAGAATAATCCGCATGAGCCTTTGATCCATACTGAGCCACAATCTGCAGCTCAGTTGGCAGCTCAACACATGAATGACAGCTCCAGATTGCGCAGCTCTGGCTCTTCCAGTGGCTCTGATCCATACAGATCTGGATCATCTATAGATTGAGCTGTAAACAGCCTTAGTGTGTATTCTACCTCTGCAAAATCAAATACAGCACCTCAATCTTTGACTATGTTCAGAAGGGCAGCTATAACATAGGGTGTTGTAACTATATGGGCTTTGATCTGCATAGTAAGCATGTTAATACTAGCTTTCACAATGTTTGCACAACTGCTATATATTTTGTTGGTGTCTGTCTATGGTGATAGTAGTAGTGCTGTTTAACACAAAATTCAATATAGTTTCTTAAGGTCTCTCATATTTCTCATTATATTCCATATCTCATTAATTGTTTTCTGCTAGTAATGGCTCACTCCTACCAAGTGGGAGGGGCATGTGGCATGCATCATAGCCACATGTCCTTGCCGCCCACCGAGGCTGTTATGTTCAAGACTTATTCTAGATGGAATACAGCCTAGGCGCTTTGTGGTTACGGTGGCAATGCTCTGGTGCTTGCGTGCTATTGAGTGAGTGTGCGAGCGACAGAAGGATGAGATTTGCGCATAGCTAAGGTAGACATAATATACAAAGGAGATTCAAGTCTGGGGAGGGAGCACTCTGGGGCATCACCCTTATATACAGGGGAGGGAGTGGGGGAGTCATATTATCTACGAGTCATGACAAGTCCTCATGAGATAGTCCAAGTCGCAATGACACAGTGTGACTGGGTATAACCAGGGAGTTATAATAAGACCGAGTGAGTAGAGGTGAGTATAGATGAGTCAGGGTGCGATAGGTACGTATTTAGGGGTCTGCATATTGGGGGAGTGGGGTTATTGGTGGAAATTAAATGGGGGCAGCATACTAGAGTCTGTGATCGTAACAGAGGCGTGTCTCCATGGGCGTGCATCACAGATCACCAGATGCATCTGCACTCTACTAATAGGCTGTCCCAACAGATACTCCTAGTGATTAGCTGCTCGTAGGGACTTTATGTGCTAAACTCTGGTAGGCAAGTGCTATAAGCAGGGTGTAAGTGCCTGACGTGGGAGCGGGCCGCAAATGCCAATCAGAGGAGAGGGAGGGGTAGATGGATGTAGATGGAGGTTGGATGACTGCAATGTAGTGGTGCAGAGGTGTCGCTGGCACTAGGTGCAAAGCAGATGCAAACTAGAGTCACATGAGGGATGTCTAGCCCACAAAGACCCAGTTAACATAGCCCTACATACATACATGCAATTGAGATACTCACCTAGCCCACAAAGACCAAGAGGTCGAGATGAGGGCTAGGACACAAAGTGCAAGTGCTAAGTAAGGGCATGACACAGGTGCTTAAGCGCGGGAACTACCTTCCAATATAGTAAAAAACAGAGGAAAGGCAGGGAAAAGGCGAAAAATAATACATAGGGCAAGTCCAGAGTCCGTTTCACAACAGTGCCTGCACTTCAGTAGTGTAGTGTACAGATGATAAGTTCATAATGCATACGGTCAGTCAAGCCCTTTTTGTATGCATTGTGAACGTGTATGCAAGACGAGATTTGGCGCCTTTCAGGCGCTCATGTGCATGATCTAGCACCTAGGGAACCATAACGTGATTTACGAATGTATGCTATGCCACCTGCCAGGAATAAGAGTGTGAATGCATAGTGATAACAAAATGGGGGGTAAATGTGTATTGAATGGAGGGAATATGCTGAATTACTGACATATGCATGGTTAGAGAGCATAGAAGCACCAAATACTAGCCTCCAGGGACAGCATCACTTGATGATTGCTTATCCCAGCTCCAAATGCAAGCCCTTTTCGTGCAAAAGAAGAGCTGTTTGTGTGTCCCATAAGTAATACATGTGTCATATCTAAACTGAGTGCCAGTTTCAAACCAATAGACTGTCTGAACTGTCCAACATAATATGCAAAATGTCAAGATTGCTGCATGCATTATGCATCAATGTTACTAGTGCATAATGCATGCAGCAATCTTGACATTTTGCATATTATGTTGGACAGTTCAGACAGTCTATTGGTTTGAAACTGGCACTCAGTTTAGATATGACACATGTATTACTTATGGGACACACAAACAGCTCTTCTTTTGCACGAAAAGGGCTTGCATTTGGAGCTGGGATAAGCAATCATCAAGTGATGCTGTCCCTGGAGGCTAGTATTTGGTGCTTCTATGCTCTCTAACCATGCATATGTCAGTAATTCAGCATATTCCCTCCATTCAATACACATTTACCCCCCATTTTGTTATCACTATGCATTCACACTCTTATTCCTGGCAGGTGGCATAGCATACATTCGTAAATCACGTTATGGTTCCCTAGGTGCTAGATCATGCACATGAGCGCCTGAAAGGCGCCAAATCTCGTCTTGCATACACGTTCACAATGCATACAAAAAGGGCTTGACTGACCGTATGCATTATGAACTTATCATCTGTACCAATCACAAGCAATCTTCACCCCCTTTCTGTACAAGGGGTTAAAGTCAAGAGCTCATTATCAGTTTCTACACTCTTGTTGTGTGTATCACTACCATGTCCTACCTTCCCTTCCTTTTCACATGCCCTGATCCTTACTGGTGTCAGTGCCAAGTCACCTCTGAAGAGTTGGTTGCCTTTAGTTACTCACCAACCCCGCCAGCGAGGTTTCCAGTTGCTCTCTGCTCTGGGTCTCCTCCCTCCCCTACCTCTCTCTATATCGGCTTTTACACTCCTGGCTACCCATCTGGGCCATCCTACATCTCCTCTTCCCGGCCTAGCCCCAGCTTCTGTTGGTAGTGGTTTTAGACCTCAGTAAACATCTGGTTGTGGGTTGACTCCTCACCAGAGAGATTACTTGTTATCATAGACCATTTCTTACTCACTTTGCACTTGCTTTCCTATTAGCATTAGTTTAAATTCTGCTTTACACATCATGAGAGCATGTGACTACAACTCATCAAGATGTTCAAAACAGTATAATAGAGGGGAAAGTAGAGAAGTACACATGTGACAAAATATTAGAACTGTGAGAAATGCCAAAACAATGCCACATATACAGTGACGGTCAAAAGTAATGCACACCCTAGCTCTGGCGTCTAGTGTGCTTCATGGCGGGCTCGAATCTCGTCCGTTTGGGACGGTTTCTGTACGTATGGGTAGATATTCTGAATGCGAACCTGTGGGTACTTGTTTGAGAAGATTCGGACTAGTATTGAGCGAGATAGGAGGCAAACTCTGTGTGCCACCTTGTCACAGCTGTCACAACTGTGGGCAGGGGACGACAATGCATGTCTGTAGAAGCAGAACAGCAGAGATCCGAGAGCTGAGATTTATTTGAGGCTTATTTGGAGTCTGAATGATGCTCTGTGTAGAAATTTCAGGCTGTAGAAACTTCTGGTTGGGTCATGTTTGAGCAAACATGGTTTTGAGCTGCCTCAACTCAAATCCGACCATTTGTTCGCACCGGCTCGGTCTGACTGCTACTGCAACAGTATGGAATATTTTTAACATGCTCATAGACGTGATTGATGCAAAAAACCAGAGGATAAAAGGTGCAGATGTGGTTGTAGAAGGTGCACTGTGGTATTGATCAATGTCACACACATCACAAATCGATGTCTAGAACACGACAAAGGACCCTGTGAGGCACGAAACTGCTGTGAGAACTTCCCATAAAGAAAGGCGTTCAGATAAGGCACGCGAGGTTGGCCGCTATGGCTTCGTTGCATGGGTACATACTCAGGAAGTTGCCTGATGTGACATGATCATATTCAATGATTTCCCTGCCTCCATTCTTTTTGCCTTCCTGGCTGTCTGTATGCTGTAATTTTAGCTTGAGCACATTTCAGAGACTCATAAAGTTGATACATACAAATACCATGCACGAATTGCGAAAAACACGGCGAACATGGGACGGGGGATACTTGGTGAAGCCACACATGTCACATCAGGCAACTTCCTGAGTATGTACCCATGCAACGAAGCCATAGCGGCCAACCTCGCGTGCCTTATCTGAACGCCTTTCTTTATGGGAAGTTCTCACAGCAGTTTCGTGCCTCACAGGGTCCTTTGTCGTGTTCTAGACATCGATTTGTGATGTGTGTGACATTGATCAATACCACAGTGCACCTTCTACAACCACATCTGCACCTTTTATCCTCTGGTTTTTTGCATCAATCACGTCTATGAGCATGTTAAAAATATTCCATACTGTTGCAGTAGCAGTCAGACCGAGCCGGTGCGAACAAATGGTCGGATTTGAGTTGAGGCAGCTCAAAACCATGTTTGCTCAAACATGACCCAACCAGAAGTTTCTACAGCCTGAAATTTCTACACAGAGCATCATTCAGACTCCAAATAAGCCTCAAATAAATCTCAGCTCTCGGATCTCTGCTGTTCTGCTTCTACAGACATGCATTGTCGTCCCCTGCCCACAGTTGTGACAGCTGTGACAAGGTGGCACACAGAGTTTGCCTCCTATCTCGCTCAATACTAGTCCGAATCTTCTCAAACAAGTACCCACAGGTTCGCATTCAGAATATCTACCCATACGTACAGAAACCGTCCCAAACGGACGAGATTCGAGCCCGCCATGAAGCACACTAGACGCCAGAGCTAGGGTGTGCATTACTTTTGACCGTCACTGTACCTGCATAGTAAGTTGCTTGTTGTTTATACTTTTTCTTTTCTTTCCTTTGAGTTGATTACATAACTAAGCAGCCTCCAGACTCTAATCCTAGCTCCTCCATTTGCTCCTTGGCAGCTTCTCTCTCATTTTGATGAAGCTTCTTTCGAGCCTCACTAGGAAACCAGTCTTTCATGAAATTGAGTAATGCCCAATCCACATTTGCTAGTATTCATTAGCAGGGGGTCATTGCTTCAGTAAGCAGGGCCACTTACATCGGTTGGCAGAAAGCACAGTAGATGCACGGCACATCGGGCAGTGCTGTTCCCCACGCTTTTGTAGCTTGACTAGACATCTGCCCATAATCATGTTAGTACATTCATTACTCACACAGAGAGCAACTTGTTGGTACCCACCGTACACAGAACAAGTGACCGCAGTGTAGTCGTATGGGCTTGAACGCGAGACTCGTGCAGATGACACAGGCGTAGTCATCAATATGCGGTATGATGGGGAGTAAAATCTCGGTGATGGCCTGTATAAGAACCAGCGACAGTGACAGCGACTCTTCTTGTGAGAGATGCTCTCTGTACGGTGCAACGATGCCCTGGTCATGACGAACGACGAACGGCGAGGCAAGGTCGGGAGCGATCGGCAACGCCGTTCTCTTCGCGTGCTTCTTGAGGATCTTGCGAGTGGCTTCCGATGTGCCGTGCTGCAACTGCAACAACGTCTATGTTGGAAAAACTCAACGAATATGCCCCGGACGCGCTCACCTTCCGCAAATCCATAATGAAAGTATTGAGCTCCACGAACGTCTTGAGCGCAACTCGGCTCTGCTTGAGCTTGAACTTGAGTTCTCCGGACTCCGAGCGTGCCTTCAACCGTCCGTAGAAGGCGTTCAGACGAGCCTCGGCATCTTCAACCGTCCGCTCGCCGCGAAAACGTTCTTGGTGTCCCCGGAAGATGTCCGCGTCCATGTACATCTGGAAGACCTCCCGCCATGTCTCCAGGTCGGACTTGGAGGAAAATGCGAACGGGCGGGAGGACACGGAGATGGTTGCGGCGTCGGACGTGATTGGGGAGTATGCGTGGAAAAGGGGGGATGAGGAGGAGGGCCGAGCAGCACTCGAGATGTCGCGACAAAGCGTCTGGACAGACGTCTCGAACTCGGTCCGTTTCGTAGAGAGATGGGTGGAGAGCGCTTCGAGTGTCTCTGACAGTGTGCGGAAGAAGGTTGCATCGGAAGGGAGGGGGATGATGAGCTCTTGGGGGCTGAATGCACGAATAGTATGGTTCGAGAGAGGCCGGGGAGAGGCAGGACGCTTAGGACACTCACCTATCCACGGGTAAAGAGTCCTCAAACGGTGCAGTATCCGAACGCGACAGGCGAAGGAGACCTGGCACAGCGGATGGCGGGATCGTCAATGCGAACGAAGGGGTGGTAGAGCCGTACTGGGGATCACTCCCGCTGGGGTCGAGATACAAACGCAGCCGGGGCTCTGGACGGTCGGAGTCATTGGCGAACTCGTATACGAGCCTGGGGCCTGACAGCTGCAACGGAGAAGAAAGTGACGATGGAGGAGCCTTGGCCCTTTGTTTTCCCTTGTCTAGCGGCTCCGGAGGGGTATGAACAACGTTATGGAGGACATCCGGAGGGAGGCCTGCGGGAGGGTTCAGGAAGCGCCAGACGGAGACGGCAGCGAGCGCACCTAGCGAGGAAAGCTCGGCGACGACCTGGTTGATGAGTTTTTTGAGCTGGCGATACTGAACGGCAGACTGAGCAAGCTCTGGGGGGAGGGAGAGCAGGAGCTGGGAGTATGTCTTCGCAAAGTGCATGGTCGCCGTGGGGAACAGCCTTCCGCGCCCGTCCGCTCCGACCTCTCCTCCCGCCGCCACCACCCGTCCGCTCGCCGTTATGTCCTGGCGCGGCTCCCTCCGCACGCCTCTCGCCCCCTTCTCAGCCTCTCGAGCCCGCGCATTACCCGTACCTGTGTCTTCCGTCAACCGCGTCGTCTCGCGCGCCGCCGCTGCGCTGCAAGCTGCGCGTGTTCATACCGACTTCGAGTCGTCCACGCGCCCTTCGGCCCTTCCGTCCGTGCTCAGTGTCTCGCGGTCCCTTCCAGATCCTCCGCAGGGCTCATCTTCGAATCGGGAGGGCGAACTGTCTGACCAGGAATGGGAAATACGTACAGGTATGCTTCCAAGTCGCGCCCCGTGAATATACTGATGCTACCTTACAGCTATCCCTTTTCTTTGCTCATATGCCCTCTTCCATACTGTACGCACTTCGAACGCTCTTGCTGGCAATACAACCTTCCTTGTTTCTTCTCACTGGTGTGAAACGCACGCCCAGGACGCGCGATTTATATCCTCCAGCAGACCCTCCCCGACTTCTTCACCACTGGTCTCATCTCATCCCTCGACGAAACCACGCCTGACGGCAAGGACACCTCGATCTACAGCCCTAGCGTCCGTCTTGAGTACACTCCCCCTACTCCCTTCCCTCCCCCCTTCCCTCACACGCTGCACGTAGAAGGTCTGTCCCCCTCACTCACGTTCCATATTATCCTCTTACTGGTCCTTCCAGGTCGCCCGTTGTACATCGGCTCTTCGCTCTTCGTCAAGCACACCCTCAATGCCCTGTACACAGACCTCCACGTAGAACTCCAGCGCGTGCGCGTCCACGGCCAACGTCCGCCCACGAGTCTCCGTCACGGTTCGTCCAGCATCCAGGACGCCCCGCTCCGCTCCCAGACACGCAGCACGCGCGAGAAGAGCCTCTTCGTCGGACTCGTCGTCCGCGGCATTAACCGGGTCAGCGCCGCTGAAGACGGCTGGGAAATGTACGCCTCCGAGCCCTTTCTGGCATTCTCATACCTGTGGCTGACGGCCTAGCAGCAACTCAACGTACACCTTCTCTCCCACCACCGGGTTCATCCACATCCACCGGATTGAGTCCATCTTACCCGAGCCGCACCAAGCGTTCTTCAGCGCCCTCCAGGCCGCGCTGCACAAAATCGGACTACGTAGCGGTTCGCAAGGCGCGGGACCGTCAACCACCCAGACTCGGTCTCTCCCTTCAAGTCGCATATGAGCCCTTGCTCCGGACATGCATACTAGTGGTCTCTATAGTCGAATAGTCGATACTTTTATCGTAGATCACCGCTCCCAGGATCGCTCGCGAATGCGCCTTGGAACAAACGATGACACAGCAAAGAGCAAAACGATGATTTCTATGTTACACATGCCGCAAATCCGCCCAACTGTTCAATGTCCGATGACACCCGTCCACGAATCGATCAAATCCACGACGCAATACCCATTGAGAGGCACGTATTGCTCGGTGATCACCTTGATCGCCTCCTGCGCAACCAGGCCGCCAAGGAAAGCCGCCATGTTAGGGAGGTCCGCAGTCGGTGCACGGACCCTAGGAAAACGGTCAACATCACGACAGACCCATGAAGATTGTAAACGTACAGCTCTCCAACCGCGGCCTCGAGTTCTTCCGGTAGTTCGACGCCGTCACCCACCTGTGCCTTCACTTCTTGAGTGAGGGCTTCTTCGGTGACCGCTGCAATCGAATGCATTTCAGCTGCTTGAGCCAACTGGTGAGATCGGTATACCGTACCTGATCCCTTTGTCTGGAGCGTCGTTAGCGCAGTGAGGGCGAGATGAGTAGCCGTCTCGCGGGGAGCCATCATGAGCGAGTTGGCTTCCACACAGATTCAACGAAGGCATTGATACCCAGCACAGTCTCGCTCACCAATGGCTTCGCGGTCTTTGTCGAAGGCACCTAATTGCTTTCCGCGTAGGACGCGCAAGTGATGCGCGTTCTTGACGAAAGTGTCAACTTCGTCGGGGTTGACCATTTGAGCGGCTTTCGGATGTTTAGAAACAAAAGCCTCCTTAAACTTGGCCTTTTCGGCAAGTTAGTCGAGATGAGGCAAACACAGGTAACACCACGTACCTTTTCCGACTCTGCCTGTTGGCGATAGAGATTCTGCAGCTCGACGTAGCTCTTGGTGTCGGACTTCATATCTGGAAGCGTAGCGCTGATGGGGAGTGTCCCTGTCCCGGCAGGGTCCTTCGTGAACTCCGACAAGGTTTGCAAGAGGGCATGGAAAACCGTGTAGTGGCTTGGGGAGGTAGTTAGCGGCTCCAACGAGAAAAGCGATTGGACTTCTGAAGGGATCTATGTGGTGGTCAGACCATGCAGCTGCAGTCTGGTCCACAACGTACAGCGGGCTCCGACCACACGCGCCATGCCTGAGCCTCGGCTTCCTCAAAGTTCTCTTCATCAGGCTTCATACGCATAGCCATGATTTTCGCCTTGAACTCTTTCTTTTCTGCGGCCGTCTTTGGCAAGTTTCCGTCATGCTGTGAAAGAATGAATACAAAGGTCAAAGGTACGAGAAAGGAGAGCGCATACAGTCTTGCGCCACTCGTCAACTACGCGGACAAGAATGATAACAAACGGCACATGACCGTGCGTCGTCGGATCCAAGTTTTGGAAGTCGAGAGATTGGGCGAGCTGCAGAAGAGCAGGGAATGGACGGGTGATGCGTAGCGAAGGGGCGTTCTCCGAATGTGTCTGGGAGACTAGGCAAGACTGAGAATCGGGCATTCACGAAACCTCGGACGAACGTACCACAGTGCTCGTGATACTGCAAGTGAAACTCAGCCAAGAAGCCGGCGGAGCGGACGGTGATGAGAGGGGGGCCATTTGGGGTGTACCAGAGGAGGTCGGCGAGTCGATGAAGAGGCTCGGAGGCGAGGTTGTGGGTGATGACCAAAGAGAAACCAGTGAGCCACTGCTTGCCATCGTCGGTGTCGAGAAGCTCGGATACGTCCTTGAGGACGGCCTCGCCCTGGACGCTGTCGTTGAGCTCTCGGAGGAGGGGGACGGCTTCCTGGGCGCGGGGCTTTCCGATGGATTCCCGGGCGTTGAGGAAGAAGTTGTTGCCGGCGTCGGCTGGAGTGGTGACGGACGGGTCTAGGATGGTGAAGTGACCGATGCCGGGGAGAACGAGGTTCTTGAGAATGGAGGTGGAAGTGGCGGAGGAGGAGACGACGAGGATGCGGGAGCCCTCGAGGGCGGCCTGGCCTGATGCAGCCCAGATGCTGGGGGATATGAGATGAGGGGTGGATACGCGAGAGGGAGACGAGAACGCACCGGAGCTGGCGATCGTACCGCCGCGTCTTGTCGTCGGGCTGGCCTGGGCTGGGGCGGGTGAGCAAGAGGGGACGGGCGAGGAGGAGGGGACATACGCAATCATGGAAGTGGCCTGTTCGATGTCCTGGGACTCGGTCGTGGACATGGGTGACGTTGGCGTGCGGGCAGATGGAAGGCTGGACGATCGCCCGTGGAGATATACGAGAGCAACGTCTGTGTTCAGATCTAAGCGGGCGGACGGATAAGATGGCGGGCGTTTGGCCTCTGCGCGCCACCGTCACTGACTCCTCCTCGCCGCCCACACCTTCCTGTCCACCGTCGCGTCGCCCGCCCTCCCGCGCGCCATGCACGCCCTCTCTCGCGTCCCCAAGCTCTCTCCCCGCGCACTCCGCTCCTCCTCTCTCGCCCCTGGTCGTCTCACGCTCTCCCCGACTCCCTCTCATTCCTCCCTCGTCCCCGTCCGCGCCCTCACCTCCAACGCCAGCACCGCCCAGACAGACCGGGTATCTATCCTCTCGGCACACCCACAGCCCGCGTTCTAATCCTCTTTGCAGGACACCATCACCCGTCTCCTCTACTCCATTGGCACTAAACGCGAAGTCGAGCGCTACCTCCGCATCTTTTCCTCTTCTTCAGACGCGTCCCACCCCGCAAAGTTTGCCGTCATCAAGGTTGGCGGCGCCGTCCTCGACAACGTAGAAGAGCTCGCGATCAACCTCAGCTTTCTTTACCGCGTCGGCCTCTACCCCGTCGTTCTTCACGGCGCCGGTCCTCAACTGAACACCATCATCGAGAGTGCCGGTCTCATTCCTGACTATATCGACGGCATTCGTGTCACCGGTCTGTTACTCCTCTTTCTCAGCCTACCATGTCCCCCTTTCTCATACCACTCGCCCCTAACCAGATGCCAAGACTCTCCAAATCGCCCGCCGTGTCTTCCTCGACGAGAACCTCAAGCTCGTCGCTGCTCTCGAGAAGCTCGGTACCCGTGCCCGCCCCATCAACTCTGGTGTCTTCACCGCCGACTACCTCGACAAGGCCAAGTATGGACTCGTTGGCAAGATCACCAAGGTCGACAAGCGTCCTATCGAGGCCGCCATTCGCGCCGGTGCCCTCCCCATTCTCACCAGTCTCGCCGAGTCTGATGCCGGCCAAATCCTCAACGTGAACGCCGATATTGCTGCCGGCGAGCTCGCCAAGGAGCTCGAGCCCCTCAAGATCGTCTTCCTAAATGACAAGGGCGGGATGTTCCATGGTGTCACGGGTGAAAAGTTGGACCTCATCAACTTGGACGAGGTGAGTACCTTATGGGACATCGCCTATCGACCTGACTGATCGACTGTGTAGGAGTACGACGACCTCATGAAGCAGACATGGGTCAAGTACGGGACCAAGCTCAAGCTCCGCGAGTTCAAGGAACTTCTCGACCACCTCCCTCGTTCGTCGTCAGTCGCCGTCATCTCCGTCGACTCTCTCCAGCGTGAGCTTTTTACCGACGACGGTGCCGGCACTCTCATCCGTCGCGGCTACAAGCTTCTCCGCCACAACTCTCTTGATTCCATTGGTGCCGACCGTTTGCGTCAAGTGATCAACGACCGTGACCCCGATGTTCTATCCGGCGAGGAGAGCGTTACTGGAGTGCTCAACTCCCTCAAGGACACCCCTTACACCATCTATGGTGACGAGCCCCTTGACGCCGTCGCAATTGTTTCTCACCCCGATGGCGAGGTTCCTATTCTTACCAAGCTGCTCGCATCTCGTGCAGGCGTCATGAACGGCATCGTCGACAACGTCTTCAACGCGATCAAGAAGGACCACCGCAAGCTCTTCTGGACCGCCCGCGCGGACGACGAGAACCGCACCTGGCACTTCGAGCGTGCCGATGGCAGCTTCACGCGTGCTGGCAAGAGTCTCTTCTGGTACGGCATCCATGACGTCCAAGAGATCGAGAAAGCCGTCAAGGACTTCGAGTCCAAGGGCCGCATCCCTCGAACCTACCTCCCTGTTGGCCCCTCGGCTCCCCCTCACAGGCTTGTCAGTGGCCTGGGTGCCACCCGGTCTTACTCCACCGTGGCCCGCCGTCGTATTCCAGGCACCACTCGCGGCTACGCAACTGCTGCTCCCTCGACGGAAGAGAAACGCGTCGCGCTCATCGGCGCGCGCGGCTTCACGGGCCAGGCACTCACTTCCCTGTTGTCCTCTCATCCGTACCTCAACCTCACCCACGTCTCCTCCCGCCTTCTCGCGGGCTACTCGCTTACCAACTACACGAAGTCGCCCGTAACGTACAGCGACCTTTCCGTGCAAGATGTCGAGCGGATGGAGAAGGACGGCGAGGTTGATGCGTGGGTTATGGCGCTGCCGAACGGGGTCTGCAAGCCGTTCGTCGACGCCGTCGACCGGGGCGCGGCAGAGCGAGGGGATGGGAAGGGCGGGAGTGTCGTGGTGGACCTGAGCGCGGACTACCGCTTCGAGGATGGATGGACGTACGGTCTTCCGGGTGAGGCTCCCTCGTCATAAAACTACCTCTCGTGTCCTGTCTCGTGTGTTAATACATCGCCTTCTCCTACTGGCCCCCTCGGTCCCGCAGAACTGTACGGCCGCTCCGTCATCCGTGCCTCCAAGCGCATCTCCAACCCCGGCTGCTACGCAACCTCCACCCAGCTCCTCGTCGCCCCCCTCCTCAAGTTTCTCAAGCCCGATGCCTGGCCCACCATCTTCGGCGTGTCGGGCTACAGCGGCGCCGGAACCATTACTGGGCCCGCCGATCCAGACGGGCGCCCAACGACTGTGGCGAAGGTCACACCCGAGAGCCTGCACGGCGGCCTGCGCCCGTACGCGCTCACAGACCACATTCACGAGCGCGAAGCCGGCCGGCACCTCTCCGTGCTCCTCCCGTCCGGGAAGCAGATCAAGGTCGCGTTCGTGCCAACCGTCGCGCCCTGGTTCAGTGGAATCACGTCCGTGCTGTCGATGCCGCTCAGCGCGCGGGTGACGGCGCGGGACGTACGCGCGCTGTACGAGGAGCGGTATGCGGGCGAGCGGCTCGTCACGATCCGCGCCGACGCGCCGACGCTGCCGGAGATCGCGAACCAGCACGGGTGGACGGTGGGCGGCTTCCAGGTGCACAGCGAGGGGGACCGTGCCGTCGTCGTGGTACGTGCTTTTTGGGGTGTTCTCTGGGGAGTGTGTGAAGTGCTGATGTGATCGTTTGCAGGGCGGTTTGGACAACCTCCTCAAGGGAGCTGCGACTCAGTGCCTTCAGAACCTCAACTTGGCTCTTGGTTACGACGAGTTGGCAGGTATTCCTGCTCCCAAGGCCTGAATCTTGGACTAGCTCCCTCGCTAACAGTGCTATCGGTCCGGTAATGCAATTACTAGGCTATAAAAGTATCCATCTATGTAATGTTCGCGAGTGTGCATAATGGTGTAGAGAGAATGATGAGTGCTTAGGCGAACGTGCGAGTATAATACAGTGCGGGATATAGGAAGGATTCGTATTCAATGGACTAATGAGAAACCACTACCTTGGACTGGTGACTGTGCCCGCCGCATCACTCAGTCAATGCCCATAACTCCTCGCTCGAATCCCCCACCTCCTGCGCCTTCACGGGTTCTGGTCGTCGCGCCGACATCGTCAACCCGGACCCAATCCTGAAGCCAGTACTACGCGGTGCCCGTGCGACTGGTTCTGCAGGGTCGGGGACCTGTGAGTCCGCCTGCGCACTGCTCATTCCAGCAGCTGCCGATTTGCGCACAGAGGGGGTGGAGGCTGGCGGGTTCGCAAAAGGCGTCCTAAAAGCCTTCTTGGCGTTGTATGGTTTGATCGAATGGCCGGGGCCGTATCGATACGGCTTGGGGCGCGAGGTGCTTTGAGAAGGGAGGGCGGATGTTGACGTGGCTGCCCGGGGCTTTGGCAGAGGAGGCGGCGGCATAGCAGACTGAGATGGGTGGGGTTGAGACTGAGAAGCATTGCTCGAGCTTGGACTATGGGCCGGCGGACCGGACGCTGGGTCGAGAGATGTGTGAGAGGCACCGGGACTGCGATGGAGTAGGTCCTGCGAAGGGCCGGCTACGACGGGCGACGAAGTTTCCGGTGCGCTTGCAGAGCAAGCAGGAGTGACGACAGGCTGATAAGATGGAGGACTTGGAGTGATCGACACGCGCTGGAATTCGGTCTCTAGCGGTTGGGGTGAAGGCTCCGGGTCTGACGTTCGGGAGGATTCGCCCGTAGATCGGCTTTGTGAAGTCTCGGCAGAGCTGGTGTCTCTGCGATACACCGCTCTAGACTTGCCCTTCTTGTCCTGCCGCTCCGAAGACGATACCTTCTTAGACGAGGATGGCTTCGTAGAGGAAGATGTCTTCGTGTGAGATAGCTGTGCCTTCTTCTTGAGGTCGGCGCGCTCAGAAGTGTGCGCCTCTGCCAGAGTTCTTTTTGAAGAGTCTAGAATGAACCGCGAAGAACGCATCAACTTTGCTTTCTTGTCCGAATTGTTGTGACTTTCGTCGCTGACGTCTTTGACCATGCTGTGAAACTCGGGGAGCGCTGTGGGAGTAGGTCCGGTATCCTCTCCACGAAATATTCGGCGTTTTCGACACGGATGGTTGGCAGAGACCGGGTTACGAACGGCTGGGCCAGGAGATTCAGAGGGGGGTTCTGGCGTCTTCGGGAGGAGGTCAACGCCTAGATCAAGGTGGTCAGAGAAACGCCCGCAGAACATGTGATTGATATTTACTGCTTTGTCGGATGCTTGTGGCCAGTACGTTCTGTCCTTCCAACTCCCATTCCACTCGAGGAATACCTGACTGGGAAGCCACGGGCAAGTCGTAGGGGGGCTGAGAGCTGTACGGGTGGCCTGACATGGTGCTGCGCACCCGTTGGAGCACGTTCACAAGCGGGCGACGAGAGCTGTATCCAGCACTAGAGTGAGCCACCAACGAAGGGAGTGAAAGGGAAGAACGAGGCACTGACGCTGAGTCGGGTAGACAGGGCATGCTCATTGTCAATGCCGCTTTGAATGGGTTGCGGGACTGCGACAGCTCAATGAAACCGTTCGGAAAAGTAGGAAGACCTGAACGCGAGGTTCCGCTCTATTTTTCGATGACCGTTGAGCCAGTCTGAGCGCAAGAACGCGGGTTGATGGTCGTACTTGACTGGCAGACGTGGGTGAGAGCGCGTCGTTGAACGCGTCCAAAGTCCAGGAACATCCAGGTCACGGGACCAGCGCGACGCGAGTCCGGCCCGAGCGGGACGCGCGCCAACTACTTCGGTGAGGCAAACTTGTTTGGCGTAGCAGGCTCCTTCGCCTCGGAGAGCAGTCGCGTCAGAGGTCCAGAACAGCTCTCTGCAGTCACTCGTGATTTTCCGCATGAAACACGGCGCAGAGGCGGCGACACGACGTCGGCGGCGGGCGACGACAACCGCACCGGGCGCCTCCCTTTCCATATCGGGGACGCTAGGACGCGTCCCTCCCGCCCTCCGCGAAGGTCACCGTCCGCCTCGTCCACCTCGTCCTCCGCTGCCCACCCAACATCCCCCTCCCCTCTCTCTTCCTCCCCGCTTTTACCCCTCTTGGGGCCTCGGATAATGCCGGCACCTAGGCCGTCTCAAAGCGCAGAGGCCGCTCGTGCCGCAGCCGCCCAGGCCGAATTCAACGAGAAGAAGTGGGTCTGGGTTCCCGACGACAAGGATGGATACCTCGCGGGATGGGTTGTACGTGAAGAAGACGATGTCGGCGAGATTGTTATGGCTGCTGGAGGCGACGTTCGTGTGGTATGCTGCGGTTCTCGTTCAACATGTCTCACCCCAGTGGCTCCAGATCCGCAAGGTCCCATTATATGCGCTCTCGAAAATGAACCCTCCGAAGTTCGACAGAGTGGACGACATTGCCCATCTCACCTTCCTGAATGAAGCCAGCGTGGTTCACAACCTCCGACTACGATATGGCTCTGGCGCCATCTATGTTTGTTTCCCTTTCGATCGCACTGCGTAATTGAACTTGACTTGCATGTTCTCATCTAGACCTACTCTGGCCTCTTCTTGGTGGCCATCAATCCTTACCAGTCCCTTCCACTCTACTCCGATGCCATCGTACATCAGTACCGAGGAAAGCGCCGTGATGAGAACCCTCCCCACATCTTCGCGGTGGCCGAACGGGCTTGGGTAAACATGGGCGAAGAGCGGGAGAATCAGAGTATCCTCATCACGTACGTGCTTTGTCCGTGTCCCTAAATAATCAACTCATCTGTCTGCAGTGGCGAGTCTGGTGCAGGCAAGACCGAGAGCACGAAGAAGGTCATCCAATACCTTGCAGCTATCGCGACCGACGCACACGCTCCTTTGACCCCCTCGCATTCTCATTCTCCCTCCCTCTCAAATCCTCCCGCTTTCAACGCCGTTGTGCCTTCCGTCGGACTTCCCCGGAGTAGTTCTCTGCGCAAACACACCAAAGGCACTTCCGTCGGGGGTCCCGGGTCCGGATTCATGACCTCCAAAGGACGTCTAGGCCTTCTCGAGCGCCAGATTCTTCAAGCCAACCCCATCCTCGAAGCGTTCGGTAACGCACAGACCCAACGCAACAACAACTCAAGTCGTTTCGGCAAGTTCATCCGTATCAGCTTCTCCCCAGACGGCAGTATTGCAGGCGCGAACATCGACTGGTATCTCCTTGAGAAGAGCCGAGTTGTCGTTCGAAGCGAGGCCGAGCGGAGCTTCCATGTTTTCTATCAGCTGATGGAGGGCGCCGGCAGCCTGAAAGGTGTGTGTCCACGAGCGAGTGCGTCAGCTCCTCGCTTATAAAGCTCCAGAATCGCTTCTACTCGATGGAGAGATCGAAGACTACGAGTACCTCAACAAGAGCCGTCGAGAGGTGGATGGGATCGACGATCGGGAAGAGTGGAACTTGCTCAAGGTATGTCCCTTGCTTGTCCTCGGTATATCGAAGGGGAAGAAAAATCAGACCGCAAGCTTGCTCTGTCGGCCGGCTGGGTGGGCGAGGGATCGAGGTGTTTGGGAGAGAATGCGGACGGTGCTAATGCATCTCATGACAGGGTGCCCTTGACACGGTCGGATTCACTCCGACAGAACAACTCGACCTATTCCGAGTCGTCGCGGCGGTCCTGCACATTGGCAACATTGTCATCAATGCGACACGCTCAGACGATGCCGTCATGCCAGATCCTTCACAAGCTGAGAGGGTTTGCCATCTTCTCGGTCTCCCCCTGTCGGAGTTTACCAAAGCAGTTCTCCGACCCCGTGTTCTTGCGGGACGTGAATGGGTCACTCAAGCACGTACGCGCCAACAAGCTCTCGACGAACTGTCTGCCCTCTGCAAGACGCTGTACGAGAAGTCGTTCGGTATGCTTGTAGACCGTGTCAACCGCGCTCTGGACCGCCCTTCATCCAAGTCAACCTTTATCGGCGTTCTCGATATTGCTGGTTTCGAAATCTTCGACATCAACGGCTACGAACAGTTGCTCATCAATTTCACCAACGAAAAACTACAGCAGTTTTTCAACCACCACATGTTCGTTCTTGAACAAGAAGAGTACACACGCGAGGGTATCGAGTGGGACTACGTCAACTTCGGTCTCGATCTGCAGCCCACCATCGACCTGATCGAAACAAGTGGCGCAACCATCGGCGTTCTTAGCCTTCTCGACGAAGAGTGCATCATGCCCAAGGCTACCGACCGCACCTTTACCAACAAGCTACACGCTCTTTGGGCTGCGGAGCCCAACAATGGCGAAGAGCCTCATCCTGGGACCTTCAAGTACGAGCCTACCCGTTTCGGGCAGGGCTTCATCGTACACCACTATGCTGGCCGTGTTGAGTATCGCACAGATGGCTGGCTGGAGAAGAACAAGGATCCCCTCAATGACAACCTTACACGTGTCCTTGGAGGTGCTTCTGAGCCCTACATAGCCTCCCTCTTCGCCGAGTTCGCGGATGTCCCCCTCTCGACTGGCAACGCCTTTCACGCGACAACTATCGGCAAGAAGCGCGGTCCGAAGAAAGGCGCGTTCCGTACCGTGGGTCAGCGGCACAAGGAACAGCTCTCCAGCTTAATGGGCCAGCTGCAATCGACTCAGCCCCACTTCGTTCGGTGTATCGTCCCGAACACGCTCAAGAAACCTGGACGCATCGATGTCCCTCTCGTTCTCGACCAGCTCCGCTGCAACGGTGTCCTCGAAGGCATCCGTATCGCTCGTCTCGGGTACCCTAACCGTCTCCCTTTCGTCGAGTTCCGTCAACGATACGAGGTTCTCACCCCCGGCATCATCCCTCCCGGATACATGGATGGTCGCAAAGCCTGTCTGCGTATGGTCGACGCGCTCGAGCTTGACAAGTCTCTCTTCCGCATCGGCACCTCCAAGATCTTCTTTAAGGCTGGTGTGCTTGCCGAGCTCGAAGAGCGCCGCGACTCGCTGCTCTACGACGTTTTCTCCAAGCTGCAGGCCGTCGCGCGCATGTTCACCGCGCGCAGGCAGATGAAGAAGATTCTCAATCGTGCTGTCGCAATCCGCACCATCCAGCGTAACGCCCGGATCTATGGCGAGCTTCGGGATTGGCCTTGGTGGAACCTCTATACTAAGGTCAGCCTCATCGCATCGTGGTTGCGGCAAAATACTCATGGTTCTGGACGTACAGGTCCGCCCCCTCCTCGCCGCCACCCGCAACGACGATGAGCTGCGCCGGAAGGAAGCCGAGCTCATCCTCGCCAAGGAACGTGCGGAGCGCGACCAGCGCGAACGCGAAGCGCTCGAAAGCCTCAAGATGCGCCTCGAGTCCGAGAAGAAGAAGGTCGAGGACGACCTGGAGGCCGAGCGTGCGCTGGCTGTTGACAAGGACGCGCTCCTCGAGCGGAGCAAGAACCACGAGCTCGAGCTCGAGGAGGAAATTGTCGCGCTCCAGGCAGACCTCGACACGCTCGACTCGCAGCTCGACCGCGCGTTGAGGCTGCAGAAGGAGAGCGAGGAGAAGCACAAGACGCTCCAGCAGGCGTTCGACCAGGCCGCCGAGCACCTCGTCCGGCTCGAGGGCGAGCAGCAGGAGTGGCAGGAGCGCGAAGCAAAGCTGGCTAAGGAGCTCGACGAGGCGCTCGAGGACCTCGATATCCTGGCGGCTGAGAAGGAGATTCTGGAGAAGCAGTCGGAGGAGCTGAAGAACGTCGTGACGCAGCGTGAGCAGGACATCTCGCGTACCAAGGAACGGATGGAATCAACGATGATGGATCTGGATGGTAAGCTTGCTGCCGAGCAGCGGAGCAGGTGAGTCGTACGCCAGCAGCATGAAGGTGGTCATGCTGATTCTTTGAATCCTACAGGGATGCCCTGCGTGAGAAGGCGGACGCCCTCGAGAAGGACACTCGTCAGCTCCGGGATCAGCTGGCTGATATGACACGAACTGCGAACGAGTACACGAGCATGATCCAGTCTAAAGAGAAACAAGCCGACCTACTCTCAGACGATTTGGACAAGATCAAAGTGGAGCGCAACCTGCTGTTGAGGCAAATCACGGAGCTACAGGTCAAGGTCGACACTCTCACCGCCCAGTTGGACACAGAGCGCACGGACAAGGAGCGCAACTCGGGGGCTCAAATCAAGTTGCAAGCCGAGCTGGACGAACTGCGCGCGCTCCTTGAAGCCAAGGTCACGGAAGAGACTCGTCGGAGTGAAGTTGCGAAGAGCAAAGAGGTCGAGCTTTCAGACCTTCGTTCACAAGCCACCAAACTCTCCGCCGACCTCTCCGATATCCGCAGGACCTCCGCCGAGGCTCAGAACAAGCTCAAAGTCGAACTGGAGACCGTCACTCGCGAGCACAAGAATATCCAGTCGAGTCACCAGTCCTTGTCAGATCGTGAGCAAGCTGGGCGCACGCAACTGGCGAAAGTCGAGGCCGCACTCTCCGAAGCTGAGAAGGCAAAGCGTTCCCTTGAATCGGAGCTTCAGTTGGTTCGCTCTCGCGCCATCAGTACCGATAGCCAGCTGGCAGAGGTCCAGAAGACTAAGGAGGTCAGTGCTGTCGCATATTACCATCGTGTCCTCGCTCATCGGCCTCTCAGAGCCTCGAACGTCAACTCGCCAGCACTCAATCCCGTTACGCCGACTTCGAGGACGCGACGTTGCAGCTCGAGCGCGACAAGGCTGCTCTTGACCGCCAAGTTGAGACGTTGAAGAAGCAGCTCGAAGCGGAATCGGCAAAGCGTGCCAAGTACGAAGACACCGCGTCGAAGTACAAGCAGGAGGCCAACCGTCTTAAAGACATTAACAACAAATTCGAACGCGACATGAACAAGATCCTCACCGACCTCAAGACGCGCGAGTGGGAGGTTAAGCAGCTCGAAGCAAAGCAGGACAAGACCATCGTCGAACACGTCCACGTCCTTGAAGAAGCCAAGCGTGTGACCGACCGCCAACTCGCCGAAGCCCAGGTCGAACTCCAGAAGCAGGCCGCCTACATTCGCTCCCTCGAGAAGGCGAAGACACGCCTCACCACTGAAGCCGAGGACCTCGTCCGCGAGAAGGAGAACGAAGAGGTTGTCTTGCGCGCCAAGGAGAAGAAAGTTCGTGACCAGGAAGCCAAGGCTGCTCGTGCTTTGGTCGAGATGGAGAGCGAGCGTCGCGCCCGCGAAGCTGCGGAGGTCCATGTCCGGCGACTCCAACAGGAGCTCAAAGATACGCAAGCGCAGGTCGCCGAAGCCGATCAACGCATGTTCGCTGTGCAAAAAGCGAAGGAGAACCTTGAACTCGAGCTCACTCGCCTGGCAGATCAGTCCGACGAGCCTACTTCCTTTGCGAAGCTCCAGCGCCAGTACGAGGCACGCATCGGGCAGCTCGAGCAACAGCTGGACGACTCTGAGCTCGCGCGGTCCGCCGCAGCCAGGATCAAGGAGCATATCGACCGCCAGCACGCCGAGATCCGCAAGCTGATCATGAGCAGCGGGCCGAAGGACGACACCTTCCGCACTCGCCTTCTGCGCGAGCTCCAGCTTGCGGATGAGGAGATGGAACGCGAACTGAATCATCGGGCACAGATCCGACAGCTCACCGGACACCGTACGGGCGAGCAGTTGATGGCCAACGTTACTCCGACCAAACCGCATAACGGTACCGTACGCTTCAAGGACGTTCCCACCGAGATTCCTCGCACTCTGGATCGGCACAAACAGGTCGACAAGCTTCGCCAACAAGTGCAAGCGCTCGAGCTTCAGATGGCCGCCTCGACACGCATCCGACAGTACCTGGAGACGTCCCTGCGGGAAGTTATGGAGGAGCTCCAACACAGCGACGGCTCAAAGCACTCGATAGATGCCTTCCGCACCCGGCTCGCCAAGGAGAACGCCCGTCTCGCCGAGCTGCTCGACGACGAGAAGGAGGCGCGTCGCGCCGCTGAATCCGCGCAGCTTGACGGCGTCCAGGCAATGTGGGATCGCTTCCAGACGACGATCTCGCAAGAGCGCGACAGCTACACACGTCTAGAAGAGTCGCGCAAGGCTTTGGTAAGTCTGGTCGCCCAGCCTTTCGACGCCCTCGCTGACTGTTCTGTGCAGGTCGTCCAGCAGCGCGCTGCCCAAATGGAGGTCGATGACCAGCGTCGGCAGATCCAAGAGCTCACGGCCGCCAAGCGGGCGCTCCAGGGCGAGATCAGTTCGCTCAAAGGTCGTTTGGACAACGAACTCCTCTCCAAGAAGGACGAAACCGGTACGCAACGTTCCAAAAGAAGCCGCGTCTGTTTCTGACCAATTACAGCCCTCAAGCAAACTCTCCAGACGCGTTTGCAGGAGCTCGAAATCACCGCCGCTGCCACGACCACCGCTCATGCCGGTACGTATCACTAGCCATATTCATATCACTCCGGATTCTCACATCGATTACAGAGCTACAAGCAGCCGTTGACGCCTACAAGTCCAAGACCGACCAATACGTCAAGCGGTACGAGGACGCAGAGATCAAACGGGCGAAGGCGGACCGCGCGCTGGATCACGGTGCGTACCTGCTAGTGCTGGTCGTAAGGTTCAAGGGTGTTGACACGCGTATGGGCAGCTCGTCGTGGACTCGCAGATGCCGAGAAAGTGCACGCAGAGCTCGTTGCCGACCGCCACGCGGCAGAGCAACGAGCGCAGGTGGCCGAACAGCGCGTCCAGGAATTGGGGCACAAGCTCGACGACGAGAGCCGCGAGACGTCCGACCTCGCACACCTCCGCCAACGTCTGGCAGAGGAGATGGAGGACGAGCGCAAGCAGCACCAACAAGACATCGCCGAGCGGGACTTCGCCGCCGACCAGACGCGCAAGAAGTACCAGACCGAGCTCGCGCAGCTCAGCGACGAGCTGCTCTCCCAGCGCGACACCATGAGCCGGCTGCGGGAGGAGAGCCGGAAGCTGCGGTCCGAGTACGACGAGCTCCAGCTCCGGTACGACGATGAGGTGTACAACGGCGGGTCGTGGAAGAAGGACAAGGAGCGGCTCGAGACCCAGATCCAGGACCTCAAGCAGGCGTACGACATGTCCGAGGCGGCGCAGAAGGAGCAGCAGAAGCAGATCGTTTCGCTCCACGGCCAGGTGCGCGAGCTCCGGAACGTGCTCAACGACACCGAGGCGGACCGGACGCTGCTCCAGAACGCGCGGCGCGCGCTCCAGAAGGAGCTCGAGGCGATCAAGCAGGACAACGTCGACGTCAGCCGCCTGTCGTCTGGCACGGAGCTGCAGCGGCTCCAGCTCGAGAAACAGGACATCGAGCGGTCGCTCCAGGAGCAGATGGATCGGGTGGCGCTGGCGAGCGAGCGCATGAAGGCGGCGGAGAAGCAGGCGGGCGACACCCAGGCGGAGCTAGGGAAGGTCATGGTCGAGAACTCGGAGCTCGACAGGAAAAACGTGCGTATGCCTTGCCGTCGTTCGTCGTTCGCAGAGTACTAACAATGAGACAGGCGCACCTGGAGAAGAAGGTGAAGGACCTGAACCTCCGCATCGTCGACCTGGAGACGAAGTCGATGAACCCCCCGCGCCCCGCAACGTCCTCCAGACGACTCGAATCCCGGATCGAGGAGCTCACGACGCAACTGAGTCAGTCGAACAAGGACAGCACGCGGGTGCATCGTTCGGCAGATAAGTCACTCGCGGAGGCGGAGCGCCAGCGGGCGCGGCTTGAGGAGGAGGTGGCGAACTACGAAGCCAAGGTGCTCGACATGCGGCAGAAGATGGACGAACTGGTGGGTTTTCTGTGTCTGCCTTGCAAGGCGAGGGCGCTGACGCTCCCGTTCCCGCAGCACACGTCCGAGAACAACCTGCAGCTCGCGAAACGGCGGGCAGAGCGCGAGGCGGCGGACTTTAAGCAGAAGTCGCTCAACCTCGAACGCGAACTGGAGCGACTGCGGAGCAGGCTGGAGCGTCCGTCGAGCTCACTCCTCGGCTCGCCCGCGAGCTCTCCCCGGAAGCAGACATGATAACACTACGATACCCTCTCACGACTGAGCGACGCCTGGCACGGCTCGCGTACTAACGACACCCTGATGATGACGGACAGCGCGGTTTGAGGTTCATGTTGCACTACATCGGCTCATCTGTATCTTATAATTGGACATGTTCTCGCCCAGCATCTATGTTTCTCTAGTGTATACTCCCTCAATGCGTATGTTTTCCTCGCAGCGTGAGACGGCCACGGTCAGCTGACCTGCGATCTGGCCGAGTCGTATGAATCAGCTGGCTCGCCCTCGTCTCCCCCAGACCTTCCAGTCTACGACTTCACGATGAGCGACGGTCGGGCACAGATGCAGGCACTGATCGCAGAGCACAAGGAGAAAGGTTGGGACGAGGCCTGGTAAGCATATGTGCCGCAGATACGACGCCATGGTGCGGCTGACGAGCCGGGCACGCATCCTGCAGGAAGAAAGCCGTGACGCCATGGGACGTCGGCCAAGTTCAGCCTCCTCTTGCGGAACTTCTCGGTTCGGGGGAGCTGCAGCTGCCTGCTCAGGGAGACGCACTCATCCCGGGCTGCGGACGGGTGCGTATGTAGACGAGTCGTTGGAATGTGCAGGGGCTGATCGTCATTGGATGTATTCAGGGCTACGACGCGGTCCACATCGCGCAGACGACCGGGCTGCGCACGCTCGGGATGGACATCTCCGAGACAGCCGTTCGCGCGGCAGAAGAGTGCGTCCGAAATCTACCTGCTTTCCGTCCGTCGAAGCCCGAGGCTAGCGGGTCGCACTGTCAGGTACCGCAACGAGACGGGGGCGGATCCCGCGAAGGTCCGCTTCAAGATGATGGACTTCTTCCTCGAAACGGATGAGCAGTTCGATCTCGTCTACGACTACACGTGCGCCTTCAGCATCTCTCGAGTCGCAGCCTTCCACCGTTGACCGTCCGACCCAGCTTCTTCGTCGCCATCCCGCCCGCTCGGCGGGCAGAGTGGGGCAAGCAGATGACGCGGATCGTGAAGCCGGGTGGCTATCTCGTCACCCTCATCTGGCCCATCGCAGAGTATACGGAGCTGGGCCCGCCGTTCTATGTTCGACCCGAGCACTACGAGGAGGTGCTGGGAGAGGGATGGGAGGTCGTGGTCGACAGAGTGCCCAGCAAGAGCCTGGAGACACACCAGAACAAGGAGAGGTTGGTCGTGCGGCGCAGACTCTAGTACTAGCGGCGGAAAGAGAAGTGGCTTGTCACGACGCAGGATGTACTCCGCACAACCCGCTCGTAGAAGGTATACAGTAGTCAAGAGCACATAGGGGAAGCTCGAAGTTACCACGGTAAACAGTGTGCGGTCCGGAGGCTCCCATTCGAATCAGCGTGGTTTTCGGTTCGGCGTTCTTCTCCCTCCGCCCACACCTTCTTTTCCCCTTCTCCATCGTGCATTAACGCATCTAGCGTCCGGTCCGTAAGCCTTCCTTCTCCTTCATCGCTTGTGTCTTCGCTCGGCGGTCTCTACGCCAAGCATGCAAGCCTCAGTAGGCGCAAAGCATGAGCACTTCATAGAAATGTCCTCGCGAGCCCAAGTCCGCGTGCTCGGGGCACGTCTTCGATTCCACTGACGGTACGTCGAACCCGTGGTGCCACAAGCGCATTGGCGGCGCGAAGGCAGGACTAAGGTGACGTGAACACTCGCACACGGTTGATTAGAAACCTACGTACCAGACATTTGTGTGAGGCTTCACTGACGTCCGCCGTGAGCTCCGGAGAGAGGAGCCGCGGCGTGCTCCGGACTAACCGGGCATACGGTCATCGTGATAGCGACCGGCTGCGTGCGCTCGAGAACGGTGAGGAGCGTAGGATAGTGCACGCATGGGAGGCGGGGCACTGAGGAGGAGTCGATAACGAGCCGATGATCGTTCGAATTCCAGGTGAAGGACTGCGTCGGGCAGGGCCAGGGGGGACCGTAGGAATTGGGCGTGTCTGTGAGCCCGCGGCGGGCGGCGAGGCTGGCTTCAAGGGTGAATCTGCACGATGAAGTTCGAGGTGACGGATGGAGGGAAGGGCGGATAAAATCTGATTGTCGTAGAAGTCGTCTGGCTCACCACCGAGATTTCCGTGGCTCGCATTGACGAGCTTGAGCACTCGTGGAAAAGAGAGATGCGCGAGCTTCCGGGTGAAGGACTAGTTGAACGATAGATTGGAAAATGGGACATTGAGTAGCTCGTACGTGAACCGCAAGGACATGGGTTTGAGGGCATGCTTGCAGGGCTCAAGTACGAGCTTGGTGAGCCAAGTGTGTGCGAGAAAGCTGTCGCGAGCAGTGGGCCCTAGCGATGGATGTACGCGTGGGACAAGGGAAGTGAACGGCCTGAGTTGAGTACTTGAGCAATTTCACCAAGGTCAAGGGAGCGGATGTACGCTGCGGGAGGAAGATGGGGTAGTCGTGGGTCCGTGGAGGGCTGAAGTCACGAAATCTACGGCGCAGTGAGCGATTGCATGAGAAGGTGAGAGCACGTAGGAGGAGCACGTCCTCGTTGAGAGTGGGCTCGATCACGTGCGGCCACTGTCGACTCGCCCGGAGTGTGGGGCTGGCCAGCTTAACTTGCACCTTCCCCTCCAACCTGTATTTGCAGTAGCACTCTCGCGTCTCCGCTGGACACACTTGTCCCGATGCAGACCTTCCAGCCTCGCCGTCCAGTCCACACATGTGAGCACCATTGAACCGGACTTGACAGCGCTCATCTTACGCAACAGAGGCCCGAAAGCCTCGACCGCGCCTTCCAGCCATGCCGTACGCTCTCCTTTCGCACGCCGGCATCCGCTCTCCTCGTTCCCGGCGTGGGCGCACTGGACGCGTGCTTGAAGCAACTCGTCCAGCTAGCATCTGCGAGCACTCGTATCCTCTCCAGGTGAGCTACATTGCTTTCACTGCCGTCTTTGTCTTCCCTACACACAAGTCTCGCCTGCTTCATATCTCTGTAAACCGGCGGAGTCTGCCGCTTTCATGCCCTAATTGAACCGTGCGTGTGAGTTAGAATCAGCGTCGACCCTCTTCCCTCCACGATCCTGTACCCGTGTCAGGGACGAGGTTCTACAGGACTGTGCGGTCCCGGGGATGTGAACTGCGAGAATCGGCTCCAGTATGCTCAATCCCTTGAACCTCCAGATACAGAGCGCACTGCATTGCCAATTCTGAAGTGGGAACCATGTCCTCTCCTGCCGCAACTGTCGATCCCCTCGCACGGCTCCGGGCGTTTCCCCGCGCCCCGGCACCGAACGACGACCCGACCTCGGTAAAGACCAACTTCCCTCAAGATGATGTCGTGCTCAACCAAAACATCCTCGCCTACCACATCGGCCACCACCCCGACAGCAAAGTCTTCGGCCACGCGCAGGCCGGCCACCTCAAGCTCATCGAGCTCCACGCCCGCGACCGCCGCGACGCTTCCACTCCCGCCAACGTCAGCGCGCTGGATGGCATCAGCTCCGCGAACCTCGAAGCAGTCACGGTGTGCGAGCTCACCGTCACCGAAGGTGCGTGTTCAATCCTACTCCACCGTCTCCTGCCCGGTCAGGCGAGCCCTGTCTAACCCCGCATTTCAATTAAATCTACGTATTCGCCCTTCGCTTCTGTTGCTGCGAACGTGCCTGTACAGACATGCTCAACGTCCACGGCACGTTCGCCGGGCCATGTGCGGTTTCAATCATGGACCTGTGAGTGCAAATCTGGCTCCGTGCCTGCGGCAGCTCACCACTCGCACGACCCCCACAGGTGCACCTTCTCCTCCCTCTTCGCGCTCTCCACCCTTATCGGCACCGACGCCTCCGGCTTTTCCGCCTCGATGAACGTCGTCTGGCACAACGTCGCCACCAAGTGAGCGCCCCTTCCCTCCTCCACCCATCGCGCCCCGCTGACTCGTGAGTCGTACCCCGGCTCGCGTGGCGCATCTAGAGGGACGACGCTCCGCTTCGTCAGCACCTCCATGACCGCCAAGGGCCGGACGACCTCCGCGCGCTGCGAGGTCCGTCCTCCGTCCTCCTCTGCGCGCACGCCCACGTTTAGCAGCGCTCACCCACTTCCAGGCGTACGACAAGAAGCGGGGCACGCTCGTCGTCTCCGCGACGCAGCTCATCACGCCCGTCCCGCTGGGGCTGCCCACCGGCGCGCGTGCGCGCGCGGCCCTCAAGGCGAAGCTCTGACTCTGAGATCCAACTCGCCGTCGCACAGTGCGCGCGCGGTGCTCCCGTGGGGGCTGCCTGGCTTCACGGACAGAGCGATGCGCAGACACTCGGTCGCACTTGTATTTGAAGTATGTACGGAGCACTCGACGTCTACGGCCTCCCCTGCCCGGGGCCGGGTGCCACGCGCCCCGCGATCTGAACAACGAATATCGGCGATCGCAACGTCATGAATTGTGGATGCCGCCGGGGCGCCAATCGCCCACCATGTCTCGATCTTAAACTTGGGACCTCCAACGGTGCACGATGGCCGCTTCACACTCTCGGATCAAAAAAACCACCCCCGTGGGGGATGCGTGATCCGAGGGTTGTCAGTAAGCCACCCATGTCTCACTCTGTCGTCGCGCGCGGCAAGCTCCAAGTGTGTGGGTCCGTTTGGTTATCGCGTACGAACGTGTCTCCCTTCAAACCCGCCATGCATGTCACACCCGTCGCGCAGCGATGTCTTCTGGGCACGATGTGGGGCGCGGAATCGTGCGCACCTTGAAGAACAGATGGCGGGTCCGACTCAGGAGGAACCTCCCAAGTCCACACCGAGCCTCGCGGGAAGCGAGCCCGCCGGAGGGCGAGCCCAAGCACGACGTGACGTACGACGGGCACATCGTCGAGGAGACGAGGGTGCCGTGACTTGGCACGACCCCGGTGAACTTCTCCTGCGCGATCTCCGACTCTGCGCCAACGGCCCGCTCAAGCTCTCGAGGCACAGACTGCGAAGGGGCGCTGAAGGGCTCCGCGTGAGTGCTCAGATCTGAGAAGCCCTCGCTCGCTCTCCGCGGTGGCGACGAACACTTGGCATCTGCCTTTGCGGTGGAGCGGCACTGGCAATGCCGTATGATCTCGTCAACCCCGCAGACGAGGCGGAGCTCGCGAACTGTGCCGTCTCCATCTTGCGTGATACGGCTCGAGCGAGAGGAGTGCTGGGGACAGGGCGACGAACAGCGTGGGTGCGGGCGTGTGCGGGAGGCGCAGCGATACAATTTGTGTTGGGGACAGCAGGTGGGACTAGAGAGTTAAGTATGCGGATAGCGAGGGGGGTACAGTTAGAGTGGTGTGATATATGTAGAGCGTGTTATGTCCGATGCAAAATGTGTGTGTGTGTGTGGTGTTCTAGACAGGCAGGTAGGTATGCAGCGACAGGACGGGCCGACGAGGACCGAATATGTACGGACTCGACTCGAGGCCAAATAATGATACAAAAGCATGATGCACACACAGTGACGGGGCCACTCCCCAGCAACGAGCCCAGCGGCAGGCCTACGTGCCGCCAACGTCCGGAGGCGAGTCCGCAGACGGCGGCGTAGCACCCGAAGACGCGTTGCCCGCCCGCCGCTCGTTCGCTGCGTCCACCTCCCACGACGCCGCGCGCGGCCAGTGCTTCTGCTGCCACCCGCGGAAGTACCGCGTCACCTCCTCGTTCTGCCGGTTCAGGTCGTCGTTGATGCACACCATCGTCAGGCCCTCCTGCTTGTCCAGCCGCGCGAGCATCGTCCGCGTCTGGCCCAGGCTCTCCATCCGCTCGAACGCGGACCACGTCCCCGCTGTAACGACCACACACGGGCGTGTCAGCGGCGGGGGTGGGGGCGGGGGAACACATGGAGGAGACGCACCGATGATGTACCGGTACCGCTGCATGAGCCGCATCGCCCACTCCCGGACGCTCGTGTCCGGCGCGGCGCGCATGACGTCCCGCAGCGCGTACCGGCCGTCCTGCCACTTCTCGACGAGCGGCAGGTGCGGGACCCAGCTCTCGTCCGCGGGCTCGCCCGTCGCCTCCGTCCGCCGCGTCTCGTCGGGCAAGAAAGCCGACAGCCCGAGCGGGCCGCTCGCGCGCACGAGCGCGGTGATGACTGCACGCCCGGTGAGCGGGCGTCGCAACGGAGGGCGCAGGGCGCGGGTACTCACTGCAGTCCCCGCACTCGGTCTTCTCGAACGCGATCCGCTTGAAGACCTCGCTCGCGGAGGGCGCGCCGCCCTCCGGCCCACGGACGCCGAAGCACTCCTCGCGCTTGATGGTGCACATCCGCCGTGCGCGCTCGGCCTCCTTTTGCAGCCGCTCCTTCTCCTTCAGCGGCTTCTTCGGGGGCTCCTCAGGCTCGAACCCGGGCCAGCCGCCCTCTCCACGGCGGCCGTACGGGTTGTACGCGTAGCCGTCCTGCGAGGCTGCGCACGCGGTCAGTCCAGGGTACGCGGACCGAGAGCGCGACGACGCACAGAAGTGGTACGTGGAGCGCCAGTGGCCGTCCACCGGCTCGACGCCGCTCGCGCGGAGGTTCTTGTGGAGCCGGTCCTCCCGTATCGTCTCGCGCAGGCCGGACTCGACGGTGATCTCGCGGCCCGCGTCCCCGTCCCACCCGCCGCCGAGCTCGATCCAGGCGCGGGTGGTCTCGTGCTCGGACCAGGAGTCGTCGAGGCCGCCGATGCGGCCGACCGCCCAGGCCCACAGGAGGGCCTCGCGGTTGCGCTCGACGAGGAAGTGCGCGAACAGGAACATCTCGTAGATGTCGCCCGGGTTGCCCTCCGTCTCGCGGAAGCGGTGGGAGGCGGAGCGGGCGGTCCAGTCCTTCCAGATGATGGAGAGCTCTTGGAGGACGGGGAAGGAGACGGCCTTGGCCTGGTGCTGTATATACGGGCGCCGGCGCCGGCCAAAGCGTTCGCCTGGGCGGGGTGGGCGTGCGGATCGGGGAAAGAGAGAGGGGATCAGGATGCGGTGGAGGGCGGGCGGGGACAAAGACACGCACTGAGGAGCCAATTGGTGACGCCCATCGTCTTCCACTCGCCACGCTCGGTCTGGGGCCAGTCGGGGCCGACGGTCATGTCTGCCTGGATGCGCATCACGGTGCCGTAGACTGCGTGCGCGGCGGGATAAGCGGATGACGTCACCGGGCGGGAGGAGGAGACGCACGGTGGGTGTAGAACGTGGCGGGGGACACGGGACGGACGAGATAGAAGTCGTCGTTCTGGGCACGCGATCAGTCCGCCGTCCACGATTAGCCCAAGGCACGGCGCCGGCTCACAAAATAGAGGCTGCGCAGCAGGCCGATGAGCGCGCGAACGGGGCGGACGGAGCGGTGCACTCACAAGGTGTCGGACACGTCCTGCAGATGGCCAAATTGTGATTCGATCGCATAGCTGCCCGGTCGCTGTTAGCATCGTGGCGTAAACGACCGCTGCTGCGGCGCACCTGTTGAAGCTCGTCGCGTTGTACGGCTCAAAGATGTGGGCGTGGTGGGTGAGCGACAGGTGCACGTCCCCGTCTTTCCACTGCGGCGTCTCTTCGTCGAGCGACTGCAGCCACTGGGGCTGGAGGCCGAGCCGCCAGTAGCCGGGCCCGGGGTCTGGGAAGGACTGGTCGGGGTCTTCCGGGTAGTCGACGTCGGAGGTGATGATGCGGAACCGGTTCACGTGTGGACGGTAGTTGGCGAGCACGGAGCGGATCGAATACCGCAGTTCGTCGTGGTCGCTTGAAGCGCGACGATCGGAGACGGGTCGGGAGAAAGGGAGAGAGGGAAGACGTACCGGTACATGCGGCTTGGATTCAATGTGTTCAACGGGCGGTCTGGGTCGTCCTCGGAGAAGGAGTCGACGGCGTGCTGTTTGGTGGCGATGATGAGCGGGTCGGAGCCGTTGACCCATGTCCAGAAGACGTCCATGGGGAGGGGCCCGTTGCCGTCGTGACATGGTTGGCCTGCGGCGTAGTACTGCTCCAGGCAGTTGGAGGGCAAGTCGCGGACCGGGCGGAGGCGGGGGTGTGCGCCTGGAGGGAGGCGGTCGGGGACAGGGATCGCGATGTATGTCGGCTGGTAGTTGGGGTTGACGGGGGAGTCGAGGGGGATGATTTCGTCGTCTGAGAGGGAGAGGGGGATAAAGATGGCGAGGGAGACGAGGGAGGAGAGCGCGATGAGGGCGAGGAGAGCGCGGCGGCGAGAGAACCAGAGCGGGAAAGAATGGCGGGGGCGGGGCCTAGTGGCGGGGCCGGGGATGAACTCGTCGGGGGAGATCTGGGCGAGGGGGATGTAGGAGGCCATGGGGAGAGGGGAGGAGAAGCTGCATGAGAGCGAGAGCGGGGGCGGGGTCGCGTGAGGGGAGTAATAAGAATAGACAAGCGGGGCAGACGCTTGACTGGTGGGATCGGAGATGGGGACCACTGCGGAAGAAGTTGTTGGGGCTCATCCGTGGTGGCTGGCGGCGGGACAGGCTAGCAGGTGCTGCGCTCGCGGCCCATCGGACTCGCTGGGCATGGAAGAGGACTCGGCTAGCGGCGACGGGCGCGCGGTGAGGCCGTCTCCGTCGACGGTCGCGAGCGAGGGAGCGTCGATGAGTGCGCGCGAGGTGCTCGGGTCCGGGCGGAGTGCGCGACGGCGTGGACGAGCGTCGACACCGGCGCTCAGTCGCTCGCAGCGGGCGTCGTGGGCGCGCACAGGCGCCCGACGGCCGGCATCGTCCGCAGCTCGGCCGTCAGGGCCAAGCCGATCCGGGGCGTGGGCCCGGGACTCGATTCGTCGTCGGACCCGCCCGGTGCACTCGGCCACACAGGCCACGGACTTCCTTCGACACGGCCCGCGCCTTGGCATCTCAGACATCGCTCAAGTGCTCAGTAACGTAGCCAGTGGCAAGCATCTCTGACAAATGTGCTGCCCACCGACTGTCGGCTCAGGCGGGTGGTTCGCAGCCGCAGCTTGTGCTTGCCTTCGTTTTATCCCTTTGCCAGTCCGAGGCTCCCCACTCCACTCTCCAGATCTCACGACTGGCAGACGAAACCACAGACAGAACACCGCCACCACGGGTCCCACCTCCAGCACTGCCAGGCGCCGAACTCTCTCTGCGCGTTTTGTACACGGTGCAGTACATCAGCCAACGAAGGCCTGTGCGGTACTCCACACCCCTCTCCACATCCCTCCCGTCTATCAGTCATGGCCTGAGTACGTGCATGGCTCCCTGGCATGCCGTCCACTATCGTTCAAAGCCGTTGAGTATTCACTGCGTACCGCGTCGTGCATGAGGTCCGAGGATCAATGCTCCTACAAAGATATGAGCCACCTGCCAGCCGTCCTACCATTTAACGTCCGCTGCCCTTTTGTGGCAGCCATCGGAACCGTCCATGCTCCATGTCCAACACATGTCTGAAGCTTGTGCAAGTCCCTGCCAGCAGGCGCCCGCCATACCCGGCGTCTACCGGATCCCTCTGCCGTGCCTTCCATTTCGGGCATCGCTGCTGCCGCCCTCCACCTCGTCGTCTTCCTCGCTGCTCGTGTCCTCTCCCTACCCTTGTTCATCCTTGTCTCGCCCGCTACCCTCACCCACAGCTCATCATGAAGATCAACTCCCTCGCCATTGTCCTTGCCGCCCCCAACAAGCCTGCCGTCATCCTATGCAGCGCATCTGACCTCTCCTCCTTCTCCTTCTACCAACGCGGCGCCATTCAGGAGTTCATGAAGTTCTTCACCACCACCGTCGCCGAGCGCACCCCCCAGGGTCAGCGCCAGAGCATTCAGGAAGGCTCTCACACCGCCCACGTCTACAATCGCGGAGGTGCCGAACAGCTTGCAGGTCCGTCCCAATCTCCCTTGCGCCCGGCGCACCCTCCCGGACCATCCCAATCTCACACAGTCCGCCAGGCGTGATGATTGCGGACGGAGAGTACCCAGTCCGGCCGGCGTTCTCACTCTTGACCAAGCTCCTTGACGACTTCATCGCCAAGGTGCCCCAGGCGTCCTTCACCACCCCTGCCGCGATCGCCTTCCCAGAGATCAACACCTACCTCCAGAAGTACCAGGATCCACGCCAGGCGGATGCGATCATGAGGGTTCAGCAGGAGCTTGATGAGACCAAGATCATTCTAGTGCGTCTCCATCCTCGCTCAAAGTCGGACCCCGCTGACGACGATCTGTCCGGTGCTGTAGCACAAGACGATCGAATCTGTGCTGCAGCGAGGAGAGAAGATCAACGATCTTGTCGACCGCTCGAACGAGCTCTCCCAACAGAGCAAGATGTTTTACAAGACCGCAAAGAAGGTACGCTTTCGTCCTCCGCCCGGCATTCGCTCTCCTCATCCGTACTCTATAGCAAAACTCCTGCTGCGTTGTCATGTAAAGCTCTGTCCTACGGTGGTCCGCTATCCGGCGAACGTGACATAGCTCCCCCACGACGACCTATTATGATACAACCCACTTGTCCGCATCTCACCCGGCTGACTGAACACTCATTGGTCCATGGCTCTAGATGCTTCACTGCTACGTTGTAATTGTACTCTTAATTTCTCACCGGCTTCAAGATCGCATATATACCACACTACGCTCTCCGACACAACATATATATATATATGTATATGGACTGCACCTTCGGAGTTTCCTCGTATGAGCACATGGAGTCAGCAGCGCATGTCCTCTCAACCGTCTTCGACAAGCCGGGTGTCGTGCTAGCTGCGATGCATAAGTGATGGCCGGTGGGTTCAGATAGCTTGCGTAGGTGTGCGGCATTGATTATAACAGGTGTCGAGCCTTGAGGTGATCTTTCGATCACGTGCGCATATAGCGAGGACGTGGCTCGTTGAACAGCTTTTGCTGCCACCTTACGCTTCCCTCCCCCTCCCTCTCCCCCTCCCTTTCCTTCACGGCCGGTTCCGAGTCCTCAGCAATGTAAGTCTTTAACCTGCACGGCACTGCGGTCGACGCTCACTCGACAACAGGAGCTCGGTCAAGGTCGTCTCTTCGGAGATTACGGGCGCGTCCCTGCACATCGGGCTGCCCTGGTACACCCACATCTACACCGTCCCCTTCCTCTGCCTCTACCCCGTGCTCGCCTACGCATACTACGTCAAGTACGACGACTGGCTCAAAAGCGAAGAGTGGACTTTCCTTGCTTGCGTCTCTCTCGGCCTCACCCACGCGCTCAGCTTCTTGTTTACGCGCTGGAATACTGGGGTGAAAGCCTTCATCACGACCAGAAAGGTGCGCGACACTTTGCTTCTGCGTTTCCCGCGTACTCATGCAGCTTTGTTGTAGGCACGTTCTCTTGAGGATGCGGACTGCCTTCGGATTATCCCCGCTCCCCACAGAGGAGAAGGCGAGATTGTACCTCTTCTGAAGAAGGAGCCCGGCAACCCCGCGTCCTACACGTTCAACTACCAACAGGATACGTATGTCGTCACCGAGACCTCACCCATCACCTTTTCTCGCTTGCCCTACCCATGCTCCTCCAAACCTGCCCTTGGCACGTTCCTCGACCCTCCTTCGCTGCAGACGGCCAATATGACCTCTCTGGTGAACCTCTACGGCAAGAACGAGTACAACATCCCCATCCCGTCCTTCAGCTCCCTCTTCGGCGAGCATGCAACCGCGCCGTTCTTTGTCTTCCAGATCTTCTGTGTCGCCCTCTGGTGTATGGACGAGTACTGGTACTACTCACTCTTCACTCTCTTCATGCTCATCGTCTTTGAGTGTACCGTGGTCTACCAACGCCTCCGCACCCTCACTGAGTTCCGCACCATGGCCGTTGCCCCCTACCCTGTCTTCGTCCGCCGCGACAATGTCTGGATCAAGATCCAGAGCGACGAGCTCCTCCCGGGCGACGTCATTTCTGTCGCCCGGCAACAGACCGAGACGAGCATCCCCGCCGACATCCTCCTCATCCGCGGCACCTGCATCGTCAACGAGGCCATGCTCTCCGGCGAGTCCACCCCGCTCCTCAAGGAGTCCATCTCCCTCCTCGAGCCGGCCGAAGCCCTCGACGCCGACATCGCGCACAAGAACGCCGTCCTCTTCTCCGGGACGAAGCTCCTCCAGGCCACGCACGACGGCGACACGCCCGACGGCGGCTGCCTCGGCGTCGTCCTCCGCACTGGCTTCGGCACCGCGCAGGGCCAGCTCGTGCGCACGATGATCTTCTCGACCGAGCGCGTGTCGGCGAACAACGCCGAGAGCTTCCTGTTCATCGGCTTCCTCCTCATCTTCGCCATCGCCGCGAGCTGGTACGTGTGGGTCAAGGGCATCGAGCGCGACCTCAAGAAGTCGAAGCTGCTCCTCGACTGTATCCTCATCATCACGAGCGTCGTCCCGCCCGAGCTGCCGATGGAGCTGTCCCTCGCCGTCAACGCGTCCCTCGTCGCGCTGTCGAAGTATGGTGCGTGCCTTTGGATTTGCTGTTGTTGTGGGTGGTGCTAACGTGGTCGTAGCCATCTTCTGCACAGAGCCCTTCCGGATCCCGTCTGCAGGTCGTGTCGATGTCTGCTGCTTCGACAAGACTGGTACCATCACTGCGGAGAACCTCGTTGTGGAGGGCGTTGCCGGTGTCGAGTGAGTTCTCAGCTCTGGATGCCACACCGCACTATGCTAAGAGCATCATATAGCCCCACCGACTCCCTGAAGCTCGTTGATGTCAAGGCTACCGGCCGCGAAACCACCTTGGCCCTTGCGGCTGCGCACGCCCTTGTGCGTCTCGATGACGGTACCATCGTCGGTGACCCCATGGAGCGAACCACGCTCGAGGCCCTCAACTGGCACGTTATCAAGGGCGACAGCGTCGGGCCCATCGAATCCTCTGCGCCGCACAAGACCTCCCTCATCGTCCGCCGCAGGTTCCAGTTCTCCTCTGCCCTCAAGCGGATGAGCACCGTCTCGACCCTACCCAACGGCCGCTGCATGATTGCTACGAAGGGTGCTCCGGAAACTATCCGTCGCATGTTATCTACCGTCCCTGCCAACTACGACGACACCTTCAAGTGGTTTACTCGTCGCGGAAGCCGTGTCTTGGCGCTCGGATTCAGGGAGATGGAGCCTATGCCCCTTGACAAGATCAAGAAGCTCCCTCGCGACCAGGTCGAGTCGGGTCTGACGTTCGCGGGTTTCTTGGTCTTCCACTGCCCCCTCAAGGAAGATGCTGTCGAGACTCTGAAGATGCTTGGCGATTCGTCACACCGCGTACGTCGAGTTCATTGTTTTCTAGACCCCTTTTAACACCGTATCCAGTGCGTCATGATCACCGGAGACAACCCGCTCACTGCCGTTCACGTCGCCCGTGACGTTGAAATTGTCGACCGTGAGGCACTCATCCTCGATGTCCCCGAAGGTTCTTCCACCCTCGTCTGGCGCTCCGTCGACGATACCGTCAACATCACCGTGGACCCCACCGCTCCGATCGACACCTCGCTGTTCGACAAGTACGACATCTGCATCACCGGCGTCGCGATGAAGCTATATGAAGCGCACCCGTCCTGGAACGACCTCGTGCAGAACACGTGGGTGTACGCTCGTGTATCGCCCGCGCAGAAGGAGTTCATCCTCACCTCCCTCAAGTCCCTCGGCTATGTCACCCTCATGGCCGGTGACGGCACCAACGACGTCGGCGCGCTCAAGCAGGCCCACATCGGCGTCGCGCTCCTCGACGGCACCGAGGAGGACCTGAAGAAGATCGCGGAGCACCAGCGCAACGAACGGCTCAAGAAGGTGTACGAGCAGCAGCTCAAGATCTCGGCGCGCTTCAACCAGCCGCCGCCGCCGGTGCCGCCACTGATCGCGCACTTGTACCCGGACGTTGTCGCGGCGCAGCAGCGCGCGGTCGCGGACCAGCAGACGGCGCGGAAGAAGAACCCGATGGAGAAGTTCGACCTCGCGTCGATCACGGACAAGCTCGCCGACATGGACGCGGAGGACGAGGTGCCGAAGATCAAGCTCGGGGACGCGTCGTGCGCCGCGCCGTTCACCTCCAAGCTGTCGAACGTCAAAGCGAGTGAGTGTGGGCAGGTGTCGTCGTAGGAGGACGTTGCTGAATAGGCTCTACAGTTACGCACATCATCCGCCAAGGGCGCTGCACGCTCGTGGCCACGATCCAGATGTACAAGATTCTGGCGTTGAACTGCCTCATCACTGCGTACAGCCTGAGTGTGCAGTACCTGGACGGGATCAAGTTCGGCGACTACCAGGTCACCATCACGGGCATGCTCATGTCGGTCTGCTTCCTGTGCATTTCTCGTGCGAAGGTGCGCATACACGTGTCCAGTCGTGGAACACCATTCTGAAGTCCCGATGTCGCATTTAGCCCGTCGAGAAGCTGTCTCGGGAACGTCCTCTGGGCAACATCTTCAACTTTTACGTCCTGCTGTCCGTCTTGTTCCAGTTTGCCCTCCACATCGCGACGCTCGTCTACATCACACAGCTCTCGTACCAGTACGAGACGTAAGCGCTCTCACCACAACTTGCGGTCCACACGCACTGACCTTGTCCACAGGCGCGGCGAGATCGACCTCGAGGCCAAGTTCGAGCCGAACCTGTTGAACACGGCCATCTACCTCCTCGGGCTCTCCCAGCAAGTGTCCACGTTCGCAATCAACTTCCAGGGTCGGCCCTTCCGGGAGGGCATCCGGGAGAACCCCGCGCTCTACTGGGGCCTCGTCGGCGCGTCCGCAGTCGCGTTCTCGGGGGCGACGGACCTGATGCCGGAGATGAACCGCTGGCTGCAGATCGTGGAGATGGAGGGCGCGGTGCGTGTTCCTCGCGTTGTGGTAGTGTCGTCCGGAGGCTGACTGGCAGTGGGTCCGCAGTTCAAGGTGCGGCTGACGGCGTCGATGACGGTCGACTTTGTGGGCTGCTTCGTGATCGAGCAGGTGTGCAAGCGGCTGTTCGCGAACCTGGAGCCGAAGCCGATGATCACCAAGGGGCGGGAGCGGCGAGAAAGGCGGAGGGCGGAGGAGGAGGCGAAGAAGGAGTGAGGCGGCGGTTGTGCGCGCGCGGTAATGGTAGAGGCGGGCCCGCCGTGATAGAGTAGTGTAATCTGAAATCGAGCCGTGTAATCGTGGACATACTTACATCTAGACGATTGAATACAGTCCCCCTGCGGCATAGTGTGGCAGCCAAGGGGGCCACGGCCGACCAACGACCGATGGTGGGTGGCGGGAGGGCCGGGCCGAAGGAGCGCGCACGGGCGGCTATTGGAATGTGGCGAACGGCGGGTCGACGGCAGCGACGGCGAGGGCCCCGTCCCTGCCTTCCCCTCCCTGCCCCCCGCTCCCCTCCTCCCTCCCTCCACCACCCTCCTGCGTCCAGCGCAAAGCCTCCCCGGCGCCCTCCCCACGGCCATCGCTGCCATGGCCAACATTGTCCATACCCCAGCGCCCTCCTCCCGCCACAAGCGTTCATTCGCAGACATGGGCCCCGATCTCGACCCCAATGCCCCCCAGCCAAGCGGCAGCCAGCCCCCGTCCTCCCAGTCTTCCTCTTCCTCAAGGGAACGCAGCAAACGGGCTCGAAACAACGCCGATTCGTACGCCACTGAGCTCGTCAACGACCTCACTGCCCCAGACAGCGCCCTCTCATCCTCCTCGTCCAGCGGCAGCCACACCACCTACCACTCCGCACACTCCTCATTCTCCTCCCCATCGCCAGAGATCCATCCCGCTGACCCGTCCCTTCACGAGCTCGACCCCCTGGTCCCCGACCCCGCCCCACTCACAGGCGAAGCGCTCAGCATCCCGGCCTCGTTCGCCGCTCATCTGCCCTCTGCTCCTTTGCAGCCCGCCCAGAGCACGTCGAGCCGAGATGACCAGTTCCGCCTCTCCATGGAGCGTCACGATGCCTTTGACCGCGAGATCTCGGCCTTGCGCCACTCTCCCGCCCGGGAACCGCCCATATGGTCTTCCTGGAGCGGACACGCCCCCCTCTCGCCTTCAGGTACGTCCCGAGTCTCCTTCGCTGCGTGCGCATGTGGTGACCTGATTCCGTCAAGGTGGCCCGGAAGCCCGTCCCTCGGCGCATGACTATCCTTACACCCCCAGCCACCCACGCTCAGTCTTCGCATCCTCGGACTCAGTCGGCGGTCCTCTCCATCCCCAACGTTCGGTCGAAGGCACTTCCTCCCCCTCCGTCTTGGGACGGGGGCTACCTTCGCCACCGTTTGGTGGATATCATGAGCCGGATGCAGCCCCGAGGCTATGGGATTCTGAAAGCCGCTTGTCACGAAGCAATGCGACTGCGGGCGCATGGGCAGCCCCTCCTCCACGCACAGGTACGATTCTTTAGTGTGTTGGCGAACATGGGACTCAATCTGTAGCCAGATTACTATGACCAGTTCCCCGCCGATACGCAGCCATTCAGCGTATACGACCCTTTTCATCCTTGGGGAAGAACGACGTCTGCTGCTGAGGCAACGCTCTCTCGTCGTGCCGGTACCACGTCGGTCATTCGCCAACCGTCACCTCCTGATGCTTTCGGATCGTTCAGGTCTCGTCGTCACCACACGCGTCTAGACATGTTACCTTATCGCATGGACCACGACCCGGTCCGACGTGACATCGATGAGGCCCTCCGAGACTCAGACGAGCATAATCTGCGAATTCGCCGTTTGCTCGTTGCAGCACGTGAGAGCGTCGACCTCCAACGCCCCGTCCCGAGCACGTTCTCGAGTCTTCGCGGGGCACTGGACGACACAACTGCGGCCCGACCATCCACCTCGCGCCCGACTGCTGCCAGTCAGACTCAGACGCGGGCACCACCCCCAGTAGAAATGGAGGAATCTGTCGAGGGCACGGCCTACCCTAGCATGCTTGATGAACTGCGCCCGGCATCAAGCAGACAGGCGACCGCTCCCCTCAGTCGTGAGCCGTCGCGACCTTCAAGCAGCACCCACGGCCGCTCAGCTGATGCTTCCGCTGAACGGCGCACAGCCGCATGGACATCGTCCCGAGACCCGATGCCGAGCTTCCCCCCTCTCTCGCGGTACTCCGAGCTCGCGCCATATGTTCAGCTCGACTCGCTGCTGGAGTCTAACAGTAGGGCTAGAGCGCAAGGACTCAACGGGCTGCGTCAGAGGCTGGGGTCACGCCCCTTCCGCCGATCACCCACCCATCGCACGCTGCCAATACCATCGTCAAACTGGGAGACCGAATTGCTCATGCCGGGGTCGCCCACTTACACTCCCCCCTCGCCCCCTGACAACTCCGCGTCGCCTCGGTACAACCCTCTGTCTCCTCCCCAACCTGGGTCTGTTTCTCCTGGATACGATAGCGAGGGGTCGATGGAGTGGCCGGATCACCACAGCATCCACCCCGATATCTCTGCAGGGTACGGCTTCACCGCCCGTACGCCTGCTGACTACGCCATGATTCAAGCTCTGGAGGCCGAACCCTTCGCCCACTCCATTCGTCCTCGCTCGCCCCCTTCAGTCCCGGCTCCCGCCCCTTTGCCGACTTTGCCGAACCGTCAAAGGTACGACGTCAACGCGTATCGCGACGGTCCCTTCCGTGCGACCATGGCACGCTCGATGGCGCTCCAGAGGCGTGATTCTGCAGCCGATCCTCAAGCAGAAGAGCGTAGCCGTCAGCGACAGGCCGAGCAGCGCAGACGCGAGGAAACCCGCCGTCTCTTCCGGCTTGATGAGATCGAGCAAGAGCTGGACCGAGACTTCTACAGCTGGCTTTCTCGCGAATCGCCCCCTCGCGAGCGCGAGCATCCTCTCCCCACGCCCACCGCAGCCCAGCCTCCCATGCCCTCGCCGACGGCCACCTCCACCGCGTTCGACGCGTTCTACGAGCCCACTTCGCTACTCAGAAGACTCGACGCGCAGACCTCCCTCCGGCGCGAATACCATCGATCTCTCCCACGTAGTGAGCGTGAAACCGAGCCGCAAAACCCCACGGACCGGCTGCGGGACCTCATCGGACGGCCGACCGTCTCTTCTACCCCTACGGCCGCCGCCTCTACCGCTTTCCCAACACGTCGCCCAACGTTGCTGCGTCGAGATCCGCCCCCAGTGACAGCATCGTCCATGGAAGCTGATTTGGAGGAATCCTTTGCAGGCGCTACTCGCAGGCGCGTTGAACGCTGGGAAGCCCGTCGCGACGTGGCACGCCGAGCGGCGAACACCCTACAGAGCTCTACCCCACCCGCGCAAGGGGCCAGTCGTCGCAACCATCCATTCGTGACGATCGCCACCCCAGGTGCCGACCATGGTGCAAGCGACGCAGAGGACCCTGACGTGCGCCGCCCGCGTCGGCGGTACACGAACCAGCTCCCGGCTGCCCAACCGCCGAACTCCTCCAGCTCTGGAGGCTTGTCGAGCTCAGGCCCAGGTGCGGCCGCGGCCGCGGGTCCCGTGGCACAAACGCAAGAACCGACGAGGACTGAAGCGGACAGGCCGCGCCCGCCGCCGCTCAATGGCCGCTTCAGCCGCTGGCGGAACATGATGGGCCACCCGCCTGACATGATCATGTTCGGAGACTACCCTTCGGCGACGCGCAACTTCCGGCGACGTCACTTGGGTGACTACATGGTAAGCCTTCCTTGTCTCAATCGCGCGCTGCTTGCAGTCATACCGACATGCCCCGCTTCAGCGCGACGAGGATATCGACATGTCTTATGAAGGCTTGCTCTCGCTCTCCTCCATTCTGGGCGACGTCAAGCCTCGTGGAACCGCGTCGGACGTCATTTCAGCGCTGCCGAAGGGGACGTACGGCGACTGGGCCAAGCCAGGCGACACCGAGGAGCGATGCCCCATCTGTCTCGACGATGTGAGTACCACTCTGACCGTTCCTCCGCATATACTCAACTCTTGAACCTATTCCTAGTACCAAGTCGCCGACCCTTGCTTGCGCGTCCCTGACTGCACGCACTGGTTCCACGAAGGCTGCTTAACAGTACGTCTATCTTCGTCCCCACTTGATCCTGTAGCTGACGCTATCACCTCAGCAATGGCTCAAGAGTTCGCGCACCTGCCCCGTGTGCCGCGGCCGCGTCACTCGCCCCGCGCGGAGCTCAGCCGACCCGCAACCCGTGGCAGGGCCGAGCGGCTCGAACTCGCACGCGCACGCGCACTCCGCCAACACTCCCTCTGTGACGACGACGGCAGTGCCAGCCTACTACACCCACCGCCGCTCAAGCTTAGGACGCGCACCGACGCCGATCGAGTTCTCGGGCCCAGAGTCGGATTCGGATTTTGAGCTGTCGGACCCGGAGGGCGGCCCGTTCGGTCAGCCGTCGCGGTGGTCGACGCGGACCCGGAACCCGTATCGCCCGCCGTGGCGGCGCGAGTGAGTGAGCGATGGGCTCGGCGGCCTGCAGACTGGGGTGGGGTCGAGGTGTCTGGCGGGTTTTGGTCTTGTGTAGATGGGCTTGACGCTATCAGCATTCACGACTCGGCGCGCTTTGCATAGCACCCTGCACTTTGTATTGTATCATTCTCGCCTGGAAAGTTGAAAGGAGCGTATGTACAACATCTATGGTCTCACGTCTAGTCGTGGCCGTTGTAGTACTATTTTATTCCCGTGCATACATTGATGAGTTTGATCGAGTTTGCTCGAAAGACGCAGGAATCCGGCGTGCTTCGTACCGGAAGCGTCGTATGCACCACTTTGTCTTGTAGACGGGCAAAGACCCAGCTGGTCAATACGGGTTTCAACGCTGTTGTACAAGGGGGGTGGGTGCTCTACCGAAGAGGGCGGATTACTCCTGGTCCAAATCCACCATGTCTTCCTCCTCTCCTAGAAGTCCCATGGGGCGCCCAAAAGCCTTTATCTCTTCTCGCTCGACTTCATCGTCCGAGTCACTGTCCAGTATAACCATACCCGAGTCCACTCGAGGTTTGTCGGCGGACGGGTGGAGTGGCTTCTGGACACACGATCGTTTCTTCCCCGGGCGAGGCCCTAGCTCAATCTTCCGCGCAGAATTGAGGGCGGCGAGTGTGCCCAGCTATAGCGGGCAACAGACCATTAGCGACAAGCGGGTTATGAAGAAAGTCCCAGCGCACCTTGCTCTGCGTATTTGCGTCCGTGGTCGGCTTACCTCCTCTGCTGGTGGGGTCGAAGCCGAGCTGCTTGATGAGCTCCGCCGAATAGCCGCTCTTCCTCATCGTCTTGTCGTCCTCGGACTCTTCGTCCTCGGAGTTCGCGCGCGCCGACTTCTTGCCATTGCCCTTCCCGGCCTCCTCCGCCTGCGCTTTCGCAAATTCTCGCGCGCTCGCAAGGGCTCGGGTGCCCTCCTTGTCCCGCGCGAGCAGTCGCTTCAGCGCGACGTCGCCGTCCTTCGCAGCCAGTTTGCGTGCGGCCCGCGCCTGCGCCTCGCGGCCGACGCTCTCCCCGATGAACATCTCCCCCGGGTCCGCGGTCGAGCCGGAGACGACGTGCCCGCTGACCATGTACGTCGCGCCGCGGCCCGGCTCTGGCTTGAGTCCCCACTGTCGCGCGGGGTCGTACACCGGCTTCTTCCTCACCGCGCTGGACGACATCCCGCCCGTCCTGCAGACCATCCATCAGCCCCTGCGCACACGAGCAGCACCGAGCCGTACACACCCGATAGCAAACTCCGGCCGCGCTGCGCGCGACCGCTCGACCGCGGCCTGGACGTGGAAGTCGCAGACGTCGCTCACCCGCTTGTCGCACCACGCCTCGCAGCGCTTCCCGTCGCGCTTGACCGCCTTGCACATCCCGAGGTCCTGCGCGTACCCGACGACCGCGACGCCCGCGTCCGACTCCGGCGTGAGCGCGAGCACGTTCTCCGTCGGGTGCGGCCGGTCCGCCGCGCGCTGGAACGGCCGGAGCACGCGCGGGTTGAGGAGCGCGACGACCGCGCCCTCGCGCAGCTTCGCCATCCGCTCGAACGCGCCCCGGCTCCCGCCGCGGTAGACCTTCCGCTTGGCGCCGGACTCGGTCACGACGTCGTCCGCGCCGTCGGCCTCGAAGAGGAGGAGGGAGAGGTACGCGTCGCCGCGGATCTTGGCCGTGCCGCCGTCGACGCCGCCGCCCCGCGAGCGACAGCCGAAGTCGATCAGGCGCAGGTTGACGTACTTCTTGCCCCGGGACGGCTTTGCGCCCTCGGCTTTGGGCCGTCGCTGGAAGGGCGCGGGGCGCGACGGTCCTGGCTGGGCGGAGGCGTTGAGGGAGGGGAGCGCGTCCATGCGCTCGTCGTCGTTGCCTGGCCGAGAGACGTCGTCGTCGCGTGTGACGGCGACGGGGGCTTGCGTGTAGCGCATTGGGCCGCGCTCGGCGACGACGGCGATGGTGAGCCAGTCACCGTCGATGGGGACGTCGTAGCCGGCCTTGTTGGGGAGGAGGCGGACGACGGAGTAGAGCTTGGAGGGGGAGAGGTAGTAGCGCCCGCGCAGGTAGTCCTGGAAGTCCGCGTGGGGGATCGCTCGGGAGCTGTGGGCGAGTGGTCAGTGTGAACGAGAGGGATTGGGCACGATCGCGTACGAGAGTCGGATGTTCGAGTTCGGCTCCAGTCGTTCGAAATGAGGGTCATCGAAGGGGGGTTTGTGGTCGAAGGGCCCCATCTGGAGATCCTCCACCAGAGCGAGGTTCTCGTCTCTGATGTTCGAGCCGGGCTGGGGCGGGGCGGGAGTCGGAGGGGCTGCAGTGAAATCTGCCGATCGGGCGACGGGTTCCGAGGCTTCTGGTTGGTTTCTCTGCTTGTGAGCCTCAGCGAGCTTCTTCAGCAGCGTCGACTCCGCGGGAGGTGCGAGTGATGGCTGCTCCTTCTTTGGCTTCTTGAGTGGGAATGTCGGAGGGCCTGCAGAAAGCGTACGGGACAAATATGCGGCTGGTTTCTTTGCAGCCTGCTCTTCGCGCTTCCTCTTCTCTGAAAAGACGTGAGGGACGAATAGCTGGTAGATTGTTCAGCACCTACTAGACGGAGTCTCCGGGACAAGGATCCCGGAGGTGCGCTTGGGAGAAGGAGGGCGATCCGACCCGCCACCATCCTTGAGTTGAGCTTGAAGAGCTGCGATTTGTTGTCGTAGGGCCTCTTGCCGCTCTTCCTCCGCTTGCTTTTTCTTTGTGGTCGAGTACATGGTGTTGCAGTGGGAGAGCGGTGACGAGACGCGTCGGCGCCACTGGACGCGTTCTTTGGCTGTGTTTGGTCTCGGTTCACATCACCTGACCGCGAGTGCCAGTCTGCAACTAGTAGAAGTGCTCAAGCCTCAAGCTCTCAAGCTTCAAGGTCGAGTACCGTGTCGTGTCGCGTGTGGACGGCACCCTGCGCGACCTTGCGGATCTGTCCCTCTCGCAGCTCTGGGCAAGTGGAAGGCAGACACATATTAGCGCCAAATGCGATCTAGTATTCTCGAGCTATATTACTTCCGGATGCTCGTCTTCGGGAACTTGTTCAGCCAATATGAGCTCACGTAACCTCTCTCCTGCCACTTCTCCAATCTCTACGAACCTCCGCTTCTCGTCTCCATCAGCCCGCAACCACTGCGCGTCCCGTCTCGCGCCCTCCGCTATCCCCCAGAGAGCGCTGATCATCCGGTCTGACTTCTCTTCCATCCCGTCGTCGTCTGTCGTCTCCGCCTCGGGCACTGCAGTCTCCGGCCAGATCCGCGGGCGACAGTGCGCAAGCTTCAGCAGCCGCAGTCCAGGGAGGAACACCGCCGCCATGTGCACGACGTGCGCGAGTGTGTGCGCACGGAGCGCCTCGACGCTCCGCTCGAACGTGAGCTTCTTGCGAATCTCTGGCTGCCCGGCGAACGGGCGGTCGTCCGCATACGAAATCGCAGGTGATGGGGGCACGTCCAGGCCGAGGTAGACGAGCTTCGGCAGCGCGATGACGGCGGCGAGGAGGCAGGGCTGCCGGGGTGCGCGTCGACCCGTCAATGACAGTCTGATGCGTGATGAAGGCTGCTACTTACGACGAGATCTTGTCCGGCGTTGCGGACGTCGAGCGTGAGCTCCAGCCAGCGGAGGCGGGGAGCCTCGCCCGCGAGCGTCGACCAGAAAAATGTGGGCTCGTCCTCTTGCGCTTCCGCCGCAGCGCCGTCGGTGGCCGCGCTGGCGAGACAGACCGTGACGGTGAGCGCTGTTGGCTGCACATGCCCAAGCACGAAGAGCGCTTCGTGCGTTCCGCGCCCGTCGTCGCCCACCGTGTATGTGCGGGACTGGACGCGGAGCGCGTTGAGAAGGATGAAGTGCCGCGCGCGCGGGAGACGGGGCGCAGCGTCCAGGGGAACTTCGAAACCATAGCCGAAGTCGGTGTTCCAGGTGAGCGACCGAAGTGGGCTGGGCCAGGCAGGGCCGGCGTCGGACATGAAGCCAAATCTGGTGAAGAAATGGGTGAGGTGGAAGGAGAGATGCTCAAGACCCCGGCACGCGGCGAGGAGGGCCTCCAGGATGTGATCTTCCACATGCAGGTCGAGGTGGCGAATAGAGGGAAGGATGGGGAAGCCAGGTGCGGAGAGGGTGTCGAAGAAAGACGCGGGCTGTGAACCGAGGGTCTTGCTGTTGGCATTGTATAGCCTCAGTTTGCGCAGGCTGGGGAAGCGCAAGAGTTGGCGGATGAACCATGCCGGCTCGAACGACTGCAGATCTGGGTCGGCGAGCTCGTGGGTGTAGTGTAAGGACAGATTCTCCAGAGGGGCGTGTGGGAAATCGAGAGCGACCAACAGGACAGTGATTTCACCGCACCCCTCGAGCACGAGTGTGGTGAGCCTTTGAAGGATGGAAAGAGGACGCTCCAATCGCTCGTTGCCGAGATTGGCATGTGCGTGAGACAGGGAGAGGGATTGAAGACCTTGTGCGCAGCCCAGGACATAGTTCAAGCTTTGGATGCCGTCGATGTCGGGGCGGATATAGCGAAGGTCGAGAGATCGGACATATTCAATGGGAAGGCGTCGAGATAGCCGCGGTTCTGGGGTGGACATGAATTTTCGGAAGCGTCGTACGCGCCGCTTTGTCTTTTCCCTGGGTACGGTGCAGTGAGCGAGGGCGCGGGGAAGAGCAAAGGGGTAGACACGTGAGGAGGTGAGGGCGAGGTGGAAGGCATCCATGGATGTGAGGTAGGTGCAGATCTCAAACACCACGTCCTCGTTGAGAGACAGGAAGGTGGTCATCGTGACGGTGCAAGTGGAGGGAGGAGGAAAGGGGTCAACACATATTAGCGCCAGGGGCTATTGACAAGAGTCGTGCTTATATAACACTGCTGCATCCCTAAGTATCACATGAGCCGCCCCATGCACACAGCGGCGGCATAACTTACACACTCATACCGCTACGACTTGGTACTGCGCTCATCTGTGTTCTGCACGAGCTCGCGTAGCCTCTCGCCCTCCTCCCTGGAGATCTCCACGAACCGCCTCTCAACGCCTTCCCCTTCAGGCCGCCACCATCGCTCGCCTTTGTTTGCATCCTTCGCAACGTCCCTCAGCTTCTCAAGCGCCTCGTCCGCAGCTTGGTTGATCCCCTCGTCACCCGCGCCCGGTGCACCCGCCTTCTCCGCCTCGCTCCGGAACGGTGGCTGGAGGTGTGCGATCCGCAAGACGACCAGGCCTGGGAGCGCACCCGCGCCGCGCTCCACGGTGCGCTTGAGCACGTCCAGGCGATACGCTTCGTACCTGCGCGCGAGCGTGAGCTCGGTGAAGAACTCGCCCTGTGCGGTCGGGTCGAGGTCGCGGGCGTGGCCCTTGGGGTACCGTCCCGTGGCGGGCGGCACGTCTAGCCCGAGGTATGCGAGCTTGGGCAGCGCCCGGAACGCCGCGCGGAGGCAGGGCTGCGACGGTGCCGTGCGGGTGAGTGCCCAGGACAGCAGCGAGGAGGGGTTGAGCGACTCACGAGAAGCATCATGCCGTCGTCCCCTCGGATGTTCATTGTGAGCTCTAGCGCGCGCAGGCGCGGCGTCGCGTGTGCGAACGCGGGCCAGAGCGCCAGGCGGTCGTCGTCCACCACCGGCGGTTTGTCCTTGGTGGGGTAGACGGTCATGGAGACCACGACCGGATTGACGCGTCCGAGGACGACGAGGGCCTGCCCGGCGCCGTATTCGCCACCGTAGATGTCGGCGGTCTCCCCGCGCACGTGCAGCTTGTTGTGCAGCACGAGGTGGTGCGCGCGCGGGATGCGCGGTTCGGACTCGGGGGAGAGGTAGAGCCCGCAGTTCGGGTCCCAGGTGAGCGTGCGGAGGGGGCTCGGCCAGGGGGGACCAACGGTGCTGAAGTCACGGTTCCAGCCTGCGTGCGTGCGGCGAAAGACGAGGTCGGTTAGGTTGCGGCAGGCGGAGAGGAGGGTTTCGAGGATGAAGCCTTCGATGTGTAGGCTGAGACGGCGGATGGAGGGGAGGACGGGGGAGCCGGGGGAGCCTAAGTCCTCCCAGAAGAAGTCGGGCTCCGCGCCGAGCGTCCCAGCGTTGGCGTTAAGGAGGGTGAGGTCGCGGAGGCGGGGGAAATGGGCGAATGCTCCGATGAACGACTGGGGTTTGAACGGCATGAGCAGAGACCGATGGGCGTACTGGTCCGTGAACTGCAACGACAGGCTCTCCAGAGTTTCAATGGAAATTTCTGCGATGCTCAGGATGGTATTCTGAACGCAACCTTCGAGGATGAGTGTCGTGAGCTGTGGCAGGGTGGGGAGGACGTCTGCGAATGAGAAGAGATTGAGATACACGTGGGACAGAGAGAGCTCGAGCAGACGCGAAGCTATGCTGAGGATGTTGCTACAGCGCCACGCCTCCACCTCTACGATACCCCGGAGATCCAACGAGCGAACATAGTAGATTGGAAGGAGCAACGGCAGTCGCTCGTCGGTGCGAATCATGGAGCGTCGGAAGCGCGACAGGCGGGGCTTGGTCTTCTCCTTGCGCATGGCGCGGTGGGCGAGTGCGCGGGGCATGGCCAAGGGATAGAGTGATGAATGAGCGAGAGAGAGCTGAAGGGCATCCCTTGAGGTGAGGTAGGAGCAGATTTCGAGGAGGACATCTTCGTAGAGTGAGAGGAAGGTGAGCATGGCCAGCTACGAGTGACGCCTGGCGCGGCGGAGCGCAGCAGGATGGTGTAGGCGCCGCCGGTGGCGTTCTGTAAGCCTACGGACAAGCTCCGACCACACACAGACGATCTGGCATCACCGGTAGGGTATGGGCTGGTAAAGCAAGACGGTTCGTGGAGATATCGAGAGGCGAAGCTGCGGGAGCTCGCAGGCTGAAGTTGCTGGCCGTGATGAGGCCTGAAAACGTACCGCACACTATGTATGAGTGCATCAGCAAAATCTCATCAGTCGTGCGTGCGCGCGCGTGCGCACGTAAGTGTGCTCAATCCGGCCAATCCGTCCATTCTGTGGCGCAGGATCCCTGCGCAACTCACGGATTACAATCCACCCCAATTCTGCGCAAGCGGCGCCAATCCCACGCAATGCTACGCCGTGCGCACGCAATTTCAGCAAGGGATTGGTTTGATGGTGGGCACTTGGCCCGCCTGCGTGCCCTCGTACGCCACCCAAGTGATTCCGGGGGCACGATGTCCTTGGCAAGGTTCTGTGCACTTGGGCGGAGTGCACACTCGTGCAAGGATGTCAATCGCTGGCCGGGCTGCTGAGGGATTGACCGGATTGCAAGCAAATGATTGTGGAAGGGGCGGGATCGGGTGGGCTGCTCAGCAGATTGTGGTCGCACTCAGAGTTCAGTAGAAGCCAGATTGAATACTGGCTCAAATAAATTCACTATACAAGTACAGCTACTACGACATTGTGGGAGCACGCTGAGCCGGTGCCGGGCCTGTGATAACAGCGGCTCCATGGTTCATAGGAGTGCTGAAAGAAGACGGCAAATCAGTAAAGCAATACAGATGGTGAACCAAAAATCATACCTGCGTGGTTGCAGGCTCCGCGCAGGTAGGGGTTGCGGGTGACCCGCACGGGTTGGTGGGTACGGCTCGTGCTCCCACCTGACCTGCGAACATTACGGCGGCGGCGGATGCGCGGGCGCTGGAGGCGAGAGCGCGGCGTGGTGCGGCAGCCAGGATGCGCTGGTGAAGGCGGAGAGCGCGGCACGGCGAGGCGGCCAGAACGCGTTGGTGCTTATTCCGGCATAGGGAGTGGGATGTGGCGTGAACAGATGCAGATCCGCGAGATGGAGCGGGTGTGCGGCGCGCTGCTGCGGATGTTTGCCAACGTCAAGGGAAGCCAGATACTGGGAAGCGGAGGGCGGCGGTCGTGGGGAGGGCGGTCGCTGTCGCATGCCGCCAGGCGCTGACGAGCATACGCCTGCCAACGAAATACCCACAGAAAACGGTGGGGAGGGCGCCACTGCCGCTCACCAGCGGGACCTCGACGCGGACAAGGGCGACTCTGAGTCGCGGACGTGACCGTAGAGCGCGTACACGCACCAGGCTTGCGCGTATCGCGCGGGGGTCTTTTTTTTGCGTACGCATGAGCGATAGCGAAGGAGGAAGGGAGGGATCAGGGTGGGCACGGGAGAGAAAGCGGCGTCCGCGTCCTACGCCCTCTAAGCGTGAGCGCCGAAAGCGGCGACGGAAGGCGAAAAACTCACAACCCAGAGCCCGGACAGAGCCAGGCGTGAACTTGAGGCTGCCAAGGGTCACGCCAGAGGTCGAAGAATGCCCTCCACCGCTGCCACTCGCGCCCGAGCCCCGTGTTTGCCTTGCCGAGGAGGGCCACGCGCAAGTCCCAGTCGCCATGGTGGAGAGGGGCGCAGAGGAAGGGAGGTAGCAGAAGCCGTACATGGTGTACCGCCGGACGTGCTTCGCACTGAGGCGAGCGCACCGGGGGGCGAGTGTGTGGGCAGCGAGGTTTTCTGCACGAGGGATGAAGATTGCGGGGGGAGCGCGAAGGGGAGAAGGGACGTACCGAGAACCAGTAGAACCAGAGGGCGAACACGCTCTCGCGGCTCTCGATAGGCCAGCCAGAGGTTGACTGGCGGTGGGCCCAATGACGGTCGAGAATGTCCACCGCATGTTGTTTTGAGAAGCCGCCCCGGTCCACATCGCACATTGAAAGACGCAATGAAAGCGCACCTCTTTATCGCACTCCCATTGAGCCGATTGTTGCCACACCACCTCCACTACATCTCCTTAAATTTGCCAATATCGTTTGCGTGAGGCGGGGTGAAAGGAGCAAAGGAATGGAGGGATAAGTAAACCTGAGTCCGTGCGCGCGAGCCCCGACTCCGGCTGTCACACATGACTGACCCGTGCAGCAGCGCAGTGACAGCGTGTCCCGAAGTGTCTAGAGAGGCCTTGGTCAGAATGCATGAGAGGAGCAGTGTGATGCAAGGGAAGAGAGAGAGGGGGAAGAAAAGACCATCTTGTGGGCGGGCTTATACTTGAAGTTGGGTCAAGGGTGCGTCTAGAACAACAGAAGACGCCAGTCGCGGGCCCATCTGTCACGCTGACAACACTGAGCACGCTGAGGCTGGCAACGCTCAAAGCGAGACTAGTCTACGGGTATGGACGGAAAAGGATAACAACGATGAAGATGACAACGACAGTGATTACAACGGGTCACACGATGATGACAGGTCACAACGGCGACAACGACTCCTACGTAGCAGGGGAGACTCCAGATATTGGGGCCCGAGGGTGGCAAGGACAATGTGATTTCACTGTACTATATTCATATGGCAGTTCTATCATGCAGACAACGAGGAGACCGTTGAAGCGGTCAATGTAGCGATACGAGGGGAGAACATGCGCTAGCTACATACTCCGGACGATCTGGATGGCCGCACTGACAGCCACCGGTAGAGGGGCCCGATGTGTCGCAGATTGTGCCGGGGAACTGGATCTTCAATGGCAGGCCACGCCCGAGGCCGTCCGAGGATGCTCTGTGTTCGGCGCATTGTGACGCACCCAGAAGCGTCGCCTCACGACAGGCAGGCACAGACTCAGAGTCACGGACTTTATCATGGTAGCTAAAGGGGGCATACACTGAGGGCGTGCGCAGGAGGGGGTTTAAATTCTCACATTTGGACGAAGTTGTGCATGCCGTGGCTCACAGACGAAACTATTAGACTGGGCCGCGCTTCACGCGTACAATAGACGCCTATATTCTCTCGGAGATTCCAAAATACTACCAATCCACTGGCTACACTTGAGAATCACCCAATCGCCCGCAAGGGAGCACAAGCCGACACACGACGCCACCGGGATTGCGCGCACTTGGCTGGATTGCGCGCGCGCGCGGTTCGGCCGAAGCCCGCCCCTGCCGGCCCGGGCTTCCAAGTCCACCAAGCAAGCGCAAGCAAACTGGACTTTTGCTGATGGCCTCATAGGCTACGCCTGGATGATGCACTCGGGGGAGGCGGGCTGAGGACGACTCGGTCTCGATTATGAGCCCATATTGTGTTCCGGGCAAGGGACCGTACGTAGCGGGCTGGGCCACCCAAGGGCAACGTCCGTCTGGATCCTTGGCTGTAGTGCGTGAGGTGAAAGGAGAGGTGGGTGAGACCGCAACACGTCGAGGATGAAATCCTCCGCGCGGAGATCGAGGCGGCGGACGAAGGGCAGGATTGCGGAGCGATTCAGCGCTGAGAGTGGGGGAATTGGGGTTGCGAAGTCCAGCTGCGGAGCACACGCAGGTGCTCGACTCCATCCTTGTCTGGACGAATGTACCGAGCATCGGGGGATCGAACATGAGAAAGGGGGAAGCCTCCAGGTAGCCTTGGGTCGCAGGGAGTCGCGAAAACGGCGCACTCGCCGTTACGTCTTCTCTTTCTCTTTGCCTATGGGGCAGTGTGCGAGTGCGCGAGTGCTCGTTGAGGGAGAGAAGGGTGGTCATTGTTCGTGCTCTTCGCATCTTCGCCCGAATACTCGACGCACACTCACCTCAAGTTGCGACGGGAAGAGTGAATAACCAGACACAGACCAGCATGTACAGACATGTCAATCCAACCTCCTGCGCTTCTCTCCATGTCCATAATCCACCGACCGTTCCCTTGACCGCCGACGGTCTCGCCGTCGGTCCTCGTCCCTCCGCCTCTCCCGTTGCGGTGACCGCGACCGTGAGCGTCGTCGGTCGTCGCGACTTCGGTCGCCGTCCCGTCCATGGTCGTGCTTCCCGGCGCGGTCGCGGTCGTCTCGGTAGTATCGTTCCCGGTCCCTTGCGCGCTGCTCGTCTCGCCGCCTGTCCCGATCGTCTGTGTCTGCTCGCTGGTCCTCGTCGCGATCTCGCCACGAGTCTCGCCGGTTGTCCTTGCCTCCGTCACGCGCACCCCATTGACGCATACCCACGCCCGTCGGCGCACCGTTCGCACCTGTCGCAGTCCGGCCAGGAGGCATATTCGCATTTTGGGGACAGTCTGCGGATAGACTCAGAAAGTGACAATGGTGCAGGAAGAGCCAATACTCACCTTTCTTCAGATGCGGACCACCACACAAGAAACATCCTCCGCCGTCGGTCGACATTCCACCCGTTTTCACCGGCCCAGTCCCCCCAAACCCGCCCTGAGTGGTATCCTGATCCAGCAAGTGCGTGTACTTTGTCCGCCCGCGTTTCCCGAAGTTCTTCACCTGCATCACCTTCGGCAGCATCGATACGTCCATGGTAGACTCCGTCGCCTCTGTGAAATCGTGTCGGCGGAGGATATCCTCGTCCTGACGGAACGCGCCCTTGTGCCAGTACTTCTGTAGGAACTTCTGTTGGCCCTTCGGTTTGTCCTTCCGTGACTGCTCTGCATGCTCGAGATCCTCCTTCAGGCGTTGCTCTTCGGGGAGTGCCCGTCGTCGCTCGACCTCCTCTCGTTCCTTCTCCCTTGCGAGCTCGGCCTCTTTGTCGCGCTTGATCCTTGCAAGCTCGCGAAGGCGCCATGCCTCGAACTCGCCTGCAGGATCAAGCCCGTCGCTGTCGTCGACGTCCGGGGTCTCTTCCTGCTTCTCCTCTGCATCGCGGCGTTAGATATGTAAGGTACAGCAAAGAGTCAGTCAAACACACTCTCGAGGAGCTCTCTGCGGATGCTTTCCGCAACCATGTCGTGACTCGCTTTCTTGCGCTCCTCGATCTCCTCTTCTTTGCGCTTCAAAGCCTCCTCCGAGTCCAGAGCAATGGCTTCCCTTTCGGCCACAGTGACTCGAGCACGTCTACAGTTCGCGGGGTGAGCCAGCTGAAGCAAAAAGGCGATCGTAAAGACTTACTTGGGCACAAATACGGGGCGGAACTGCAGCTTCGGTTTCTCTTCCTCCTCCGATTCGGACTCTTCTTCGCTGGACTGCCAGGCATCTCGTTAGCCAGACATATTGAAAGAATGAACGGCTAACCTCTTCTCCGCTCCCCTGTTCTTCCTCTTCCTCCTCTTCATCCTCCTCTGTCGCCCATTCGCATCAGTACACCACGGAGAACAACCGCACACACGCACCTTCCTCCAACTCTGCCGCCGTACGCCCGGACTCCTCCTTCCCGCTCACAATGACCTTCCCGTCCGTCGAGATGTTCACGTCGCGCAGCGCCACGCTGATCGCGCCTTTGGTCGCCTTCAGCGCGGGCTCTCTCCGGACGGGAAGCTCCTCCGGCTCGTCGTCGTCGTCCCCCTCGCCGACATCGTGTATGAGCACGTCGCCCTCCTCCTCCGCCCGCTCCTCGTCCTGCATCTCCTCGTCTTCATCGGAGTCGGAGGCGGCGTCCGCGCCTTTGGGTGCTTTGCCCTTCCAGTACCGCGCTGCCGGGCGGGCCAGACGAGTCGCGGGTTTGCGCGGGGCCGAAGACATGTCGTGGATAGGGTGGTTGCGATTGCTCCGTCCTGTCCTTTCGGTGACTTGAGCAAAGTGTGAGAGGGGGTGCAACGGGATGCGCGGTAGAAGGCAAGGCTGGTGGGCCAGGGCTGCAGCGTTCCGTGCCACTGTTGGCACGATCACGTGCGTTGTATGTAAGTCCTCATCCGAGCCTCAGCGTTCAGCGTTCAGCGCTCAGCTATCTCTTGCATACCCTGCATCGTTGATCGTAAACTTCACCCTAGGGCCTCTTGCTTTGCAACGCGAACTATGTCTGCGTCTCTCCGGGCCGACAGACCGCGCCCTAGCCAACGCTGTTCTGCATCAGCGATCTTCGACGTTCACCAGCACCTCCAGCGACAGAGCACAAAACCCGGACTTTCTTCAAACAGAACTCATAATTGCTTCCTAGGGCGTCACGCGTCAACGTTCAACGTCGAATGATGGGTATCGCTCCTGCTGCGCGCAAAGCTCATCAGGTATGTCAGACATGCTGCGCCGCGGCTGGAATCCGCCTCAGCGAGAACACGCGTCGTCACGGCACATTTCGTGTCAGCAACTTGGCGAGTGTTATGTGTGGGCGACCACCTACAAGCACAAGACCCACTCGAACTCCTGCTGCGTCGCAGCATCGCGCGCGTCGAAGCAGTGAGCACACGTACATGTTCCATCTCCATGCTGACCCACCCCGATCTCCCGGTATTACAAGGTACTGACACATCGGACCTCAATAGGCTTTCGCCTTGGGTAGGAGAGTGCCAATGTTGATCCCATGGGGACGTATAAAACAAGTCTGTAGCTGTCCACAGAACGGACAGAAACCCCTCAACCAAGCTCGAAACAGCATCAAACAACCGCAAGATGGCCACCTTTGTCATTCTCGGAGGCACCGGAAACCTCGGTGAGCCCCTCGCGGTTGAATCCAGACCAACCGTGGTTAACCACGCCCATCCGCTCCGGACAGGCTACTTCGTCGTCAAGACTCTCGTGGAGGAGTACAAGGACGCGTACCCCGTCATCCGCTTCACGACCCGGGACCCAGCCTCCGCCAAGGCGAAGGAGCTCGTCGCGCTCGGCGCGCACGCCTTCGCGTTCAGCGACCCTCTCGACACCATCCTCGCCGGCGCCGCCGTCGTCGCGAGCATCATACCCACCGCGACCGAGGCCACGATCCTCCCAGAGCTCGTCCCCGCCATGGTTCGCAACGGCGTCCAGGTCTTCTTCACGTCCGAGTACGGAAAGTGAGCGTCGCCCTCCCCTCCGCCCGCTCCCCGCGCTCACCCGCTCCCAGCGACCTCCGCAACATCAACTTCCCGGGGTACGAGCACCCGGACTGGGCGGGCAAGCTCGCGAACCGCGCGACCGCGATCGCGCTCGCCAAAGGGTCCGACCTCATCCTCATCCCCGTCGCCACCGGGGTCTTCATGCCCTGGGCGGCCCACATGTCCGTCGACTGGGCCGCGGGCAGCACGATCGGCTTCAGCCCGGGCAGGCGCATGGCGACGACGGACCTCCCGGACATCGCGCGCGCGCTCGCCCGGCTCGCGGTCCTCGCGCGGGACCCGGCGACGCGCGCGAGCGTGCCCAGCGCTGAGGGTGGCGTGCGGATCGCGAGCCAGTTCATCACGAGCGCGGAGGTCGTCGAGGCGGTCAAGAAGGCCAAGGGGGTCGAGCTCACGGTCACGCCGTTCGACGCGGAGCAGTCGAGGGAGACGCTGAAGGCGATCTACCCGCCGAAGGAGCTGTCCGCGTTCGTGCTCTATGCGGGGTGAGTCGTTCGGTTCGGGGCTGCGGCGGCCGGAGGGTGGAGCTGACGCCTGCGGCGGTCCTTGTAGGGTCCTCATCGAGGAAGGGCTCGCGGACTACTCTGCCGACTGCCACAACGAGCTCGTCAACCCCGGAGAGAAGTACTGGAAGTGGAAGACTTTCGAGGAGCTGTTGCGCTCCACGTGAGTGTGCTGGACGAACATCGCATGTGCAAGCATCTGGATATCATGCTGTGATCAGAATGAGAAGTGGCGACTTTTGATACATAGTATGAGCAGTTGGAACGGTATGGATGTCAGTTCCAGGCCTGTCAGCCTATTTAATGGTCTTGCCCGGCCGCAATGGGGCGAAAACGGACGCAAGAACCTAGAAGATTTGGAGTTGTGGGGGCTTTATGCCTTTGTGGACAAGGGGCAGGAGAAAGAGAAGGAGCAGCGGAAGAGGGGCACGCTTGGGACAACTTAGGACGTCGAGTGAAGCAAGCGCCGGGTGGGCGTCTTCGAATCTGTGGTTGTCGCCTCCCCGAATTCATGCTCACTCCAGAGTCCAGACTCGTACTATTCTAAACGCTTTCCCATCAACTATGCTCGCTCCCTCGGCCTTCGATCCCTTTCTGCATCCTTGACAACGAAGAGTTCGCATGAAGCTTCACCGGCTAACCACCCTCGAGAGCGAAGGCTGCGATGCGGGTACCATCGTGGTGCTCCCACTGGGGTTCCGCGGGTCTCCATAGAGACGGTGTGAACGAAAAGGTAGTTGAGAAATGAGTCTACCACATGTAAAGTGGTGAGAGATTTAGCTCAAGTCTTGTCGATGACATCAGCCTGCGCGAGCTCCCGCAACCTCTCCCCTTCGTCCCTCGATATCTCCACGAACCGCCTCGGCAATACCTCGCCCTCCTCATCCACCCCGTGCCCTACCCCATACCATTGCACGTCTTGTCTGATGTCGGTGGTGACTGAGAGCGATCGCTTTCCACGCTGCACGATCTCCATCATTTTGTCGAACATCTCCTCGTCTCCCGCCTCCGGATGGAACCCCGGCAGCATGTGCCCGACCCTCAGCACGTTGAGACTGCGCATCAGCCCCGCACCCACCGCGATGATCGCCTGGAAATGCTCCACGCGCATCAGCTCGATCCCGCGCTCCCACCTGAGATCCTTGTAGAACGTCTCGCGCACACTTTCGTCCGCGCCGTCCGGACAGTGCATCGGGTGCGGGCTTGTCAGGGGAGGGATGTCCAACCCGAGGTGCAGGAGCTTCGGAAGCGCGATGAGGGCGTCACAGAGGCAGTGCTGAACGGGTGTAAGCATCCGCCGGGGCACAGCGCCAGGGGAAGGCTCACTATGTAATTCGTCGGCCATCCGCTGATGTCTAAAGTGAGCTCGAGGGAGCGCAGGCGCGGAGTGCTGAGGGCGAACGAGGACCAAAACGGCGGGGTCGGCCGCCACTCGGCGCGCGTGATGTCGGGGCTGACGTAGACAGTGAGGTCGACGACGACCGGCTGGGTTTGCGCGAGGATCGTGAACGCTTGTTCGGTGTTCCCGCAGCTTGAGAAAGGGTGTATCTTGAGAGAGTCCGCGGGTACGTGAAGCGCGTTGGAAAGGGTGAAACGATGCACCCGGGGAAGGCGGGCAATTGCCGAGGGAGCGACATCTTTTAGGAGTCCTTCGTTGGCCACCGAGTTCCAGGTGATGGACCGTAGCGGGCTGGGCCAGGGGGGAGCAGCACCGGAAAGGGGGGCGGATATGTGCGTGTAGTGTGTGAGGCAGAAGGAGAGATGGTTGAGGCCACGGCAAGCGGCAAGGAGGGTCTCGAGGATAAGATCTGTGGTTTGCAGGTCGAGGCGGCGGATGGAGGGGAGGACAGGGGAGGGGATGAGAGTGCGGTAAAAGGAAGGAGGCACAGTGCCGATGGTGAAGAAATTGGCATTGAGGAGCTTGAGATCCCGTAGACGAGGGAAATGAGCCAAATTTCTGAGGAAGGCGTGCGGGTCGAAGGGCTGGAGGGTCGACCTGTCGACGTACTCGTTTGTGAAATGCAGTGACATGGTTTCGAGGGACTCTCCGGGGAATTTGGTCAAGTTGATGAGAGTATGCTGGTTGCAGCCCTCGAGCACGAGCGTTGTGATCCAATGGAAGATGTTGCCGAGCACTGGTGGGCCGAAATTGGGGTTTTCAAGATTGATATATGCATGGGACAGAGAGAGTGCGCGAAGGCGAGACGCGGAGCACAGGACGGTATTCAAAAGTTCGACACCATGCTTGTCTGGGCGGATGCGCCGAAGATCGAGAGAGCGAACATAGCGTATGGGGCTGCCTTGAGGGAGCCTTGGGTTCGCGCGAAGGATGAAGTCGCGGAAACGACGCACTCGCCGCTTCGTTTTTTCTTTGGCTACTATGGCGCAGTGTGCAAGAACGCGAGGAAACGCGAGGGTGTATGCATAATGGCAAGTGAGAGCGAGGTGGAAGGCATCGCCGGAGGGGAGGTGGGAGATGAGCTCGAGGAGGACGTCCTGGTTGAGAGAGAGCAAGGTGGCCATCGCGCGACCCGACGGCGGACGCACGACCCAATCGGCGCCTCACGTGCACTCGGGCGCTCGTCAGACCACCGCGGTCATCTCGCTCGTCGCATATATTCAAAGTGTGTACTTCGCGGGACGAAAAACATCCTCTATGTTGAGCCTCTTCACGTCCTCATACTGCCCCCCTGCCCCTTTACTGTTCGTCTCACCCGCACACTGCCGTAGTCGGGATGTACATGCAGCAACAGCTAGAGATCATGCTAGCGTACACCATGTCAGGTATAGTAGCCTGCCTCAAGTCATATGGCTTACTCACCGTCGTAGTAATCTGCGGCAACCAGTCTACAAGGACGGAGTCAGCAAGTAACACGGCGGGAGATAATCCACTCACAGCTCGAGGGATATCTCCGGATAGACGCGTTCCTGGAAGTCAGGGATCTCCTCGTTCTTTTTCGCGCCCTCGTACAAGGCTTTGTACGTCAGATACTCGCTAAGCTTCTCCACGATAATGGCGCTGGAAGAAGCCGGGCGGTAAGTCACAGTCAGACACCGCCCGTAGCCGTATGCGGGATACAAAGACAGCGAGCGGGGTCGGGCTCGATGCTCACCGCTCGTCAACGGGGCACACGTTGGAGAGTGCTTCGGAGAAGCTACCTGGATCGGCGGCGTCAGCACGAGTACCGGACGCACGAGAGCGGGATGTTGAGGCAAGGAGGGCTGACTTTCTGCGTTGAGCATGTTCCGGAGCGTGCCACTGCCCATGGCGGCTTTGCGCTTGACGAGATAATCGAAACCGTCATTGCTCGTGAGCCGCACCCACTCGTTCATCTTGCTGTTCTCATCCCCCTGCGGTCGGGCAGTGGATCATATCAGCGCGTTATGCATTGACTGCGTGAGACGAGGCGCAGCGCGAAGGTGGTGGGTCCACGCGCGTCCTCGAAACCCGTGTAGGGTGCCGTACCTGCATGTTGGCGTCTTCGGGCATGCTTTTACGCCACCAGTGAAAGGACCCTTGGTGCAGTTGTCGCCCAGAGCGCTGTAAGGATGCTTGTCTCCGACAGGAAGCGGACAGAGAGAGAGAGAGAGAGAGAGAGGGCAGTTCAATCAGAACGCGTGTGGAGGCTGCGTCGCGCGCGGCAGAACACGGGCCGGCCGGGCGAGGCGCAAGCAGCTGCCGAAAGCAGGCTGGACGCGGCCTCCGTCCTCGCCGAGCGCGGTGGCCACCCTTCCGCACGCTCTCATCCACCACCTCCTCACCCTCCCCGCCCAGATGGCCCTCCCCAAGGTAAGCCTCCTGCGGCCTGGCGCGTCGGCGCATCGCTCACCCGCCGCACTCTCCGCCGTGTATCGCAGCGCATCATCAAGGTGTGTGGCTTCCGCTGCAACCCACGCGACCACGCCGCTCACCCCCGCCGTGCCCGCTCGCGCGTCCGTGCTGGCCTGTAGGAGACCGAACGTCTCGTCGCAGATCCTGCTCCCGGCATCAGCGCTGAGCCCCGCGAAGACAACCTCCGCTACTTCGATGTGAAGATCCAGGGCCCCGATGGCAGCCCCTTCGAGAGTGCGTGCCCGTCCCCCATCCTCGCGCTCTCCCCGAGTCTCGCTCCCTGTTGATGGTCGGCTTCACTTGCAGACGCGGTCTTCACCCTGGAGCTCTTCTTGCCCGAGGAGTATCCCATGAGCCCACCAAAGGTCCGCTTCCTGACCAAGATCTACCACCCTAACATCGGTCCGTTTGGCGGTTGCATCCTCATCCTGTCCCTCCTCACACACCCATCTCGTGCTACAGACAAGCTCGGCCGCATCTGTCTAGATATTCTCAAAGGTATGCCCCCTCTCCACCCTCCCATTCGTCCTCCATACCCTGCTGCGCCGTTGCCTGTCCTACCGTCGCTCCACCGCCTGCCCATCCACCAATCATGCCACCGCCCCCTCCATCCCGTCCTCCTTCGCTCCCTCACACGTCCACTCCTGCAGACAAGTGGTCCCCAGCGCTCCAAATCCGCACCGTCCTCCTCTCCATCCAGGCCCTCCTCAGCGCGCCGAACCCCGACGACCCGCTCGCGACCGACGTCGCGAAGCACTACAAGGAGGACGAGAAGGACGCGCAGCGGGTGAGCCGCGAGTGGACCAAGAAGTTTGCGGAGCCGTTGAGCAGCGAGTAGCCCGGCTACCGCCTCGTCCCCGGGACCTCTTCCCACCCATACCTCCACCTCCATAACCTCTATCCCTTACACCTCCTACGACCCCTACATCTCGCCCGCCCGCCCACAGAGAAGGCCGAGGTGGATTCAAGCGGAGCCAGGCGGTCTCTTTGTCCTCTGTACTACGTGACGATTAGACGGAAGTGTGCATTCAATGTACGATGCGGTTGCAGCTTTTACTCTCCAATGTACTCTGTCTGTGCGAGATCTTCGAATCGTTGCGTGTGTGCCCTCGCGCACACGAAACGTCCCCGCACGCAATCATCCACCTCCCGTCCGATAGCACTGTCTCAGATTGCAAACAAGCACGACGCAGGGTGATACAACAACAGCCGACCGCACTTCCCCCAGGGTATCCTACACGCCGCCGACGATCCCGGTGCATTCGCCCCATCTCCCTCCTTCCCAGCAGCACTCACGGCGCCGTTCCGAACCGCTTGAGCCCCTTCGGCCGCGCCGACCTCTTCCCCCGCGCGATCCTGTCCGCCAGCCGCTCCACCATCCCCCCGTCGCCCAGCCCCTCCTCCTCGAGCGCCCTCTTGATCAGGTCCTCCATCGCCATCCTGCCCCCGCCCTCCACGGCCCCGTCCTCGCCCGCGCCGCCGTGCGCCGCGAGCGCGAGCCCCGGGATCCGCATGCTCGGCACGGGCACGAGCGGGAGCGAGCTCGGGGCGGTGTAGTCGAACTGGGACGGCATCCGCTCGTTCGCCGCGTCGGACACGCGCGCGTCCGCGAACGAGCGGATCGCCCGCCGCGCGCCCTGGCCCGACACCCCGAGCGCGTCCGGCGCCGCGGACGGGTTCGCGAACCCGCCCGGCCACGCCGTCGGCGCCTGCTCGGCGGGGTACGCCCCGGGCGCGAGCGCGAGCTCCGTCGCGCCCTCGGCTTCCTCTCTGTGCGCGCGCGCGCGGATGGGTCAGACGGAGAGGAAAGAGGGAAGGGAGGGCAAGGACGCACCGGAGGAGCTGGAAGATGCGCTGCATGCGCCCGACCGCGAGGATCTTGTTCTTGATCTCCTGCCGGCGCTGGGATATGTCCCCGCTCGACGCGAGGTCGACCGTCCGCGCGTCCTCGTCCGAGTCGTCGTCCTCGAGCGCCCGCGCCCGGTCCGCGTCCTCCTCCTCGGACGAGACGGACTCGAGCTCCTGGTCCGAGCACACGGATAGGATCGCGAGCAGCATCTCGGTGATCTTCGAGCCGACGAACGGGAGCGACCACGTGAAGGCGTCCATGAAGTTCGGCAGCCAATACGGGTGCGAGCTCGCGTTGTATTGCCTGTGCCGCGCGGTCAGCGCTGGACTACAGCAGGAAAGGGGGAGGCCCACCTGATCGTGATGTTTTTGTTCTTGTACTTGATCACCGCGCCGCGGTTGTGGTAGACATCCAGATAGTTTGGGGCGCTGAAGATAGTGATTACGGAAGGGAATTTCTTCGTCGGTGTCTTGCGGTGCATGGTGTACCCCGCGTCCTGCGCTTCGTGTCCTCGGAAGATGCCCAGCAGGTTATTACGTTCGAGGAACTTGCAGGCGGCGTCGTATCTGGATAGTTGCTAAGCGACAAGACAAGCCTACCGGAAGCGTGAAAGCGTACGTGTAGTAGTAACTGCACCCACGCGTATGGTTGTCTACGAACGGAACGCCTGGCGGGAGGCCAGCGCCCATTGTCGGATCTTGCTATGAGCACGATATTAGAGACGTTCCTTCGATCGTGAATGCAGGACGAACCTCATGACCGAAGTTTGGTATAGGATCTGCCCATAGTAAATCACACAGGAGACCTTTTGATGCAGGCTCTTCAAAGCGGTTGAGCTGGTGTCTAGTCAGCTTTGAGATTAGCATAAGCGCACTGAATACATACGTTCTCAAGGTCCTTCAGGGTGTCCAGCTCTGGCGAGATGCCGCCATGCACACAGAAGAATTTGCCGTCCACAAGGGCGGTGATGGGCAGTGCTTGGAAGGAGCGTATACAGGCATCATAGATCTCCAGGGAGTACTTGTGCAGACCTGACGGTGAAGAACGCTGTGAGCAGGTTAGGCTGGAGACAAGCACGATGATAGTCACCGACATTCGCGCTTGAACGTGAAATACTCCGTCAGATGCCTGCACTCGTGGTTCCCGCGGAGCAGGTATATTCGGCTAGGGTAGCAGAGTTTGAGGGCGTAGAGGTACAGCAGACACTGTAACACGCAAGTCAGATGACTTCCCGACGTCTAGCCATCTCGCTGGATAGGCAAAACATATGGGGAAAGGGTAGGCCCACGTGGAAATGACGGATCGTGATGTGCGGAGACGCAGAAGGGATGGGCGGCAAGATCAACTCACCTCGATGCCAAAGCAGCCGCGATCGACGTAGTCTCCTAGGAACAGATAGCTGTTCTCGTCAAAAGTGCCGCCGACTTCGAGGATCTTCATGAGATCATACTAGACGAGGTCACGCAAGAATCGAAAGGGAGTGAGAGCAAGGAACGCACGTATTGGCCGTGGATATCCCCGCACACTACGTAAACGCGACCTGGGTCAAACGCCGCGATAACGGCGGGGCACAGGACGCACCGGTTACGGGGCTAGGTACATGGAGCAGGTTCGGCTCGCGGCTCATGAGATCCGTGGCCTGTTCGAGGATCGCGTTTGCCTGCTTGTGGGAGAGGCGGCCTTCGTGGAAGAAGTGTTCCCTGAGGAAGTCGATGTTCGGCCGCTGGCGACCGGTGTACTTGTCGTGGACGAAGAGGTCCTCATCGAGCGGTACGTGTGCCGCGGGAGGTGTGACCTGGGAAACAATGCGGATTCAAACCGGGAGAGCGGGTGAGAAAGGAACGAAAAGACGTACATGAGGAGCCTGGCGTTCCTGTAAGTTGCGGGGAGGAGACGGAGGGCGAGGGACGACTACTGACTGTTTGGGGCGCGCCTGCTCGTACTGATTGCTGGTGTAGTATCGGCTGTCTGCGCCCGCAGCGTGGGCCATGGTCGCGATGCGAAGGGGGAAAGTGGAGGGAGACGACGAGATGCAGAGGCGAATGAACCGCGGCCGCCGCCAGACTCGAGCGGGTCCCACGCGCTCCGCCTGCACCGGCCGGCGGCGGGCCGCTCAATCTTGCCCACATACTTCAACACTCTCGACTGCGCAGACTATCCCGATGACCCTCATCTGAGAGCACTCCCCTGCGCCTCGCCCACTGACGTGCATTGCGTCCGCATGCTCGCTTGTTGTCTAGCTTCGTCGTCTGGACGTCTATCGCCCCTCTCGATGACTTGAACCGTATACCCCAACGCAAGCTCCTTCAGCCTTGAGTATCTTCTCTACTCAGTCGGGCGAGGCATCGATGGAGCATCCTTCTGGCTACGGAAGAGGAGCGGAGACTGAAGAAAGAGGTCGCCCTGGCTCTCGTATATTAATCTATCCGTTCTGAGAAATGTGGCCTCGGTGGCGGATACGTATTAGGGTTCCAGCTGAAGCAACTACGCTCAGACATTCCATCGTCCATGTTCCATTCGCATCTCCTGACTCTGTGGTACTACCCGTGCACACTCATTGTGCTTCTGTCCGGATAACTCCGCCCCTTTTGGCCTCTCATCCTCAGCTTAAAACTCACCCATCCAACTTCCACCTCCGCCCACACCGACATATTCCTTCCCTCATCTCTAGTACCACACAACCCGATGTCATCCCTCACGCAACATCGCAACCATGCCGTTCTTGCTACCGCCGCCATTGCTGTGACCCACGGGTCACTTCTGGCCGCCGCCTTCCCCGTCGACGGAACTCGATTTTACCCTAATCCGAAGCCGCAGAATCGCGCTGATTCCATGGTCCAGTTCGTGTTTCAGTTTTTGGCCGTCGATCTCCAGTCTAACCTTATGGCGTAGACTGGACGACACTGCACCTTGGTCTCGATCTGATGAGATTCATGAACCTCGATATTCTTGGGGACTGGAGGGCTTGTCGAATGCGGACCAGCCAACCCCTTCCGCATCCTCTTCTCACGCACCGGAAAGCATGTCCCTTGTCGCGCCAACGCCTATCAAAGATAATGGTAAGCTCTCAACTTCCTTGGAGATAGAGGAGGAATTGACCTCTCCGTACAGTACAGATCCACGATGTCTCCGCACCCAGTCCTACTTCATCAGAACCTTGTCACCTTGAGGAATCCTGGGTCGTCCGCGTATTCCCGATAGCCACTTTGACGTTGATATCGGTGGTACTCGTCACCCTTGTCATCTATGTCGTCTACTTCTTCGCGTTCCGCTGGAGATTTCGGCGTCTGCAATCGCCGGTCAAAGTGTCGACTCCGTCGATGACATCGCTGGTGTGTTTCGCCACTCATACCATCCGTGTCGTCAGCAGGCTAATTCCTGCCTCCAGCGACCTCTCACCATTGCCACCGATACGGATCGCGATACCAGGTATCTCAGTCCCAAGCGATCCGCCCACACTCTGCGGTCAAACGCCGAGGATCCGTACCCACACACGCCTACGCAGTCCACCCTCTGCGCACCTCTGACACCCTTGCCCAAGTATACCCCGCCGCCTTCTCTCGCACCTCCCTCCGCGAGCTCTGCGCATACTACCTTTTCGGAGACTTCTTCAGTTGTCGGGGAGCGCCCGAAGCAGCTTAGCTTCCTTCCTTTTGATGAGTAGCTGCTACAACACTATCACTCTCGGATTTCGCTCCCGTCCCTTCACCGATAATCATGAAATTAGATTTAGCTAGGATGGCTTCTCACACACCTATGTGCGAAGTTTCGCGCACCCCCAGCGCAAGCTGCATCTCATCGGGGGGAGTCTCACCCTCGATGGGTCTCCGCCGAAACATCTTTCCAAGCGCTCCACTTGGAATTCGGGGAATGTCGTCTTTGCGCACTTTCAGCCTCATCTCAGATCGCTTCCCCTGTGTGTAAACCAGCGTCTAGACCCCTTCATGATTACCGTTTGTTCGCTTCTGTCTCGAGCTTGAACCCTGTCGCTGTCTTCGTCGTGCTCTCTGTCTGCATTACTGTGCTACGTGCTGCGAATTGCTTTTGAGTTCCGCGTCCCTTGTACTTACTATATTGGAACCGTGAGGAATGTGTGCCGAGAGCTTCAGTGGAACATAAAGCACGGAAAGGAGCATTTACTCACGAGTGGCAGAAGTACTCGACAACGAATCACGATATCGCTCTGGCTGACTCGGCAGGCAGCCCGGAGGTTCCCGAATATTCCCACGGATATTGGCCAGGTGCTCCGATTCAGACGGAGTCGGTTTTCAGGACATTATCTTCGCGCGCGACTCGCCCTGGAACACGGAATCGCGGAATGAGCTCCTCGCCGCGTTCCATCCACCACCCGCCCGCCAGACCCTGCACCCACGTCCAAGGCATCTGTCGCTGCCAAGGCTTCTCCCACATTCACTTCCGCCCCTCCTGACCAGCCCACGACGCCCAATCTCCGCCCTCGACGTCGGCCCGATCTCTGCAAGTCTTCAATGCCAGATGAAGTTCCCGTCGGGACCGCGGCCGGAGCATAACCTTCCCCCAGCTCTCCGACACGCCCTGGATTCCGCACTTTCCGCAGACAACCAAGCGCGCAAAACCCTGCAAGAATCGCACAGAGTATATGGGACGATACCCGTACGCCCCTCCCCCTTCCTCCCTTGCCTTCTCTGGACGCCCCGCTACGGCCGCACCAGCGCATCTGGTAAGCCCGACACGCGGACCGCGCCCCGTCTATCCTCGTCCGCATCCGAGCGTCTTTCGGACCAGCCACGTTCATATCGCGCCGTTCTTCCAACAGCGGAGTACGACGGCAGACGCCGGTCACAGCCCGGGGTCCTCGCGACGCATTACGACACCCAAAGAGATCGATAGCCACGCCGCGCCGTTCACGCGCTGCGCCGTGAGCGTGCACAGGCAAGTGCCCTCCGCGGATTCGCCGGGTCGCCACTGGCGTTGCTCATAAATTTACGTCCGCCCACGCAGACGAACCGCCAAGTGCACTCTCCCCGCCGCGTTCTCTCGCTTGTATCGACCTCCGATTCTTGCGGCATCGTCATAGAACGTCCACGTCAAATAAGGTAGAGAACTCCGCGGCCGCATTCTCGGGTAGTCTTCCGCGGAGCCGTCTCTCGATGCCCTGCCGACCATGCACGCTTCCCCTGCGAACCGGCACACCACCAACGACTTCGAACGCGACACCATTCAAACTGCGCGGTCGCGGGGGTGCGCTGCACGACGGTACATGCCAAGGTCGAACTCTACTACTGCGTCCCCCCACCCGGGCCCCGTCCCGCACAGCTAGTACACGCCCGGACACAACCGCCACCGCACGCGCGCCGCCCACTCCTCCCACTGCGCCCCGAACACCCTCCGGAGCTCCACGTCCTCCGTCGTCACCCGCCGCGCCGTGCTCTTCAGCGCGTAGAACACCTTCGTCGCCCAGAACAGCGCGAACGCCCACGCCAGCAGCGGCCGCGCCCACCCCGCCCCCGCCCCCGCGCCGTGCCCGAGCACGCCCGCGAGCCCCGGCGCGAGCCACGCCTCGCGCAGCCACGCCCCCGGCGCGAGCATCGCCGCGCTCGCGCCGAGCAGCGTCGCGAACACGCCCGAGTAGCTCGGGTGGCGCACCCACGCGTACGGCCCGTGCGTCACCAGCCGGTGCGCGGGGTCGATCGTGAGCTCGAACGTGAAGAGCGCACCGAGCGCGGCGAAGCACGCGACGCGCAGCACCGCGCCCGCTGCCGTCGCTGCCGCCCCGAGCAGCAGCAGCGCGCTGGGGGTGAGCAGCACGGCCGACGGGGGGAGGAGTGGAGGGAGTGCGGACGCGTTCGCGGCGGCAGATGCGAAGTTTTGGGGCAGCCCGAGCGCAGGGGGGAGGAGGAGCGCGCCGAGCGGGCGGGAGAGCGGGGAGGGGAACGCGACGGACGCGGTCGCGAGCGCGTCGCCCACGACTGCGATCCATGTCATCATCTACCCACGCAAAAAAGGCGGCGAGTCAGTCGGCGTGCTCGAGGTGAGTGGCAGAGTTTTAGTCGCCTTCCCCATCCGGGAAACCGTCCCCTCGCGTCCGGCGCGGTCGCCCGCGTCCGCGAGGGGCCGGTCTACGGTGGGCGGCAGAAGAGGGGGGCGCGGGGGGTCAGGGGACGCACCTTGCTGCAGTACGTGACATAGCGGATCGCGCGCTCGAATAGAGTGCGTTTGTCGATGCACGTCTTCGGCGCTGGTGGTGGATTTGGGGGTGAGAGCGAGCGGTGCACAGAATAACCCGTGATGAGCAGCGCCGCGATCTTCACGAGTGGCTGGAGAATGTCCGGGTTCATGGTGGTGATAGCGAGGGCAGGATGCGCGCGGGGATGAGGAGAACGGAGAGCTGGTGCGGAAATGGGACGTCAATGGACAACAATGGGCACCGCAGGCGCAATGTGGTAGTGCCTTGATCGGCGTTTCTGTCGTCAGATGGGCGGCTAGCTGGAGACGAGCACGGCGGTCAGTGGGTGGTGGGAGGGTCTTGGAAAGCAGGAAGAGAGGGACACACATACCTGGGCTATATGGTCGCTGGGTCGGAAGGCGAAAGACTCCTTCTGGTGAAGAAGGCAGGCGACAGGGTCCGCGGCGAAAGGGCGGGAAACGTGAAGGCGAATGCAAATGAGGACCGAGGCTGCTGACGAACGCGGGGGTGCTGCGGGCGAGATCCGAAGCTTCGTGCGGCGGCAGGCGCGTCGAGGGGGGCAGAGAGGCAGAGACAGAGAGAGGAAGAACGCCGGGAGGGGGCGGGACGAGCTGCTTTTGAGGCGCCGCGGGGCGCTCGCATGTCCCGTCTGGCCCTGAGCGCTGAGCGTGCAGGGATGAGGGACAGCGTGCGAGCGACATCGGTTGGCTAATGTACGGCCAAGCGAACGCGACAAACTTACCTTATTCATCAAATCTCCAGCTCGATGCCGGCGGACGCGCGGGCCCACGGTGCGCACATTAGCCATATCCAGGTGTTCCCCCGAGGGCCGGCGCAGTCCACGCCCGTCCGTCAGACTCGCAACCCTCACGCGTCGAGTGCGGTGCTCAGGTGTGCCGCATCTGCGACGAATGCAGCGACGTTGACGGAGGCCGGGATCGGCTGGGATCGACGCTCGTCACGCCCCGGGATTGAGCGAGGCGCCTGTGTTTCGGCTCGTCGCCTCTGTCGCGCGCGCCTTGCTCGCCGGACCGCCCTCGCTGCAGTCTGTGTTGTCCATCCGTGAGCTTCCCAGCTCGGGTTTAAACGCTTCGGCTTCCACATTCTCGTGCTCCCGAGCCTCTCACCATTTCTCACCTCGTCTAGCTTATTGATTCTTTGATCCAGCCACGGTTCCGCTCCTTTCCGCTGTCGCAGCCTAACTAGTCACGTCACTCCCCAGCCTGCGCCCATCTCTCGGAGTCGCTGCCACGCGACCGTACAAGGCCCTCCCACGTTCATATTATGTCAATATCTATTGTCCACGCGCTGAAATGCCCCAGCTACAAATGCACACACCCCACCGTCCCTGCGGCCTCGTGCGCAAGCCTTGCCAAGTTGCCGCGTCAGCCGAGCTGCGAACCTCCGCGAACCTCTCTTTCCGCCCAGCCCACGGCCTCGCGCCCGCTCAGGCTGTCAGCGTTACGGGACGTCCGCCCTCGACCCAATCCCCGCGCACCACGGACACCCCGGCGTCCTACCGCGCGATCGGCTAAAGCCAAAACATCTCAAGTTTTGGTCACCGGCGGCGATACACACAAATACGTAGCCAAGGGGTCACACGCCCGCACGGCACCGTCTGGTTGTCGCGATCGCACAGCCGCCCGATCGTCCTCGCCGACTCGTCACTCCTGAGACACCCCTCCCCCCCGTGGGCCGGCGATCAGAATGAGGGGGGTCGCGACGCCGCCTGGGCTCTCGCGCCGAGGTTGACGTGAAGGCCGGTCGTGCGAGCGCGTACGGTACGCGGGCCGTGTGTCTTCCTTCGTCTTATGAGACCTCCTCGACGCGGACGGGCCAGAAGACGTACGGTGGCGTGTAATGATGGAAACGGGGGGAGCTCGCGCGGACAGGCGTGCCCTCGTCGCAGGGTCTCACGCAATCGCCGACGGCGTATTTGAAGACTTGGGACAAGACTCCCGCGAAGGTCGCCGACGCACATAATGCATTATGTACCAGGGGCAGGCCTGTCTGATGTCAGGGCGCGAATGCTGTGGCTGGATGCAACGATAGACAGCTTGGCCACGCGAGCTTGGTGACCATCGCTGGCTGCGAGCCATTTCGCCGAAATAATCGCCTTCAGCCGTTCGACATGAGGGTTACGGGGTGCAGTCGGATCCTCCGCCGCGCAGGCACAAGGTTCAGTAGGCAATGGGGAAGCAAAGAAGCCAGGCCCGGAGGAGCGCGGAGGGGCCCGCCATATCCGTGTGTAAAGAGGGTCTCGTGCCGTGGAGGACGACAACATCGATAACATAGAACTGTCTTCCCGTGGGAGGCATCAGTACTTCAGTAGCGGTCGCCGTACGATGTCGATCATGTCACAAATCCTGTAAGAGACATAGGATCGCGCGAGCCCAGCCTCAGCTGCTCCACTGTACCATCTTGCACTCGGTGAGCGGATCCAAGCACGCCCTGTACATGATCACCGCCATCCATAATGAATTACTAACGCGCCCGGACAATGTACGCGCGGACAGCGTTTGGCGGGTTGCAGCGAAGCCCGTCTGTCCCCCGCGGACATCCCAGCCGGCACCGCGGACGTTGTGCTTCATCTTCCGCTGCCGGTCTCTTGAGGGTGGAAGTACCGCGCGCACCTGCGCTTCAGCCCGCTGGACCACAACATCCATTCTCGTCCACGAGCGTTCGCGCGCGTGGAGCGGCGAGGCGCCACAACGGGCCCGCGCATTGGACCTCCGCTCAGGCTCCGCACTACCTTCCGTCTCTGGCAGGTCGGTTCCTCTATGCGAATTCTCATTCACGCGTGCGCGTGCGGGGCGCTCTCACCGCAAACTCGACATGCGCGCACGCGACAGAGGCCTCAGCCGGCTTCGCAGCGTGGGAGTGTGCGGAGGTTGCCGATGGGAAAGTCGGAACACGCCGGTTCGCAGTCCACTCTCGCCCATGTCCTGCAAACGTCTCCGGAACCACTCCGGTCTATGGTAGACGATTTCCAACGCGCCCCTCGCTCGCTCGCTCCACTAAGACCGCCTCTCTCTGGATTCGAATTTCGTACTGCCCAGCTGGGTCTTGGTTCTCGAAGCTACTGCTGAACTTCCCAAAGGTCTGTTCTGGTCAACGTTTACACACTCCGGTTTTACCTTTCAAAAGTCTCTTGGTTTTGATCAGCTCGAGGCCGCAAGCACAACTCCCGTTCAGCCCGCGGGCTCGTTTGTACACAGCACTGTACAACACCGCGCACTGCCGGTGCCTGGTGCCACTGGTCTTCCTCCAGGTCTCAACCCCCTCGAGGATCGCTCCCACTTCCTGACGCTGTCCACTTAACGGAAACGAGCGACGTGGCTGTCTTACGGCTTTCTTCCGCCCCTTCCCAATCGGGAGCAGTGGTCGAGTGCCACATCTTTTCAGTCCATGCCACAGCACGCTTCGGCACTGCCATGTGCTTGCCAGGTGGGCTGAGTGGCGGGCATAGCAGCGGCGTGCTTTGTTGTTACCAGCGTCTCCCGCCCCTCCTCCCGCCCTGATAAAAGGCCCTCGCCCTGCGCTCCTCCAACCACCCCGTCCACCGCGCCACTGATACGAAATGCCCGTCGAGCCACGCTATCCAGACCTGATCGACGAAGAGGTCATCGTCATCCTCCTCGACCTATACGCCCGCGACTTGTTCAAGTTCGACACCCACGAATACTTAGCGCGCATGCTCGACAGGGTGCTCAAGCACCCGCCATCAAGGAAGGTCATTTTCGAGAAGCATACACAGTGAGTATCCAGCTGCCTCGGCTCGCCAGTCTCATTCTAACCGCACCTGCACAGCATCATCCGCCACCCGGTGATTCTCGACCTTCTGAGGGCCATGCACGCACCAAAGCCAAAGCCATCAACCGTCGACGCAAGTAACTTACGGCAGAAGCCATCGCCACCTGCCCCAGCATCAAGCTCGAGCAGGTGAACGGCCGTCTGTCCATGCGAGCCGGCGCGATGTCGCTCACACGCACCATCCTTACCAGCCCGCATCCTTCGCCGTCTCCACCTCGGCAGCCGCCTGCGCGACCGCCCCATCTGCCCTCTGTCAAGCACACACCCGAATACCGCCCCGCCCAGGCGGTCCGCACTATCCCTCCCCCGTGCGTTTGTCCCTTGCGCACGCTTGCCACCGCTACTAACATGCGGTCGTGCGCGGGCCAGAATATCTACACGCTCTGCGCCTCAGCCTCAGCCTCAGCCTCCGGCGCACACGTCCCACTACGAGGCCGTCGCGCAGCCGGTTGCCCGCGGGGGGCAGCAGACTGTCCCCCGCGCGTCGGCCGATATCATGCCCCGCATAATTCCGTATCAGCGCCGCGGCGCACCGGTCCTACGCTACCATCCGTATGAGTCTTCGACACGCGCACCGACGCAGAGCGGGTCGACGAGCGCGGCGTTGTCGGACGAGGACGAGAGGGGGAAGTGGGCGTGGCGTGGATGAACGACCGCGAGCCTGCTTTGTTGGGTTTGGCTGTGCGCCGGTGAACTTCTGTACGTGATCATCTTAAGGACCTGGTTTATATTGTAATACCTGGTTATATTTCCTACTGTTGTATTCTATAATCGGCGCACGCAACGGACATCGTTCAACTCGAAAATGTGCGGTATTCATATGCGGACGCCCGATGTCGGAATGGGCGTGGGAACTCCACTTTGCCGCTCTCAAGGTCGGCGCTGAGCAGAGGGCGGGCAACGTCGCCCATGTTGACGAACGTCCACCGAGGAGTTTCCCACATCACCTGCCCTCTGCCTCCTCCTTCATCTGCATATACCCTCTTCACCGCCAACATGTTCACTCTCCCGGTCCTGCTGGTGAACCACACCCACTCAGCCCCTACCATCGCTCTCTTGACGGACTGCATCCCCGACTCGTCCAGAACGCCCAGTACATTGGCGTTACACAGAATGCGCTCGAACGGGCTCTAATGCAGCACAAAGCCCGTACGCGCCCCCGTTTCAAACAGTGTCAAATACTCCGTGAGCCACTCCGTCCCCTCCGACTTGATTCGCCTTCTCCCTTCGGCGAGCCGTGTCCTCCTCCCCCATCGGTGCGCTGTCCAGCCCTTCGCATACCCCTCGACCAGACCACTGGCCTCCAATCGTCGCATTGGCCACAGCACCGCGGCAAAGCCCAAGGACGTGCAGATGGCACCCTTTATCGCGCCGATTGAGGTGTGGCCAGCTTCGCTTTGTCTGTAGCTTAGCCGAACCTTCTACGAGCCACTCCCGCCCCTGCACCGCGCCCTGCGCCCGCCCTCGGCGATGTGCTATAAAAGCGCGTCGGGATTTGCGACTGTTGTCGGCCACTCCCTCCCCGTCGCCCCTCCCCGTCCGTGCGCAAGCTCCCCGCCACCCCCGCTGCTCCCGTCTCCCCTCCGCGCACTCCCTGCTCCCCCGATCCCTCTCACAGCCTGATGGCCCTCTACTCCCGCCGCGCTTCGGCGCTCTTGACCACCGCCAACGCGGAGCTGCGCTTTGCTCGGTGGGTCTACCAAGCCCGGTGCGAGTACGACATCACCACGATCATGAAGCTCGATGACGAAGACTGGGACGAAGACTGGGACTCGCTCTCTGCAGATCCCGTCCTGGACGGCCCGCGGGCCGTCCAGCGCTGGATCGACGCGATCGGGGACGACGCGTCGATCGTACGCGCGCTGGTCGCGCATGGCTAGTGAGCACCCTTTCTCCTCCCCCCGCCCCCTCCCCGTCCTCAACGCGTCCCCCTCCAGCCTCGCCCGCCCCTCCAACCCCGCCCCCGCCGCGCGAGATCCCTCCCTCCCCATCCGCGGGCCCTCCCCGCTCACCGCGTTCCGCGTCGCGCTCGTCATCGGCCTCCGCGCCGCCTCCCTCTTCGGCCGCGCGACCATCCACCGGCCCGCGACGCACACCCGCCCGTGGGAGTTCGCCCTCCCCCCGCTCTTCTTCAACGCGCCCCTCCGCGGCTGGGCGCCTTCCACCCCATACCACCTCCCCGCGCCCGCCTCCGCGCCGCAAGCCTACGAGCTCCTCCCCGCCGCGGGCCACGCCGCGCGGTCGCGCACCTTCGCGCCGCCACCGGGCCTCGGCCGCCCCGACGGCGCGCTCGACCGCCACGCGCCGGACGCGTGGACGTGCGCGCACGGCGCGGTCCGCTTCACCAACGACCACTGGGTCGCCGTCCGCGAGCGCGCCGGGGGCATGTACGCCTTCGGGCCGATGCAGCACACGGCGCCGTTGGCGCGGTTCGCCGGAGACGGCGGGGGCGTCCGCGTCGGCGCCGACGTGCTCCTCGGGCGGCCGGACGCGGGCGAGGACGCGCCGCTCGCCGTCGTGTGGGCGTGCTCGCACGGGGAGCTGTACGTGTGCGGGCCGCCGCGCGGCGACGCGCTCTGTGCGCGCTCTGCGTCGCGGGCGAGGCTCGCGCAGCCGCCGGCGACGGTCCCCTCGCACGCGACTGTCGACATCCAGAGCCAGAGCCAGAGCCAGAGCCAGAGCCAGGGCCAGAAGCGGTCTGCGTCTCGCCGCACACATCCATCCCTGCGCGAAGAGGTCAAGGAGTCATTGACGACCCGCCTCCACGGCCGCGGGGGCAAGCGCCGCCCTGGGTTCACCGCGAGGCACGACGACCCGGAGCCCCCGACGCCGGTCTCGTCCCGCGCATCCTCGACGTTCTCCGACGCCCCGTTGCCGGCGTCGTCGGCGAGGACGTCTCCCACGGGGTCGCTCCGTTGCTTCGGGGGGCACTCGTCCGCCCGGTCGACGCCTCTGGACGCTGCGGAAGAGTGCGAAGACTACGACGAGGAAGAAGAGGAGTGTGCCCACGAGGACTCGGGTGAGGACGAGATCGAAGACGACGACGAGATGGACGAGCTCGACTCCGACTCCGACGCGGACGAGTACGTCCCCGCACCCACCCCGTCCTCGGGCGGGACGAAGCGCAAGCGCTCCCCGCGCGCCGAGCCCCCGCGCGTCCTGCACCCCTCCGCCCGCCTCGCTTCCTCCTCCCCCTCGCCCGACCTCACGCCCTCACACTCCTCCTCCCACCAATGCGGGATCGCCGGCTGCACCACGACCTTCCCCGCCCCCTCCTCCCCAACCGCAACCGCAACCTCAACTCCCGCCTCCCCTCCCTGGCTCGCCCACCTCGCCGCCGCGCACGCCCTCACCCAATCCACCTGGGAATCCCGCCCCGGCGCGCCGCCCCACGACCCCGCCCCCAACCCGCAGCACGACCGCCGCTGCCCGCTCGCGCGCTGCGCCCTCGCCGCCGCCGCGCGCCGCGCCGGCAAGCCCCCGCCGACGTACGCCGCCTGGAACTCGATCGTGCGCCACCTGGGCACGAAGCACTTCCCCGCGCGCGACTGGCGCTGCCCGCGCCCCGAGTGCGCCGCCGCGCGCCCGTTCTCCCGCCGCGACGCGCTCGTCCGCCACTACGAGACCAAGCACGCGCAGCGGTGCCCCGGGCGCACGCGCGCGTCCGCCAAGGACTGGGTCGGCGGCCGGCGGGACAAGGGCAAGGGCGTTCTTTCTGCTGGTGCTAAGGGCCGTCGCGGGCGTGGGAGGCGGCAGGTCGAGATCGAGAGCGAGGATGAGGACGAGATGGAGGTCGACGGGGCCGAGGAGACGAGGGCGTTGGCCGTGTGAGCGGCAAGTTGTTGACGATGGATGGACATTTCATCTCCTCACGTTAGAGCCCTGTGGGCCATTATGTTATCTCTTTACGCACTGGCTTTATGTACCCGCGTGCCCCTCGCAGTGTCCTGCTACCTTACGTCGCTTTATCGCTAGTCGTCCCCCCAAGGGCCCATTCCGTGTTCGTTCCTCGCTGTATCACTAGCACCTGTTGTAATCGATGAAACGCCAATATTTCCTGGGCATTATCTGCGATTTATGGTATACGGGTGAACGCTAAAGACAACGCGCGGTTCGTGGGTCCGCACTGTAACTACACCAACGTCTGTCCATGCACGCAAAAGTCCGAGAGAAAAGCAAGAATGACCGCGCGTTCACCGGTCATAAATTGAAGTCAGATCGACGCTCGGCATCCGCCCGTCCTCCCCACTCCCCGCGGGCTGCAGCGCGCCCGTCATCGCGCTGGTGGGGGACGACGTCGGGCCTGGGCTCGGCCGCGGGCTCTCCTCCACGCCCTTGAGCCGCACGCTCGAGCCGGCCTGACCCGCAGACTCTCCCTGAGAGGCCGATCGCAAGCTGGCGGCGGAAGCTTTCCGGAGCCTGAAGACCTGACTCGCCTTCTCCTTGAGCGACTGCTTGCTCGTCGCCCGTTTCATCCTCGGCTTCGTAGGGGGCGCGGGCTCGAGCGCGGGCAGGAGGGGGGAGACCTCCAGGGACGCCGGGGGGCCGAGCGCAGCCCCAGAGCTCTCGGACGTGTCCCTCGAAGCCGGCCAGACGGCAGACCGGGTAGCTTCGGGGGACAGGATCCGGACGGTCGACCCATGGCGAGCGTGCTGTCCTTTCTGCGAGGGGCGGGCGTCGTGCGAGGTCGGAGGTGGGGACGACAGGAACGAGAGCCTGGGACGCCTCTTGGCCGGCTTGGGTGCTTCCAGGCTCTCGGGCGTAAGGACTTGGACGGGCGCGTCCGGGACCGGGACGTGTTTCTTCCTCGCCCAGGGTATGAACGACCGTCGATCCTTCCGGGCTGGCTTGCGGATAACGTCATCGGAGGGCAGCACGACCTGGGTGCCGAACCCTGTGTCCATACGAATGCTGCTGGATGCGCTGAGGGCAGATGCGGCGGACATTGACCTGGATCGGCCTCCTGTCGGACGAACTGCTCGCGTCGGTTTCTGACCTGGTGCACAATGTAAGGTACTCACCTTGATCCGTAACGTCAGTCTTAGCCTCATCGATGAGTGCGAGAGTCTCCGAAGGGATATCGACAGGGATGGCCGTAATGTGGCCGAAAAGCGAGCCTTCCTCGTGGACGGCAGCTACGATCTTCCACCCAGCACTGCGAGCCAGTACAGACATCTCTCGGAGTGTACGCTCCTGAGCGTTGAACGTGGATCGCATCTATGCGCCGGTGCTTTAAATGGATGCAACGATCAACAGGGAAGGCTTGACGAACCGTAAGATCGAGCCAATACGCGACAGCGTTTGCCTTGCCGAGGTTAGATAACAAAGGTGACCCCTCAGGCGCCAAGGATCGGACGAGCCCTGGCAAGTCAACGTTGGTGTCTGACTCGTCGCTGTCATCGGCGCATGCGTGGGGCAGAATATGATCGGCGATCAACAGCTTGGTCTCCGACGAAGCGGCCCGTCGAAGGTTCACTAAGATCCTGGCATAAATCCACGTCATAAAGATATCGGTGAATGATAGTCTGGCATAGACGTACTTTGTGACGAACAGATCCGGCCAATCGTGAGTAATATCTCTGAGGATATAGACCGATGCGAAATCTGAAGATGTAGACGAGGGGAAGGAAAGAGATGGTTGAGGGAGGAAGAAATCATGCGCGAGGAACATCGCTCTTCTCGAAGTGAGCATGTCCGGACATCGTTCGCGCCACACCTGTGTCGGCGGTGAGCTTATGACAAGGTGATGAGAGGAGTCAGCCTACGGTGATACCCTGCTCTACGACCTGCGGCCTGTCTTGTATGACGAAATTGAGATGCGAAAAAGTATGAGCTAATTGCATCGCAGTTGATCCGATGCCACCACCGACGTCAACTACCAAGGATCCTTCAGGAAGGGTGTCCCAAGCGAAACCTGGGGCCCGTAAGCTTGCTATACCCGACGGATGAGATGCACACCACGAACCTGACACGATGGCTCCAGGAACCTCCCACGCGGCGGTGCCTGTCATGGCTGGACCGAACCTCTTCAAACGACTTTCATTGCCGGGTTGCTCTAGCCACTCGAAATACGGCGAGTCGGTCTTGAACGCTAGGTTGAATGGCGCATACATGGGGGAGATTGGCTGTTTGTCGCGCATAGAAAGTGCGGGAAGGAAACAATCTGCCAGATATCCGGCAGACTTGAAGAGCTCGTCGGTGCTAACATGGGTCATCAGCCAGAACAGGCATGCACAAGCAGCCGAATGGCTTACCAGAGGTTGATGAATGCCGCGATCCCGTTTGTGGCCTCGTACTTCGTCTGAGGGCTGGACGAGCAACGTTATGGCTAAAATACCGTGGGATGCACGCTCTGCACTCACTTGGACAGTAGCTCTTCGGGAATCTTTCCGGAGTCAAGGATAGCGGAAATCCGGTTGTTGGCAAAGACGTTAGGGCGAACTTCCCGCGTGATGTGATGAGTGGCGAGCAAGCGGAGGTTATGACCTGTCTGACGCGTGAGAAATGTGGACCCAAAGGGGCGGTAGTGACGTACTGAGGTTGCCCTCGTCGACGTCGACGAGGCGACTGAGGTCGCGTACATGCATTCCTGCCGGGCCAGCGGCCCGCAGAATCTCAACCAGATGGGACGCTTCCAAGAAGCGCAAGCATGCGGGCAAATGATACTGCAAAAGGCTTATCAGGCCAAAAAGGAGAGTGGAAGGACCGAAAGGAGACTGACCCCCATGGCAGCGTCGCAGAGGGTAAGGAACGGCCTGTGGACGGTCGCGCTGATCTGAGAACAGGCGGCTACGATCCGATTCGCGGCGGCGAGGACATCGGGGTGAGACGCGAGGGACTCGCGCCCTTCTTCCTCCGGGTCGTGGGACTGGGTGGGATAGTAGGGAGCATCGAGAGAGGGATAGTCGAGCATGCCGCCGAAGGAGTCCAGCGAGGAGCTGTGACGAGGCCGACGGGGGGTCTTGGGTGAGCGAGGAGGCTGGTCATGGAGCAAGGGCTCGTCTGTGTCCGATGCGTCTTCGGGCGGAGGTTTGCGGCGGAAGGGAGTGCAGGGCGAGGTAGGAGGAGCGTAGGGGGTGGTGGAGGCGGGGGAGTCGAAGGACGCATCGCGATAGATGGCCTCTATTTCGTCGAGAGCGTCGCCGATGAGAGCGTGCATCGCGCGGAGGTCGGCGAAGGTCATGGCGGGGAACGCGCCGGGGGCGGGCAGAAGGCGAGAAGAGTGGGGCGATGGGCGACGAGGAGAGCAGGAGGGAGCCGGGGCAAGGCATGGGCGATGGCGCGGTATATGGCTCGAGGCGAAGGCGAGCAGTGGCTCGCCCCAGGAGGTGGTCCGCGACTGCACGTCCGAGAAAGTTGGCAGGGCAGGAAGCAGCCCAAGCCTAGCCCGGGCGCGTCACGTATTCAGTGCAAGTTCGGGGTGTGCTCACACCGCCGCGCCACACTCGTATGACGGAGGCGAATACATACCACTCAGGCTTTGTGCGAGCTCTTGACCTGTTCGCTGGGTTGGGAGCATGCATGGCCGGGGACTCCTGCGCCTAAATTCATCATTGGGATCGAAACCTTGTGGTGAGTGTGTGCAGTGGGATCCGAGTTGAGTGACGTTAACTGATATAGCTTCGTTGTTGCCCGAGATGTAACACCAAATTTCCCACGCGCGCCGTTCGCAGCACGTGTTGAGGCCACACATGACGCTCCAGCTTCAAAAGCCTCGGTGCAGTACTTGCATGTTGCACTCTCTGTTCGTCTCGCGCAATCCACACGACGAAGAGCGAACGCGCGCGCGCAGTCTACACGTCAAGCGGGTTGTCGACCTAACAAAGTTCATAGCATTAACGCGAGTGATTAGTACGATATCCTGCGACGAAATCCCTGAGTGTCCCAATGTCAACCCGTGGAGGAACCTCCTTCTAGCAACCCTCAATCGCTCTCGGTGTCGTACTCGTCGTCATCCTGCGCCGCCGACTTGCCTTTGCCCTTCGCCTTCGTCGACGCCTCGTCCTCGACCGCCTCGACCACGACCTGGCCCCCGCCCCGCAACGCCTCGACATCTCCGATCCTCTTGCCCGCCTCCCACGCGATCTCCTTGCGCGGGTACGCCAGAGCGAGCCGGAACCCCCACCACTTCTCCGCGTTCTTCCCCGCCCGCTCCATCTCGGCCACGAGCCCGCCTTCCCCCGCAGCGCCCCCCGCGGGCGGCGCGACCGGGTCCGCGTCCTGGACGAGCTCGGGCGGGACGAACATCGCGTCCACGTACGCGTACAGCGCCGTCAGCCTGTCCTCCTCCCCGAAGAACCGGACCGCCCGTCTGCCGTCGGGCATGCGCACGCCCACGCGCAGCGTCTTCCCGCGCGCCGCCTCGCCCGGGCGCGGCTCGCGCACGACGAGCCCGCGCCGGATCCACCGCCGCCACGCCATCCGGTGCGCCGCCCACTGCGCGTGCGCGGCCGCGGCGGCGCGCCGCTGCTCCTCCGCGCGTGCCTCGGCGTCCGCCGCGCGCTGTTGGGCTTCCTGCGCCTCACGCTGCTCGCGGCGCCGTGCGGTGATGCGCTCGGCGTCCTTGCGCGCCGACTCCTCGAACGCGCGGTCCTGCTCGGCGCGGAGGGTGCGTTCGCGGTCGCGTTCGGCAGCCTCGAGGCGGAGCTTGTTGAGGAAGGGCGTGACGCGCGGGAGGAGCGAGTCGGTGAGGTGGCTGACGAGCGTTTCAGCCGCGGTTGGGGCGGAGGTGGAGGGGATCGAGGGCCCTTGGTGCCGGGAGAGGATGGTCAGGGCAGGCGCCGGGGGAGCCGATGAGGACGGAGTGCGTCGTGGCTGGAGCGCGATGAATGCGACGAAGGGGTACGTGGTCGCGTGGAGCTTCTGGGAAGCTGGAAAGCGCGTGTTAATAATGTTTCAAGAAAGCGACAATAAATGTGCGCACCTTGCCAGGCATCGCGGTCACGGATGTCGCCGCCCCAAACGAACATGTCGTTCTCTTGGATGACCCGCAGGAAGCTGGGGTCCGTGAGGGTGCTCCTAGAACACCGTCAGACCGCATCCGCACCTACGCTGAGAGCGACTCACCGCTTGAACTCGGCGTCATCGTCGTGCTCTTCGCTGACGATGACAATGCATCCGATCTTCAGCTCCCGCTGGCACGTCCGCGCAAAGTCTTCGTAGCTTCCCAAGAAGAAGTCAGGCAGCAGCTTCGACTCGCCCGATTCGCTTCCCTCCCACGGGCCGGGACGCGTAGTCAGAGATGATGGCCCCGCGACGCCCGACGCCGTGCTGTGTCCGTTCGTCTGCGACGACTTCCTGGGCGCAGCGCGCCCAACGCACACCGCGCCGGTCTCCTCCTCAAGAGCACGAACCCAACGCTCCGCCGCAGTCTTGGGGTCGCGCGCTCCGCGACCGGGCGCGGGCCCGAGGGTGCGATACGAGAACGAGAAGGGCCCAATGTTGGGGAGGGGGATGTGCAGCGCGCGGAAGAGGAAGCGGATGAGGGAGAAAAGCGGGTAGAGCGGGATCGCGAGGATGTTGAACATGACGCGCAGCGGGCGCATCACGACCACCGAGAACGGGGCGGGGTCCTGCGAGCAGTCAGAATAGGAATGCATGGCTCATGGAATGGGCGCACCACAGGCCTAAACTCGCGGCCGCCCCGGCGGCCTCCGAGCAGCCCTTGCTGCTCAGAGTCGTCTATCTCGAACTCTTCTCTCCGAGGAGGTGAGACAGGTTGAGGTGGCGGGTGAGCTCCATCGAAGATGATTTCTGCGGCACGCTGAAGGACGTTATCAGTAAGAGCGCATATATGACCGATCCGCGAGAAGATGTGTCGTTTCGGGAAAAAGGAGGGGACAGGCGATGACAAAAACAGCTCTGAGCGGGGCATTCAATCCAATGTACAATACTTCGCACAAGGCAGATGACGCGTCGCACAGCTTGTTTGCGCATCATGCGCATTCACCACGATGCAACCATGTTCGCCACGACCTTACACCTGATGCTCGCTTAGGACATGGAGGACTCAAGCCAGCTGGCCGGCCGGGTCTGGCTGGCACCATAACACCAGCATTGCGTTTCTCCGCCGCGAGAGAAATCAGGAATGAAAGACGTACCTGGACATCCCAGTTCACGCTAGAAAGGACACCAATGGCGACCTCCGAATCCCCGCCGTTGGTGAGAGCCTGAATTTGAGAGAGCGCATCCCTTTGTGTCGGGGACAGTGAGTCGACGTCCATGGCGGAGGAGAAGGAGTGTGCAAAGCAGAGGGGCCTGCCAGTTGGAATAGAATTAGTAACGCTGGATGTCCTGGTCAGACGATGGAGCTCAGGCAGTGTGCTGTTCCAGTCCAGCTCAGTGCTGCCAGGTTATACCGGCGACTCGGCAATTCATTATGAATCGATAAGCCACTTATCCGCCCTCGTCGCCTAACGAGGCTCTTGTTCACCAACGCTCACCACTTCAAACCCCTTCTTACGCTCGGATACGCCATTGCACGCCGCCACCATGGGAGAGATCGTGAATGTCGTTGTAGCTGTCGCCGTGATTGTACTGGTCGTGCGCTGGGCCGCCTCCAGTACGTCCCACACTCACCTGGCATTCTGTGACCGGTCTGACGAGCATCGCAATTGCCGAACCCTCGGTTTACCCTCCCTTTCGCGCACACTCTATTGCGCATGAATTGCTTTCAGGTGGAAAAGATGCCTCGGGGGCCCCGTCGCCCTCGTCCGTGTTGGGGTTCCGGCCGAGGAATGTAACAAACGAGATGGTGCGTTTCCCCTGCGATGTCGTCGCGTACCCAAGTCTGATATCCGGCTTGCAGGTCGACGCCGTGCACAATATGTTCCCAGATATCCCAAAGTAAGTCCCTGTTACTCTGTCGTAGACTGTGAGCTCCCTCTGCGCCATTGTCTCCCCGGGTCGTGACATCCCGCCGTTGCTTCCTGGCGGAATCAGCGAGTCCCAGGCCTGGTGCCTGGGTGACCTCGATTCCGTTCTTGCTCAGATGAATCCGGCGTGGTCGAGGTAGTTAAAGCGCGACATCCCAGACGCATATGACCGCGAGTTCAACGCTTAACGGTACCATTCCAGAGACAACATCCGCTTCGACCTACTAAGGACAGGAGACACCCAACTCACCTCCACCAAGATCCTCGAACGTGGTTTCCTCCCCGCCGTACGCACCCCACTTCCCCTCGCCCCTTCTCTTCCACTCACTGCACCCACAGCCCCCGCCCGCCTACTACACCATCTACCCACGCAGCGCCGACACCCCAGCACCCGCACAGCCCGCCGCCACGCCCGCCGCCGGCCCGTCAAAGCCAAAGCAGCCAGCGAATCTCCTCACGCGCTACCACCTCGAGTCGCGCGCGGCGAGCACCGGGGTGAGCGTGGCCGCGTCACCCGAGCAGGCGGGCGGCAAGGCGGTCTGGGAGGACACGGCGGAGAAGCGGGAGGCGAGCCTGCGCGAGCGCAAGGCGCAGATGATCCTCGCTGCGAGAGAGTGCGTGTCCCCCGCTCCACTTCTGTGTACCATATGGGTCCGCTCACGCGTCTACTGGCAGGCGAATGCGCGCACAGCGGGAGAAGGAGACGGCCAGGACTGTGTGAGGGTGGGGGAGGGACGCGCCCTGCGCACGGGAACCCGCTCGGGGATGAGTGTGTGGTTTTTGGAATGTCGGGCCCTCGACATCACCGCTGTACGTCATTTTTGTGTCGCAATACATTTTCTGTTCTCGTATGCGCACGCCGCGCCAACAGGAAGCTGCTGTCGGGCGATGGATGGGGCGGACGAAGCGTTTCGACTTGGGGTTCGGTTGAGCAGACTTGTTCGATGTTTGTTCTGATGCAACAGGCGAGCGCGTTGGTCGCACCTTACAACGTGCGCGCTCGCGACAGAGCTCCACTCACAACAACACCCGCCGCTTCTGTGGTCGCAACATCCCGGGAACATCGCAAGTCTGCACTGAGCCTACTGCCAATGGTACTCCGGACTCCAAGCTCCCTGTCTTCTCATTGGAGGCTTGGCACGATGCAGTCATGAATGATTAATGAGCCTCGCGGACTCGTCCAACGTTACTTGGAGTCCTGTCCGCAGAGCCACAACAAGTTCTGGTTCAGACTCTGTACTCCGCGTCGCCTAGCCCCAAACCTCAGCGTACTTCGTAGAAATTCACATACCGGTCACAACGACGGCGGCCACACCCCGCGCAACGCTCCAAGCCCTGATCCCGTCGCCATCACCTCTCCACCACCTCGTGAAGACACCAGCAGAACGCCACCAGCTCACAGCCGCGATATGATATATCGATCACCCCGCACCCATATCAAGCGCGCTATGTGCACCTCAGTTTCGCACTCGAGTCGCCCAATCATGCCTCTTCCTATTGCGCACATACTTACCTTTGTGGGCGCACCGGGCGTGGCGAACGCTTCCCAGCTTCGAGCTTTTGGCACCGGTCCCGCGCCCGCGCCCTGCCTGCCCCCTGCGCGCGATGACACCAGACGTGGGCCGCAGCAGCAGCAGCAGCCTGGAAGGCCAACTGCGGAGCTCGCTCGTTTGGCGGCGCACGGGGAAGACGGGCGTCGGGACCGCCGGGCGGACGTTGAAGCAGCCGGCCGATCGCTCGCAGCGGCACGGGCGCCTGGTCAAATGGCGTCAGTGGGGAACGAGCGCGCGGCCGCGGACGAATAATTATGGAAGGTGCTGTAAATCACGTCCCGTGGCGCGCGCACACAACACACGGCCCGGGCTTTGGGCACCCTCTCGTCTGTGTGGTCTGCGCTTCGCATTCCCGGCGAGCGCGACCAAGCGATGCGCATCTGCATCAGCGCACTCGTCAGAAGGCTTCCTAGGTGTGTACTAAGAGCCACTGGTCCCGAACGCGGGCGCCCGGGGATGAACTGTTGATGTACTGCGACGGAGACGCCAGATGTACCGTTCCGCCTTCATGAACGACGAACGGATCGGGATCCCCAGCCGGAGTGCCGTGGATCACGGCTTGAAGCTTGAAGCCCCGATCACGTCTCACGAGTCACCTCGTAATTATATAGTCGCCCAACTTTTCTTCCGTCCGAGATTCGCACACCCGATCACACGAGGCAAGAACGTAGCAAAGCACCCGCGTAGAGCGCTGCGTACATTGGGGTATGGAGAGAAAGCGCGGGTATAGACGCGCCATGGCCTGACTCCTACACAAACATGGGACTCATGATATCCTAGAGACTGATCGTAGCACGAAGCACTGAGACGAATGGAAACACGTTCGAGCCCGGAAGGACCGTTTAGAGGCCGAGGAGGGAGATGACCTGGGAGGCGTTGAGGTTGAGGATGAAGGGAATGAGGCTGCTAATGAGGGGGAGGAGGGTCGCCAGAATTCCGCCAACGAGGGAGACGACGACGGTGAGGAGCTCGCCAACGATGGAGCCGACCGCGCTGAGGAGCGTGGTGACAGCGGAGTCAGCGGTCGAGCCGACGACGGTAAGGACGGCACCGAGGGCGTGGAAGACGATCTGTAGTCGGGATGGTAAGCACTGGGCTGGAGTTGGCGTATGGTAGAACACATACGGTCATGAGGGCGGCAACGATGGGAGCGAGCTCCGCCACGGTGAGTTGGGCAGTGCCGTCGACGGTGGCGAGGATAACCGAAGCGTCCTGGCCGACGAGGGCCTTGAGGGAGGTCACGGTGCCGGTGAGGATGGTCTTGATCTCCTCGACGGGGGCGGTGAGCGCCTCGACGGTCGCGTTCTGAGCGGTCACGAACTCTGCAGTTATTGGTGAGCCAAGTGTCCACGAGCCAAGAAGTAGAATATTTACTGAGGAGGTTGGTGGCGGGCGCGAGCGCGACCGTGGCATCCGAAAGGATGGAGGCAACACCCACAATGTCACGGCGGACGGGGAGGTCGAGGCTCCCGACGACACCAGTCACGGTGCCAACAACGCCGCCGGCGACGGAGAGAGCAGTGTCCGCGACACCGTCGACGGGGGCGGGAAGGTCAATGGAGCTGCCCACGACCGGAAGGGAGACAGGGAGGTCGATGGGGAGGGCAGAGACCGCGGTGAAGGCGGCAGCAGAGAAGAGGGCGAGACGAGCGAAGGAGAACATTTCGACTAGGAAAGGACTGTGGGGTGGGAAAAGAATGTGGGGGTTGAGGCTGGTGAGGCGAGGCGAGGCTGGCTGAGGCAGATGGCTTGGGAGTCGATGGGGATTGGGAAGGCAGACCAAGGAGGTTTTATAGACATGGCGGGAACAGCCGGCGCGCGCCAGAGAAGACTTGGGCGGGATTGCGGCATCTGGGGCGGATGAGAGGGAGAAAGCATGGGGTGCAGGAATCCGGAGACTGAGAGTGAGCGCTAGCCGCAGAGAGAGAGTTGATCATTTCGATCACTCGCGCTCCACCCGCCAGAAGTGATCCAGCGCCGTGTTCACGGAGCCGCCGCCGCTAGCCTTCGGGGCATACACGCCCTCCTGCTCTCGGCCACGGCTTCCCATCTTCGTCGTGAGTACTGCACCCTCTGCCTTCTCCGACGGCGGACATTGCGAAGGGGGCAGAGCACAGACTGTATCCCGCTTGAGGAGCCGCGGAATCGCCAGATGTTGAATTGCCGGCCGTGCGTACGCGATACGATCTCATTAGACTCCACGCCGGATCAAGCATGCAAGTTGCGCTGGGCTTCCGGGGCAGGCGGGGCGGACGACGGAACGGGCCAAGTCATCGCTTGGGGAAGGCCCTCGCAACGGACTCCGCAATCGGGCTGGAGGAGACCCAATCAGTGAGTGGGAACTGGGCATGGGCGCGGCACGAGGCTCACCTCGATGGCAGACAGCCGACTCGTCATGCTGGGTGATCAAATTGCCGGGCGCAAAGTGAAAAGATGGAAGACCGCACGCGCCTGAAATGTGGCCGCGCGCAGGGCCCGGGAAGAACGAAGTCGCACCCGGCACGGCGCGAGGGCGACGGTGGAGCACCGGACTTGCCTGCAAAGTTAGCCTGGTTTCGCATAGGATTAGTACGTGCACACCTTTTTATCCGGCGTGCATGCAGAACGTTTATCCCGCCACACGGAGCCCAGGCAGACAGCCACCGAGATTGTGGCCAGCTGGGGACTGTGGCCAGCTGGCGAGGGTAACAGTGGGGAAGACACACAGACGCCCAATGACGTTCCGTTTGACTATCTTCCCACGCATCGGGCAAGCACAACCAAACACCATCCCCGCCACAGTTGGTGCTGCCGCTGGAGTCTGGACCAGGCCGCACTCCGCGCGCGCAAGTGTTCGTCCCCTGTGCACGATGTCTGGCTTCCTCCCAAGTATCGAGAGCTTCGCCAAAGTGAGCGCGTGCTGCTTCCGCCTGTGTGCTGATGTCTGACCGCTTGCTAGGGCGCGACCGCGACTGCTGCTGGCATTGGCACCGTTGGTCCGTCCGCCCTTACGGTATTCCAGTCGTCATTAATTGTCTGCTGATACATGTGATATCTCTCCCCTTCCGCACCCCAACTTTCTTGCAGGTGTTGGCCTCCTCTTCTTCGGCCAAAACTACCTCATCTACCCCTCCGCTTTTCCGCCTGGTTCCCGCACAGGTGCGCCGCCCCCACCGCGACTTCCCCGCACTTCCTCTACAACCTTTCCGCCATCTCTGTGCAGAGGTTCCGGTACCCACCGACTTCGACCTCCCCTATGAAGATCTCATTCTTACCACTCCCGACAATGTCAAGCTGCGCTGCTATCTCCTTACGCAGCGTAAAGAGCTTCCCAATCACGGAGTGCAGCCGCTTGAGGTGGAGGACGATGAGTCTAACGAAGAGGTACGCATATACTCAGTTCGCGAGTCGTACCGTATCCTGGCACCTCGTCCATTGGATAAATGTAGTCTGTATGCGCGCACGTCGCTCTCGGCGTGCCAAGCAGCACGACGCGCAGATACCCTGTGTGGTTGAAGCACTCGACTTTCCTCACTCCGGTCCCAGCGCGTCCGTCAGTATTAACCAGAACTTGTCCAGTTTTCCGCGAAGAGGCCTACTGTCATCATGTTTCACGGAAATGGCGGGAACGTAGGCCATCGCATACCGCTTGCCAAAGTGTTCTACGTCCGCATGCGGTGCAACGTCCTTATGCTCTCCTATCGCGGGTCTGTCTGTTTCCCTACTCATAACGCTTGCATGTTCTGACGCATATTTCGTCTCAAGATATGGTCTTTCCGAGGGAAATCCGTCCGAAAAGGGTACATACTGTCCATACTTCCCTCCGACGCTCCAGCACGCTGACGATCGTCCGTCAAGGTATTCGGATAGACGCGCAATGCGCACTCGATCACATCTTGCATCACCCACAGCTGTCTCGGACGCCAATCGTCAGTCCAAAGCCGGTTTCGGTCTTCATAATGAACCCAGCTGACGTCGACACACAGTTTCTCTACGGCCAGTCCATCGGTGGCGCCGTGGCGATCGACCTCGCGACTCGAAACAAGCATATCGTGCGTCGCGCTCTCCACACCCCACTTTACGTGCCCTCGCGTGATCGCTGACGGCTGCCAACAGATGCGGGGACTCATCCTCGAAAACACGTTTTTGTCGCTGCCCCAGCTAGTGCCCTCCGCGATGCCCGTGCTCGGGCCCTTCGCGTTTCTCTGCCACCAGAAGTGGGACTCAGCGTCGAAGGTCCCGCTCATCCCGGCGGAGACCCCGATGCTCCTGCTCAGTGGCACGCGTGACGAGGTCGTCCCGCCCGAGCACATGAAGGGCCTCTGGGAGCTCGTCCAGCTTCGCATCCCGGGCGGGTACCGGGAAGGCCAGTTCGTGCCTCCCGTGCCCCCACCTCCGACCGAAGGCGCCGATGCCGCGAAGGACGAGAGCGCGAAGACGCAGGGGAAGAGCGACGGCTACTCGCGGTTCGTCGAGTTCGATTGGGGCTCGCACAGTGCGTCTTTTTCCGATGTTTACGCCGCCATGCGCCGAATCGCTGACGCCATGCACAGACGACACGTGCACGCAGCCTGGGTACTGGACGAGCGTCTCGTCGTTCGTGAAGACGGTAGTGAAGGCGCCGCCTCCACCACCGACGAAGGACTGAGTTTCGGGTTCCGCCGGCGCCGCCGGTCTCTTGTTCAGACACCTTGACTGAAGTGGTTGGGTCTGGATTTCGCATCTGTCATAGCATCGCACTACATACTTGGTACTACATATCTGGTTTGGAGACTGTCCGTGTAACATGGCTCCTGTACTCTCATTCTTGACCGCGGCGCGCATTCTGGCATCACGTGAGGATGCAGTCATTGGCGCCAACATTCGCAGCTCGGCGCACGGAGCCTTCCAAGTTCCCATAAACCCTTCTCTGGCCTCTCATCTTTCCCCGCCAGCTTACCCGCGATGCTTTTCACCCTCCCCGCCGATATCTGCCTCCAGGTGCTCTCCTACCTACGCACCGCCGATCTTCTCCGCCTTCGCCTCACTTCACGTGGCGCGCACCACTTCTTTCTCCTCAACGAGCACTCCATCTTTCACCAAGCTGCGGTAAGACACGCGTTCGTGCGCCCGCACACCGCCCTTCGCGACGCTGCGGCCCCACGGCCCGTCACAGACTGGAAGGACCTCGTGCGCGCGCATGTGGCACTCGAGCACAACTGGGACGGGCGCGGGCACGCGCGCGAGGGCGGCTACGCTGCGATCGGGCGCGAGGGCTCCGTCCTCTCGTTCTCCGTAGACGACTCGGAGGGCCAGCGTGTCGCGATCGCGCTCACCAGCCGCGGCGGGCTCACCGTGCGCACGCTCGAGGACAACCGGCTGCTGTGGGCGCTGAGCAAGGTGCGTGTCCCAGCCATCTCCCCACCCCCTTTCACCGTTCACGCCCCGGCTGCAGGAATACGTCGCCGCAACGAAGATCGAGTGTTCTTCCGGCTTCCTCGTCTTCATGGCCAAACACTCCGGGCTCGAGATCTGGCGGCGCGCGGCGGACGTCGGCGCCCCGCTCCTCGCGCGGGGCCGCCCGGTGTGCACCCCAGTGCCATTCGGGTCTCCCGCCGCGCCGCGCGACTTCCAGGAGTCCGCGTCCGCGCTCGCGCCCGCAGACCCCCTCGCCGCCGCGAGCGGGCGCGGCCAACACGTCCCCCACGTGTTCATCGACACCGCCCACGCCGGGCCTGTGCGCCTCTTCCGCGCCACCTTCCCGCTGCTCGCGTACATCGGCGCCCACGCCCCCGACAAAGCCACCGTCGTCGACATGGGCTCGGGCGACGCGGTCTGCGTGGTCGCCGTCGCGCCCGCGCCCGCGCCCGGGCGCGCGCTCGGCATGCCCCCGCGCTTCCGGGTGCCCGCCAAGCAGCGGGTGCCGATCGACCTCGCGCTCTCGCGCGCGCACCTGTGCGTGTGCGCGACGGACGTCGTCACGGTGTCCCGGCTCCCGGCGCACGCGCTGGACGCGGACGCGATCGTCGAGGACGGGCCCGAGCCGGAGCGGCAGCTGGTGTTCGGCGACGCCGCGGCGCCGCGGATGCCCGCGTGCGTCATGGCGGCGCGCGGCGACGTCGACTCTGCGCAGGGGAGCGCGCCGCGGCCGTGCCCCGACTCGACTGCGCCGCGGTGGACGCTGCTGGGGGGCGCGGACGTGTTCGAGCAGTACGCCATCCGTCCGTCGAGCGGGCCAGCCGGGACCTCGACCGCGCTCGTCCCGGTCGGAGTGCCCCAGCAGCAGCAGTCCGAGCCCGGCTTCATCACCGGTGAGTGTCTCCTCCGCGCGGGGAGTCGCACGAGCAAGCACTCACACGAGTGCTCTCCGCACAGCACGCTTCTCCCCGGACGGCCGCCACCTCGTCGCCGCGACCAAGCTCGGGCTGCTCGCCTTCGCGTGGGACTTCGCCCGCGCGGAGGACGGTGCGCTGTTCGAGAACATCACCGAGGTGCTCGACACCCGGGAGCCCCTGCGCGACGTCCGCTGGGACGTGAACGACCGGCGGCTCGCCCTGCGCACCGTACGTGTCGGAGTCTTCCTCCGTTCCCTCCCTCACCCCACCCCCGTTCCGTTCTGCAGCAATGGGAAGACGTCTTCGTCCTCACCCTCGACGCCTCGAGGCACGCCCTCAGCCCCGAGCCAGATCCCGCCGACGGCGCTGTGGGGCGCCCGTCGATCTTACGCGACGCGTTCGCCCAACGCCTCCGCGACTACACGAACCACGAGCTCGCGGGCTGGACGGGCGGGCACGGGATGCCGTTCACCGGGATGCAGATGACGCCGACTGCGTTCTGGCTCGTCTGGGACGTGTCGCTGCTCAAGCAGGCGGTCGGCCGGCGCGAGCGGGCAGCACGCGGGGAGGTTACGAGCCGTGAGGTTGGGGGTGGTGAGTGTTTCGTTTGGCTTGGAATGGAAGGCCTGGATGACTGATGAGGCTAGGTTTTGCAGCGTCGGGGATTGGGAGCTTGTGTTTCGTGGATTTCACACCGGGGGTCTGAGGCAGGGTTCATGGAAGCGCACTCAGAGCTTGTTCGAACATTTGCTGGATCTGTCGTTGTATTTAGTATATACCCTAAAGCCTGTTCGGAATGTTTGAGTTGTCTCATAAACCCCCATTTTTGTATGCGCGTTATCGCTCGAATAGACGACGATCAAGCCAGGTTGCGACCCCCATATGGTCTCCTTGCTACAGGCTCTCTGCAGCCAGCCAACGGTTCGCCATCACAAGGGACTCCCGTGGTTTGTCGTATGGCGCCTGAAAGGCATCGACCACCGTCAGCGACTCTGCCAGTCCGATCTACGGCCAACTCACCATATGCCCCGCACCGGCGATCGTCGCGTACGTGAGGCCACCGCCGCTGCGCGTGAGCCCAGAGACCTCCCCAACGTCCCAACCCCATACCGACAGCGGCTTGCTCCGGAACTCCTCTTGACCGCTCCACTCGAGCGCGAGCGTCATGCGCTCGTTGCCGATCTGCCAGCGTGGGGAGTCAGGGAGATGGAGTGGAACGGAGGAGCGGCACCCGGTCTCGCACGCACCCAGTTGCAGATGTAATCCGTCGCGCCGACGTAGATGAGCGTGCGCACGCCACGTTCGAGGAGCGCAGAGATGTAGTGCTGGGCGGGGAAGGCCCAGTGATCGAGGTTGTCGCGGAACGCCTGGCTGACGGTCCTGGAGGAGTGCGTGAAGTTCCCGCGCACGGCTGGGTCAACCCCGAGCAGGTCTTGGGTGGCCTCGCTGCTCAGGAATTCGACAGTGTGCCTTCGAAGGGAGCCGATTTAGCGCTTTCAGCCAGTCTGAGGATGTGACGTGACGCACTGGACGATGGGGTAGCACTCGGTGATGCTTGCCGCGCCTTTGCTGTCGACCCTCATTTAGAGGTCAAGTAGCACATTGGAAGAATTCAGACAGACGAACCAGGGACGGGCACGGTCGTAGTGGTTCTTATCTACAAAATTTCCGAGTCAACACTCGTCACAGTAGGTGTTGTGCACTCACCCCCGAAGGGCCCGTTGAACGCGTCGCTGCAGAACGAGCTCGCCGCAGCACAGTCAATTGCATCCATTTTGTCTTCACATGATTCCTTGAAGCGTTTTTGGCAACGAGGCACCTGTTTAAAGGCATCGTATTCCCGACGTTTATGCCGTGGTACGTGGTACTGACCATCTCCTTCATGCGCACACAGGTCCTAAACGGCTGTATCAGCACCAAACGCACTCCCCGTATTGGCAGAACTCACGAGATGTCGTGTATCATCGGAAATGTCGGGTCTTGACACTGCGCGTCGTAATAAGACGGGAACATGGTGCCAAAATCAGTGCAACCGTTGCCTGTCCCGTCAATGTAAGCGTCCGGCCACGGTGAAAGGGACTTCAGCTGACCGATCATTATCGAGGAGAGGTTGACAGGAGTCAACCCAGCCTCCACAAGCTCTTTGTTCTTATCATAAATCGCGGAGGCAAAGACCGGTATGTAGCGACCCTGGCAGGCAGGTGGAAATATGAGCGTCGTAGTGGGCTAACGGGGCCCTATGACGTACTCCATAGGATTCGCCTGCGAGGTGTAAAGCCCTGCCCTTGAATTTGGCGAAGTGTTCGAAGAAGATGACCATGAATGCAGCAATGTCGGCGGCTGCGTCTTTCGTCGTACCCTGCGTGGGATGTTCAACACCGCCTAGAGCAAAACGCGCATTCAGAGGGGCCACTCACGACTGACTCCCCATATTCAGCATAAGAGTAGCCTACACCAACGGGTTGGTCGACAAAGAACACGTTGGCGTGCTCGTTCCACGAATACGGGTTCATCTTGGTGCTGTTCGAGCTCGTGACCCGGCACGGTCCTGAGGGCAGGTTAGTGTACTTGGATTTTGAGCACATACGTTGACGCATACCGAGCTCCATAAAGAGTCCCATCGTCGACGACGCGCCGGGGCCACCGTTCGTCCAGAACATCACATCGTCCGTCTCCGGGTCGCGGCGGCTCTCGAAAAAGTAGAAGAAAAGGTGCCGCGCCTCGACGTCGATGTATCCCGTGTACGCGCTGATCAGCCCAGCTCATAAGCACGAGTCGCGTCCGCGGCCACTGCGCACAGCGAGAAGATGCACGTACTTCACGCCGCCGTCACAGAACTGCGACTGCTTGACCCGCACGTTGTGGTTCGGGAATGCGGGGTGCGCTAGCGTCGTGAACTCCGACGTCGAGAGCAGGCCAAGGTCGCCCAGGGGAGTGAAGAGTCCTTCATCGTACGCGGTGAACGGATGTTGAGCCCCAAGCGCGACTCCCGCGCTCACGACCGCAAGCAGGGCTGAAGAGGCGAAGCGCATCATGGCTGACCAAGGTATCAGAGGACGATGGTGGCCGGAAGCAAGGCGCAACTCGCCAAGGCATGTTGCAGATAAGGGCGCAGGCGTGCATGGGAAAGACGGTGTGAGTTGGAAGTCGGGTGTCGGAGGCACGGCGCCGGTGTCACGGAATAGATGTGACGACGAGCACGTGCTGCACACGGTACGTGTAGAATTGGCGTCACGCTGTCGGGGGCAGACATTCGTTTCGGACCGGACAAGCACAAATCTCGAGCGACGCCCCAGAAGGCTGGTGGCACAGGGATGTAACAGCATACGGACATCGATTGCATTCGGAAACCATGTGCGAGACTAACGATGAGAGCAGTGACCAAGAACACAAACCGCGGACCAAACCAGTGCTTCCGCATACAACAAGTTGAAAGCGCAGGTCTTCCGGAGCGCTGCGCCAGACGACGTCTAGCACCGCCTACATTATGGACAGAGGAAAAGGGGATCGTCTAGCCCGCACGCTCAAGCGGACTGGTACGTCTGCCCGAGCGAGGTCAAGCTTCCGTCGTTGTTCACGAGGAAGCCGGGGCCGGCCATGAACCACGCGTAGTGCGAGACCGAGTCGAGGCCGTCGAGGAACGGCACGAGCTCGTCGACGAGCGCGGCCTGCTGCGACGCAGAGCCGCTGCTCGTCCCGATCTCGGTCATGAGCACCGGCTTGCCGTACTTGGAGAGCCCGGAGATGTACGACTTGAAGTAGTCGACCGCGCTCGCGTCCGAGTAGATGTGCGCCGCGATCGCGTCCACCTGGCACCCAAGCTTGTTGCACTGGGAGATGAACGAGTCCATCCAGCTCGTACCCTGGCCGGAGGAGCCGCTGTTCGTGATCGCGGGCGAGACGAGCGTCGCCTTGCCGGCGAAGGGCTGCATGTACTGCATCCAGAGCTTCGCCGCCGTGGCGGGGTCGACGTTCGACTGGGAGGAAAGGTCGGGTTCGTTGAGGCTGCCAAGCGGGTCAGTGAAACCCAGGATGGTCTTTGCACGGGCGAGAGACTTACAAGAGGAGGTGGGTGCTGCCGGCGTCGATAGCAGCCTGGGCGTTCTTCATCCAGACGCTGGTGTGGTCGGAAGAACTACCCCAGAGCATGGGGAAGAAGTTCATGCCACTAGGCAAGGAGCTCGTCGAAGAGGCCCAGTTGTAGGCCCAAGACGCTTTGCTGAGAGGGAATCAGACAATATTCTGAGCACAGGTAACTGTTTTACTTGCCCAGAGGTGAAGCCCTTGAGAAGGCTGGCATCGTTGAAGGACAAGCCGCGCTTGACACCATTGTTGGTAGCAGGAACAGCGCTGCGGCGAGGCTCAGGTTAGCATCCAGCTGACTGAGAAGCCACGAGAAGAATGGAGAAAGCGGAAATGAGTGTTGCCAACGCTCTAACAGATCAGAGAATTGATAGGACCATGCGGATAAATGTTGTGGATCATACATTCCATCTCATCAAACGCTGCGCATCCTACGATCTGCCCAGGACAAGCCGAAACAAGGACGGTTCGTATGGAGACCGGGGGATTGTGTTTGCAAGGATGAAGGGGTTTGAAGTACTTACGAGGTCGTGGTGGCGGCGTGGGTGGAGGTGGTGCTCGCCTTAGTGGAAGAGGCCTTGGTAGTCGTGGACGCCTTGGTGGTCGTTTCGGCAGCCTTGGTGGAGGAGACGACAGAAGAGGTGGTCTCGGCCTTGGTCGAGGTAGAGACAATAGACGACGTGGTCTCAGCCTTGGTCGAAGAGACCGAGGAGGTCGGAACGGCGCTGCTCGTGACGCTCTCCGGAACAGTAGAGGACGAGGGCAGAGCGAGGGTGGAGGAGGCAATGCGAGTGTGGCAGCGCTTCATGCGGTGGTTCGCACCAAGGGCGGAGGTGGCAAGAACCACAACGGAAAAGAGAGTGGCGGAGAACTTCATGGTGTCGGATAGGGACAGGAAGGGTGAAGGAAAGAAAGGAAAGCTCAAGGAAGAGCAAGGAGGGACAGGACACCAGAAGGAGGGGGGACAAGGGACGCCTGGGGGGCTACTTCGGCGAGCAGGTGAGGACGTCCGTTGTCCTCGAGGGCTATATGTACCCAAACATGGATCCAGCGCCGGCGCGGGGTGCTCTCGCCGGGACAGGGCCGAACTCTATTTCCCTGGGCGCAAGCTTCAGGCATTGGTTAGATTATCTAGTCGTGGGACGAACAGACACAAGCCTTGCATCTCCGCGCGGGTGGCGCTCCGGTCGTGCTGTAGTCTCCATGACAACCAAGGCCAGGCTCGGTGATGCACGGCGAGCTGGGCAGTTTGTGAACAACGCGCAGTCGAAAGACTTTAACCTTCAGGGGCAACTGCCGTCGGTGATCTGTCGTCGTGGGACCGGCCGGTTGATGGAAAGCGAACATGTAGAGAGGCAGTCAGTCACATACATACATATTAAGAAGAGAATTGGGGCGCACAGGGGAGACCGGCCGACATGAGAACTTTGCGATGACATGATGGGCGTTGAATGTGAAGGGGATGTCGCCATCTAGCGCCCATTCCGCAGCGCGGCCGGGTTCACCGCGATTACGAGCGCTGGAAATAGTTCTCCGACCTCCTGCTCGTGCTACTTCTTGCGACGCTGAGCTGGCCCAGAGAGTAATACTTCTAGTAACGAACGATGCGAACAAGCGGCAATATTTATGTACACATGTGTTTGGTTGCCTAGACACTACTGTAAGTATGCACCACAATCACCGCTGCGAACTGGCCAAAGCTGATAAGGCGGCATCACCGTCTACCATGTGGATCCTTCGCTCGACCCACTCGATGTGTCTGCGCAAAAACGTGTTTGCGTGATGGGTAGAGCCTGTGCACCTCAGTCTGATAAAGTGGCCATTCACGTGTGGAAGCTGGTAAGTATTCGTCGAATACCTTCGGTGTCTGGAGAATCCTCTTAGTATGTCGTGATCTGACATGTTTCCACGTCAACAGCACAACGCTAGTACTCGAAGTTACGGCTCAAAATGCATCAACACCCCGCGAAGAAAAGAAATCTATCAGGTCAACCCCGAATTTGCAAATGTTCAATCATACAACACTCGCTGTAGAGCCAGGCAGAGTATTTGACTCACGATTTCTGCGGAATGTACTTCAGCGTATGAATTTGCACGCCTTTCGTCCCGATGGAGATGCTCAATTCGAGAGTGGCACAGAAGCTGGGTACGTTGTTGGCGGTCATGCCCCTCTGTCTGTGGTGAAGCCGCATCTGATCGTGGTGGAGGAGGAGGTTGTCCAAGTATAGGGCCGCTGCCATTACATATATGCTTAGTCACATAACCAACACAATGTGCCGGAGAGCGCCCGTCCCCGCGCAGCATCAACACCATTTCTCCCACGTGGGCCAGTTGCAGCCTTCCACTCAGTCCGCCGTCTCCCTTGCACGTCCTCACCAGACTCGCTCGAACCTCAGAACCATGCCGTCCACCACGTCTCCTGCCATCACCGACCCGGCGTACTACACCTCCGCCATGTCCTACGCCGAGTGGAAGCGCGAGCCGACGCTCATGCAGGTCCTCTTCGGGCTGCACCTGCCCTACCGTCCCCCGCGCTCTTTCATTGGCAAGTTCTTCTGGCGGCGACGAGTTTGGGTCGAAGTCACCTTCGCGCTGTCTATGATGGAGCCCTGGGAGAAGGCCGTTGTCTGTGAGTACTATCGCGTGTCAATATCTCCTTCGTCCCTCTTTCGCGCCAGTCGGCTGTAATGAGCTGGCTTATGCGTTCCATGCCCCTCTATCTTCCGACAGCTCCTCGCGTGCAAGACATCCTCGCTAACATGATTTCATAGTGGTCGTAACGTACCTCACGCTCGGCCTCCTCTTCACCGGCATTTTCTTCTACTTGCCTCACCATCTGGTTTTCATTAACGAGCGCGCCGCCTACTACCTCTTCGGCCGCGATGACGGCCAGGGCGCTGCTTCGGACCTCGCAGACTCCTTCGGTCGCCTCAGGGATGTTGCCAGCTGGGGCCTCGACACTTCGCTAGGAGCACTGTCCAAGATGGGTGCCAAGGCGGAGCTTTGATCCACGATGGCTGAGCAGACTTCGGGGGTTGGTGCCAGGTGGGTATTCGTGTTGCCTTGTACCATAGTGCGTACACCTCTGTCTATCTTCATCGAGCTCGCTGCTCACCTGCGATACTGTCTTGACCCTGACAGATACCATTGCTTAATAAGAGGATATCAGACATGCTACATGATACCACGCCATACCTCACGGTCGTGCGACGTATGTCACATAGAACGGACGTAACAGTCAATGGATACATTCCTTTTGCGCGGTCTTCATCTTCGACCAATGTCTCGAGTTACTTACAGGTATACACGGAGTCCATCACAGTCATGGGAACTAACACCCAGGGGTTGATTGACGCCTACTTCCATAGAGTTTCAAAGTGACTCGCTTCTCTCCTTCAAACTGCGACATCCACAGTCGACGACGACGCGTGTCGGCATGCTGGGTGCATTGGTGCTCATTGGTGGTGTAGTTTTGGGTTTGACTTCAGTTGCAGATGCAGCGCTGCAGCGACCATTGCTGACTCCAGCTTCCCCCAAGCTCGACGGGCTCTTACAGTTGGAGCACCCGTTGTACGCCAACTATAGCGTGCGCGTGACAGAGTCTCAGTTCTGCGACGGGGTAACTCGGTATGTTCCTCGCTGGGTTCTTCGCGCAAGGAGGTGGTAGATGCGTCCTCTCAGAGTATACACCGGCTACATCGATCTTGAAGCAAAGCACCTCTTCTTCTATTTCTTCGAGAGTAGACGCGACCCTGCTTCGGACGACGTCGTTTTATGGCTCAATGGTGGTCCCGGAGGGTCATCTGCTCATGGCCTCTTTATGGAGAATGGTAAGCCAACCACTGGTCCGCCAAGTCGGGACCGCATGTTCCAGAATGTGCAAACGCAAGTTCTTACGCAAGTCTCCGCAGGACCTTGTAGAATGGCCGGTCCGAACGGCACGGAACGCTTCGAGCACTCTTGGAATGACTTTTTGAATACGCTCTACTTGGATCAACCCGTTGGCACAGGGTTTTCGTATGCCGATCATGGCGAATACGTGGTGCGGGTCTCTGGCTTTCTTCAGGCACTGGCCTGTTTACTGAATCTATATATTTGGGAATGGCAGAGCTCGACCTATGAAGCCTCGAAGGACATCGCTGCATTTGTCGCAATATTCTTCCACCACTTCGACAACCTAAAAGGCAGAAAATTCCACATGACGGGAGAGTCGTACGCGGTGCGTATATATGCGGGCCTACTTTTCGTGTCATATTGACTGATAGCGTGTTCGGGTTGGCAGGGACGAATGATACCAGTTTTCGCCGCCGCTGTACATGACCAAAATGCCCGCCTAGTGAAGGCTGGTCTTGCACCAATCAACCTCGACTCTATCGTCCTCGGTCGGCACGACCTTCTCGTGCATCTGTCATGAATTCTTAATATGATCTCGCAGGAAACGGCTGCACAAACTTCATGATCATGACGTTGTCTTACTATGACATCCAATGTGAATATCAACAAGATTACGGAATTCCGCCCATTCAAACAGCGCAGTACGCACTTTACATTCCATCATGGTTCCGTATACGTACGCTCATATCGATCCAGGGAATGTTCAAGGATCAAGCAGCTCGTATGTGTTCTACGCTTCTGTGTGCACACATTAAGGCTGACGCTACGCTATCTCTTTGGCTCAGGTTCCCCGCTGTGAACGCAGACTGAAGACCTCTTGCATCGACACGTATGACAAGACAGACTGCTTGGCCTCCCTGTCGTTTTGTGCCGATGCATTCAAGGACTTCTGGGCGAAAGATGATGGGTACAACCCCCATGATCGCACTCTGCCATGGTGAGCACGTCTTTCGTCTGCCCCGTTTTTTCTTCCCATTTCTCCATCCTGGACTGCAGCAAACCGTACATGGGGATGGATGAATGCTATCCCATCATCAAGTCAGTGTCTCGCTGCCCTTGCGGTGAGCTATGCTCACCACCGTCCCTATCACAGAGACATTAGCGCGTACCTCAACAACCCTACGACACAAGCCACGCTCGGAGTCGACCTTGCCCACTCCACCTTCGTCGCGCACAACGGCTCCGTGCAGGCGATGTGGGAGGCGAACGCGGACCGGGTGTCCTTCCGCGCCGAGGACGCGATCGGCGCGCTGCTCGACCGCGGCGTGCGCGCGCTCGTGTACGTCGGGGTGAACGACTTCGTGTGCAACTGGGCGCGTCTCTCTTCCGTGTGTTTGCTCTGGCCCGGTGCTCAGCTGACGGTCTGCTCTTCTGACGTGCAGATCGGCACGGAGCGCATGACTCTGGGCGTCGAGTGGGCCCAGCAGGAAGCGTACCGGCGCGCGCCGGTGCGAGACTGGCGCGTTGGGGACGTAGTGGCAGGCAAAGTGCGCAGCGGGGGCGGGATGACGTTCGCGACCGTTCTGGATGCCGGGCACTTGGTGAGCTTCAGCTTCATCCCCGGTGAGCTCTTGCTGATATGCTTTGCGGCAGACCCCGCACGACCAACCTGTCAGAGTGCTAGAAGTGGTCAGAAAGTGGTTGCTCAACGGCGATATGTGAAGGGGAGCTGGGCAAGTGTGGTGGTATCATGAGGACATTATTCTGCACCCTGCGGTATGTAGCACACTATGCACCTAGAATTGATACTATGATATGCATCGTCGTCTAGTGGTAATACTGCGGGACCGTCGTCATATCCCCACGCGCGATCGATTCCGGTCGTCATCCATTAATTTTGTTGTGCTTTTCCGCATCTGAGAGCATGGCTGAGGCTTGCGCGTGATTCCTGTTTTGCCTCTACCACACTGGTTGGGTCTATGCACATTTCTATTGATCGGTCCGACCTTGACTGGTTGACGACGTCGAATGAACTTGAGATGTTGAACAGGGAAGTGTATGCAGATGGGCGCTACTCTGGACGGGAGATCCGGAGCCCAGATGCTTACCTCAGCATGGCGTGTCTGGGGCGGAGTGGTCGTCGTGCTACTCGTCAGCTTCACCGCCGTCCCTCACGTCCTGCCCGTTCTAGTCGCCCGAATCGCCTTGCTGCACACCTTTCTACCTCGAATCACACCCCCAGCATGGCATCGGCGTACTATGAGTTCTATCGCGGCTCCTCGTATGTCCCCAACCACCCTGCCCGACCCATGGGTGGAATTTGACTGGCTTCTCCACAGGATCGGAATGGCGCTTACGGACTCGCTCGACGAGCTCATCACGAGCGGCGCTATCACCCCGCAGTTGGCCATGAAGGTGCTGCAGCAGGTACGGGCTGCGGCTGTAGAAGACAGGGGTCCCGGGCGCTGACCGCCACTCCACTACATCCTACCTCGGCCTGTCCTCTGGTGGCTGGCGGTGCGCGCAGTTCGACAAATCGCTTGCGGACATCATGGTGAAGCAGGTGAAGACGAAGACGACGCTCAAGGTATGTGTGCCACCCGCTGAGCTTCATGTCCGCTCACCGTGCGCGCGTTTCCCTCGTGCCGCCGCCACTCCTGCTTCTCTGCTCTCTTCCTCTTACCCGCTCGCCTTTACCCGCTCGCCTTCTACCCGCTCTTCCATCTCCTTTCGCATCTCTGCATCGCCCATGCGGCGAATCGCTCCGGAATGCGCGCCACTCCTTAGGGTCACCTCCACACCTACCGCCTCTGCGACGACGTCTGGACTTTCATAGTAAAGGACCCCACGTTCAAGATGGAGTCGAACGAGCTAGTCTCTGCGCCGAAAATCAAGATCGTCGCCTGCAAGAACGGCGACGCCATAGAGGCCGGAAAGAAGTAGAAGCCGCGACCTCGCTGACGTCTCCATCTTCCTCTCGCACTTCCTCCTGCGCACCTCTTCATCCCCCAATCATGTTCCCGTCGTGCTCCGGCGCCCCCTGTACTACTAGATATCTGGTTTAGACGCGGCCACCCCTGGACTGTCACATAATCGTCGTACCTGCACTGTATCTGGCCGCGTGTGGTATATATGTCATTTGCACACCCTCTTTTCCGCCGCGTACTTCATTCTTGTGCTGCGATGCAGCGTCTCTCGGCTGCAGGTGAGTTCTTTTGACGTGTTGCGGTGGGGCCTAGGGCTAACACGACGAGTATAGGTCGCTTACAGCACGGGTGTGCCCTATGATGTGCGTTCACTTTCGCAGCCAGCCGCCTCTTTCTTCGCCGCGTACACACGGCGCGCGGTTAGAACGGCTTTCAAGTTCGCTGCTGCTTCTACCGCCGGATGAATTCGTCCTCGGAGGTCAGGAACCCGGAGGACTTGCAGGATCCATTCGTAAAACCGCCTCGCCAGAGACTTGTGCCCCCTGCCCTGCTTCTTCGCGTCTTTCATTCTCGTAAATGCTAATGGCAATTGACCTTACAGGTTACGATTTCTAGCTACCGCTCTACCACAAGAGACGCGACCCCCGCCCGCGCCTCCTGCCTATGAGACGCGTCTGTGCCAAAGCACGTGCTATCACCTTCGCTTCAAGTTCGCTACTACTTCTACCGCCGAATGAATTCGTCCTCGGAGTTCAGGACTTGCAGGATTCATTCGTAAAAGACTCATGGCCTCTTCTGTGCTTCTTCGCGTCTTTCAATCTCGTACTTGCTAACGACAATTGACCTTACAGGTTACGATTTCTGGCTACCGCCCGACACACAAGAGACGCGACCCCCGCTCGCGCCTCCGGCCTATGACTCTGAGGCACAAAAAACCGGAGGCCTCGAACTCGGAAGGTATGCAAGGTCGAAATGGAGGTGATGGTGCGACGAAGGGATGAGAAAGAGGGCAGCGTGCAGCGTATCAGGTAGAGTGCAGTGACAGAGGTGGACGTCGAAACGGCGAGGATGCTTTCGTGGGGACTTGCAGTCCAGACAATATCCCCCCGGACCTGGGAGGGAAGAACAGGAGCGTGGTGAGCCATGCGAGCGAGGACAGTGACGTTGAAGCAACGTTGAAGAACAATGGTTCTTGGGAACCCTTCTGGTGATGAACTTCGAAGACGTGTCTGGGCCAGTATCACGTGATACCACCTTCGCCGAGGCCGCGGTGCGCGGATGCGTCGCCCTGTTCCATCAACAAGCCGCCATCAGAGCAGGGCGGACCTTGCATGATGCCAGACGGCCCGGCCCGGCAGCAAGCCAACTGGAGGACGAGGACGAATACGAGCACGGACACTGGGTGGTGAGCAAGCGTGGTTTGTCATCGGGCTGGTTTTCATCGCTGACGTCGGAGCTCGGCGGACGCGCTCCGGGGGAGCTAGGGAGTCGAGTCCTCTGAAATCCGGAGCCGAGGGAAACACGGGACGACAGTCACTTCCGGCTGGACCCACCTAGGCCCCGACCTGCCTGAAACTGGAAAGTCGAATGTTCGGCGATGGAATGAATGTTGCAACGCCCGTTGCGAGCCCCGACGCCACCACGCCGTTGCCGACGAAAGCCGATGCTACTTGCAGCACGGACCTTGAACAAGCTTGGTGCACTCCACCTAGGCTCGATCATCCAGCCGTTGGAGGAAGTCACGACGAAAACGGCTGGATGATCGAGCCTACACTCCACGCCGCAACTGTGAACGGCGTGCTGTCGGCTGTCGCGCGAACGCGGGCGCACTGGGCGCGCGGGAGAGCCTGCCTTAAAGCCTCTTCACGAGCCCCGCGCCGACCGGGTGCGATCGTGTCGCCGCGTGGCGCCCATTCGGGGCTCGCCGAACACGATGGAAGGTACGAGACGAGAGGCGGGTGCGCGTAATTGGCCAGGTGGAGGCTAAGGACGCGCGCTCGCGCGGCTTCGCAGGGAAAGCGGGCGAAAGGAAGACCAGGGTTCGGTGGAAGCCAGAAGAAGACGCGACTGGAGCGGACTCGCCGTGGCCGTCGCGGCGTGTTGGTGGGCAGGTGACGGGCGGGCTGCGCGCGCGGGGCGATAAGAGAGAGACGAGGGTGGGCACGCGACCGCGGTACGTTACCAGAGGCCCCTGGATGGCCAGTGATGGGGCTTGCGCTGACGCCCTTGTTATCCTGGGCTCGTAGCTCGCGCGCGACGGGAGGTGGTACACTGGTATAGGGCGGGCGAAGGTTCGTAGGCTCCACGTACCGTACACGCATTCCTCCAATCTGAACCGTCGATCCATTAATATACACAGGCCGCACACGCCCCGCGCGCGCTCCGACCCCACACTGGGGCGAGCTATCGGGATATGTAGATGGCTGTGGGTCGTGACTTGTGAAGGGTTTGCGAAAGGGTTTCTGATGACAGATCCTGCGCGCGCAGCGCACCTGTGCGCCCTGGGAGATGTTGGGAGATGTCGCGCTCGGGGCTCGGGGCCGATGCGGAGGAAAGAACCGGCAAAGTGCACGAGAGTGAGCCGGTGAGGGCGGTATATCACAGACCTCTATGTTCCGTGGCGGGGGTATGGAGTGTCATCTCGCAGTCGGAGGCGTGGTCGTGATCGTGCTGAGGGAACATGCGTAGCGATGTTGCTGGTCGGAGAGGGCATTTGTGGGCGAGTGTTACAGTGTAAGTTACACGTTCGTAACCCCGCACGCGTGGGGAAGTTGTGCCAAGCGCGGTGCAGGGCGGATGTGAGAATGCCGGACTTTGCCTTGTACGGTGGACGCGGATCATCGGAATGGTCGAGTGGGTTTGCCCACTGTTTGCCCACTGTCCGGCGGTCGTCGGCCAGCGTCCGTCGCTCTCCTGGTGCCAACCGGGCTGTGCGGGTTCGCAGGGCACGGGCTGGCACGGGCGGCAGGGGCTGATCTCGATCGAGGCGGAGTGGCGGAAGGGCTGCATCTAATCACGGATGACGAAACGGGCCCTAGGCGCCGACTCCCACTGCGGGGGTAGCGCGGCCGCGGCCGTAGAGCCTCCAATTGAGCATGCTCGAGCCCCGCCCGGCCCACGGATATATACCCAAGCCTCTGCCCGCCGATCCTCAACTTTCGTGCAGCCTCTGCTCTGCTTACAGCGCGCGACGATGCCCGCCCTTCTGCTCGAATCTCGTCTCGACGTCGGGGGAAGCGACCGCGGCAGGGTCGCCCAGACTAAGCGGTCCCGCAATAAGCTCGAGTGCGTCTCCGATAAGTCTCGGCGTTTCTTCCCTCTCTTCCTCACCTCCACCTTCCCCTTCAGCATCTACTCCCTCGCCTGCGCCCTCGACCCCTCGCCCCCTCTCTCGCCACCCTGCGCTCGGGCCCGGCTCGCAAACGCGTTTTCTGCACAATCTAATCCCCCTTGCGACCCTCGCTTCTTCTCCGCCCTCTCCAACCCCCCCGTTACCACCACCTCCACACCACCTCCAGCTCACGCGCACGCTCGCCCTCGACCATACACCGCGCATACAATGACCTCAGCTGACCCCCCGCCCCCGCTGGAATGGGACTGGGACGCCGAGCACGCAGATCGAAAAGAGGAGGCCAAGGCGGATGCCGCGCACCACCATGCGACCCCCTTCCAGGTCGACCGGAAGCTGCTCAAGGACATCGTCCACGAGCGCATGGGTGCCGAAGTCGCTCGAATCAAGTTTCTCGGTGCAGGTCCGTCTCCAACCCAATCTCATCCATCTCGCTAGATCCTCATCTCTGCGCTACCGAACCACAGGTACTTTCCATAAAGTGAGTGTCGCGCTGCCTTTGTTCGCCGTTCTTCCTCCTCTCTCGCACACACGACTTGCCCACGCCCCCAGAGGGCCCTCTCTCGTTACATGCGCGCCCCGCTGCGCGTTTCGCTCCTCTCGAGACGCTCTGGACGCTTCACGCTCGGAATTCCAGTCGACCAGCCGAGCAGACGCCTCGCAAGCGTCGGCCTTGGCACGCGTCCTGTGCTGCACCGCGGGGCGCGAACCACCAACTGCTTCTCCCGGTCGCCGTAATGGTTTGGCGGGCTTGGCGTGTCCATCTTGGCGTGCGCGACGCCCGCGAAGCGAGGCCATGATTGGAGACCGTCTCTCATCTCCGCTTTACGATTGGGGGCTGCGAGTGGGGTTGGAAGGCGCCGCGCAGCTTTCCGCGACAGTTCGTGATCCAAAGGCTGACCAAATCTTGTGCAGGGATACTTGGTCACCCTTGTCAACCGTCGAGAGCTTGTCGCGCGCGTAGCCCGTCGCTTCATGCCGCGGCTCAAGACGGAGTCGGAAGTCGCGACGATGCACTATCTCCGCGAGCGCACAGGCATCCCGGTTCCCGAAGTGTATCACTACGATGCGAACCCGTACAACCGGCTGGGTGGCGAGTACATCTTGATGTCCAAGGTCAGCATCTGTGTCTGCCCAGCTCGTCCTATCTGCTCACCTTTTTTCACAGGCGGCGGGCATCCCGCTTGCAAAAGTCCTGCACTCGATGCCTCACACCACGCTCGTCGCGCTGTTGGAGAACATCGCGATGCTCGTCCTCCCGCTCTTCGGTCACCGCTTCCCGATGATCGGCTCCCTCTACGATGGGCCCGACCCCGAGCCCGTCTCAGACTTTTCTTCTTCGCTCCCCACTCCGACCCCGTCTTCATACCAGCGCTTCACCAACATCAGCGACGCGTTTTTCAAGGCCGCGCACGAATCAAAAGTCGCCCAGACGCACGTGGGCCCGATCATCTCCTGGCCCTTCTTTGGCTCCAACCGCGGCGAGCTCACCCATCCGGACGAGATCAACCGTGGCCCGTGGGCGAGCACGAACGAGTACCTGCGTGCGTGCACCGAGCGCGAGATCCGCGGCGTCATCCTCGAGAACGAGGGCAAGACCGCGCCGCACCGGCTGCACCTCGATCCGGACGAGATCGAGACGTCGCGGCACCACCGCGTGTCCGCCGTGCCGGACGACCGCTCCGACACCTCGGACGAGTGGGACTGGGAGGAGAGCGAGGCCGAGTGGGACGGCGGCGCGGGCGACACGATGTACCAGGACTACCGGCGCATGCAGCGCTCGACGTTCCTCGTCGCGCACCTCGCGCAGCGCGAAGAGCGTGTCCACGCCGAGATGGTGCGCTTCCTCCGCCTCATGGAGCGCCTCGGCGTTTCCAGCCACGCTGAGGGCGATGGCGGTGGTGGAGGCGGCGCGGGCGAGCAGGAGGAGTTTACGATCGACTGCCACGATCTGAACCTCGAGAACGTTTTCGTCGACGAGAACGACAACTCGAAGATCGTACGTTTCCGTCCACCGTCGCTCCCGTTTTCTTATCATACTCACTCGCCGCCCTGTAGACGTGCATCATCGACTGGGAGTCGACGACCACCCGCCCGCTCTGGGCGTGCGCGCACGTCCCCGCCTTCCTCCAATCCTCGCCCTTCACCGCAAAGCTCTTCCGCGCGACCGTCGAGCGCCTCGCCCGCTCCCCCGACGTGCTCACGATCCACGGCCGCCCCGCGCCCGTCCCGCTCGCCGACCTCGCCCGCTCGTGGCTGCACCACGAGGCGACCGGCGTGCGCCTCCGCATGGCGCACCGCTGCATCGAGTGGGACGGCTGGGAGGAGGGCCTCGTCGGGGGCATCCTCGGGCCCGAGGACCAGGAGGAGGACTGGTTCCGCACCTGGGACGACGGCGACGGCGCGGACGCGCACACACCGGACCCCGCGGACCTCGACGCGCGGGATGTCGCGGCGGACGAGAGCCCGGAGGACGCGTACGCGTCCGACTCGCCCGTCGCCGCGATCTCGCTCGACTCGCTCTCCTTCGGGCAGTCCGCGCCCTCGAGCGAGGAGCCGTCGCGCCGGCCGAGCGTCACGAGCGGCGCCGGGAACGCGAGGGCGAACGGGCCCGGGAGCGGGAGCGGGAACGGCGCGGGGGCGGTGCCCAAGGTCGTCGCCGCGGTGGAGAAGGCGCGCGAGAAGCTGCTGAACGCGACGGGCGACTTCTGCGGCGGGCGCGGCGGCGAGCTCGGCCGGCGGCTCGAGGCGTGGCTCTACGTCAACGGCGACGCCGACGGGCGCGTCGAGCTCGGGCGCCGCTGGGAGGGCGACGACGTAGAGGTCGACTGAGCCCGCGGGATTTTTGGTGCCGCTTAACGTGGCGCGAGTCCCCGCGGGCCCTATTTATGACCTCCTTCCTCTCGTCCTCTGTCTCTTTTCTCTCTCTCTCCGCATGCATCTCTTCTTGTCTTCATGTCAGGTATCGGCCGCTTCATGTCCTCATGTCTCCCTGGTCACCTCGTCGTTCTTTCCATCCTTCTCAGATTCTCGCGGTCATAGACGGTCCTCGTCCTCTATGGTAGGTAATCACATCGTATTCCTCTCCCACCCAGCTGTACATTACCACTGCACACGCCCATCGTCCAGCATCGGCCTACTACGGGCCTCACGCGCACGTAATTATTCGCCCCCAGGATCCCTCGCACATTTGTACGATACCCTCAGAGCACAGCAGCAGCGTTGAAATCGAGTTTAGACGTTTAGTCGAGTGACGTTCACCTTTGGCCGTCTCCGATAACACGACCGCGCGTGTTGTAGTCGCCATTCCGTTCGGACAGTCGAGTCCGCAAGCCGATAAATACCGATGTCGGGATGGGTGCCCACGAGTACAGCGTAAAATGCCTTGTACACTTTGCGGGCGAGACGGTTGGACGGACAGGGAGCACGTACTACACGGACGACCGACGGCACGCCGACGGCCGCACAATCGCCTACCACCAACGGCCCTCCGCCCGGTCCCATTCCTCCCATTCCCCCGCTCCGGAACGGTGGCCCGGCTCACGCGTGCCACGTCTTCGCGATGAGCTCCGTGAGACCTGCACGAGCGAGAAGGGCAGCGTCAGCGTCAGCGGCCAGGGCGCAACCGAAGGATGGGTCGAGAGGAAAACGCACCGATGTCGTTCGTGTTGAACTGGTAGACGCCGACGAGGACGCCGACGGTGGCCGTGCGGAGCGTCCACTTGGCGACCTGCCCGAGCACGGGGAACTTGCGGGGGTGGAGGTAGTCGACGACGAGCGAGTCGAACTGCGTCGGAAGAGGCGGGGGCTGGTCAGCGACGGGCGTGCGGAATCACGTGGGCGGGAGGGCGGGGGAAGGGGGCTTCAGGCGCGTGCGAACGTCCAGCATCCCTGGAGTGCTTAGAGCAACTCCCAAGAGGCGGCGTGGTACGCGTAGAGGGTGGTGCGTGCGCCCGAAGGGGGGCGAGAACAGGAGGAAGGACGTACGCCGATGTGGGAGTGCATGACGAGGCTCACGGCGAGGATGCCGTCGAGGATCGGGTAGTTCGTGCCGCTCGTGGCGAAGGAGGCGACGGTGAGCGGGACGAGCCCGGCGGAGAGGATGCGTTCGAAGGCCCAGTGGTGCGAGCCGTGCGTCCTGGACGGGGCCGGGAACGGCGTCGGGTCGTTCACCGTGCCCCTGTAGATGGCTGCGGGCGGCGGGTCAGCGACGGCGATCTGTACGGGCGAAGGTGGGTGCACTCACGGCCTCCGGGAACGTAGGCAGCGTCCGCCGCGCCTCTTGCTGCAAACGAGAGAGCACACGCGGGATCAGTGTTGTGGACTTACACGCCACGTTCGAATGGGCCGAGTGCGAGAAGATGTACCTTGGAGAGCGAGTGGCCGCAGCGACCTGCGCGCAAGAGAGACGGCGGTTTTCCCGCTGAACGCGGAGCGGGCGATGAGGGAGGACATGACGGCGGTGAGGAAGAGGAGAGGGTGGCCCCGGCTTCGTCGTGCAGCGCTCTAGAATCACGCGCTCGTGATTGGCCTTCGGCGTCCTGTCCGCTTTCGGCCGTGCACTCCGCCGGCCGACTCTTCGTTGAGCTGCTTCAACTTGCACAGTCGATTCGTTCTCTGCATCCATTTTGAACACACGGCAAGTTTGATTCCTTCGAACAAACGATAAACATCGATGGCAAGACAGGCTCGGTGTATATACTTCGGCCAGCAGTGGAATCGTGCCAAGGAATGACATGCAAGGGAGAGATAACAGGTGCGAGAACGAAAAAGCATTGGAAGCTACCGTCGCATAGCCCGTGTGGGATGCTGGTGGTGTCAGTGCCAAGAGCAGTACCCCTAACAAACAGAGGCTCCGGGAGGCATCGTGGTCATCGAGGCTTTTCCCGGCGCGCGCATGCCCACATACTAGAAATAGGCAGTCAGCTCGTGGTAGATTAGAAAAGAAGGAAACGACCCCGAGAGCACATACGATGGGGTTGTCCGCAGCGAAATACCACAAGCCCTCTTTGGACTCTTCACCTGGTTCCGCCATGTACCGGTCCAGACTTTCCATGATGTCACATTCGTCTCCCATGCTCCCGACAAGCCAGAGCCGCCTTGCGACCGTGTAATTGGTGCAGAACACGACCATCTGCTTGTATCCGTACGCGATCGGAATCTCGATGTCCAAGGAGAGAACTACCAGCTCCGAGATGTGCCGCACGACCCTCCACCGTGCGAGGGCGCTTACGATACCACGGAGATCTGGGTCGGTGAACAGCGGCGAATCGTCCGGAAAGGAGGCCAATTCGAACTGTTCGTCATCTGAGATGAGCTCAGGGTGGCGGACGAGGTACTCGGCCTGGATGAGGACCGTGAGATTGATATCTCTGGCCCACTTGATGACCCAGTTTTCCGTGAAGACCCATCCATAGTAACGGAGGAGAGGTCCGCCTTCCATTGGAGAAAACTCTGGGTCGGGTCCATACAGAAGGGAGTGGAGCTGCTCGCGAGTAAGCTGATCGTTGTACTTGGGATCGAAGAATTCGGTGCCCTTGGGCACGTCTTCTCTCTGTAGCACTGGCACCGGGTGGAATGTATCACAGAAAGCCTTGTATTTCTGCATGGTATTGAAATACGTCAGGACTGCAGAAGCGATACGAGTTGGAGAGGGTGGAGGCGCACCTCGCGGTAAGTGAGCGGCTTGCTAGTGGCACCTTGTTCGTCCGGCTTCCTCGCATCGTCGGCGGGTTTCTCGTGTGATATGTGCCCCTTGGGGGCAGACATGGCGAGAACGGGCGGTGATAGTTCAGTGACGTGTCGAACTCGAGGCACCCCTCGTGGGTATGTAACCTTTGGCGAGCGGGAAGCGGGAGCGCTTGTGAACGCATGGCGTAGCCTCAAATACCGGACACGACGCCACTCAAAAGCACCAAACCCAACACAACTGGAAAGACGATGTATTACAGGCAGGAACGCTGGCAAGGGCATTGCGAATGCATCATGAGATATCACACCTAGGAATAGTCGTTTAGTCGACGGTGATACGAACGAAGTACTTGAGCCTCACCGTGACAAACCCCGAGTTGTAATCCAAGTCCACCAGGCCGGCCCATTCGAACTCCTCGATCTCAATCTCCCCCCCGCTCTCCTTCACGGCTTCAACGATCGCAGCGAGGATTTGTTCTTCATTCTGGGTGGGCGTCATGGCTTGTTTGTAGTCAGGATGCGTCTCCTCCAGCTGGGCCCTGCCTCTGTATGGAATCCATCGCGAAGGGAAGAAGATGTGCGAGTGTCGTTGCTCCGGCGGTGAGTCGACGCCCCTCATTCCGGGGAAGTACCTGTCTAAGCGAGAGGTCGGCGTTCGGACTAGACAACGGCTGGCTCACGACTCACACGTCGAGTCTGGGCAGCGTTTCCGGAGTGCGGGCGGGAGGGTCTTCCTGAAGCCCATCCACGCATACAGGTAGGCCAGCGTCGAGTTGTTGTAACGCGGCTGTGGCGGCAGTGGGTTTTCATCGTCAGAGCCGACCTCATCCGCGAACTCGTTTTCGACGGGAACGCCGACAGGCAGATGGGGCTGGCAGACAGGGATCGAACTGACGAGCTCCTGGAAAGAGCGGAGGTCGAGTTGATATCCGCTCCAGATCGCGTAGCTTCGTCCGTTCTTCGGAACTTTGCCGTCGGGGAAATCGACGGAGACCATGGTGTCAGATCCAGTCCAACGACGTTAGTGGGTAGTATCACTAGGAGGCGGGCGTGCGGTTCCGGACGGACCGGGTCTCACGGCGCTTTCCTCGAGTCCTCGTCTTCCTGCTCCCACCACAACCCCGCCAGTCCGCAACACCGGTTTCAACTTCCAAGACCTCCGGGCTTCCGAGATGCATGGCCCACTGGAACATTCTTCGGGCGCGAGTGGCTGATCAGTAGCGCAGCGCTCCTGCTCAACCTCGCTACCACGCTCACACACGGGTATGGCTTCGCGACGCGCGTGTGGAGGGTTTCTGGCTAGCCCGAGACCTAGCCACCGGCCAGCCCGCATAGATGTGGCCTGGTTGTTGCTGGACCATTACTCGTTCAGTTGTGGCTTTCATACGCTCGGCTTTTCGGCCCCGCAGAATGGTGCGTATTGAGAGCTCTCCCTTTCTGTTCCGTGCTCACTATCTGGTTCTCCGCCCCGCTACAGGGAGTGCAAAAACCACTGCCCTCATGCAAACTCGAAGGGCGACACTTGAAGCATGCTAAAAGGCAGAGGATGGCATTCTCATGCTGGACCAAGGTTGGATTGTACGTACCATTGCTCGTTCTCCTCGAGCTCGGTCTTATACCTTATCCCCGCAACCCACCTCAAACATCTGCTCAGCGCATCCTTAAATTGCGCTTCATCACGAGTTTAGATATACTACACGCTCTTCTGCACCACTCCTCCCTCATTTATCACATCTTTTACGGCGTCATCTCTAATAGTGTGATCACTGGGGTCATAGAATGACATTGCACCGTCCTCTGTGAGTCTTCAGCCTCTTCGCGCTCATCCGCTCACCTCTTCTTCCGCCCTGCGCCCTTCGACAGTAGCCTTGAGTCTTGATCCCCGCCATCTCGGAGACTGCCCACCTCAAGAACGCCCCTGGATCCCGCCGTGGCGTACTGGAACAACCCTCTCGGGTTCCACTATCTTCCTTTGGTGTTTCTTTCACGGATTGTCCGTGGTTTCTCCCTTTTCCACTCTGTTCTATCCACTGATGCACTTCCAACAGTCCCCTCCACATTATCCCTTCGTAGCTTCACCGCTCTTGCCCTCGATGGCGGCACGAGCGAGTACACCTACACTTTCCCCAACAGCACTTACAGCATCAGCTCCCTGGTCCGCCCCTTCATGCCCCCGGCGCCATCTCCTCCCTCGACGCCGGTGAGAAAATGTGGACTTCGGCATCGACTCCGAAGACAACGACGATGCCGGACCTGACACCGAGAAACCCCGATGGCCCTGAGGTCACCGACGACATGACTCGAGAACCGACGGCAGCGCAAGAGCCCGCACCAACCCGCACCGGGCCCTGTCCGCCCCTACACCCGCCATCCACCGTCTCGGGGCGTGGCCTCTATTCTCCGGGGGGCGCACACAGCGGAGCCTGGCCGCTGGAGCGGGAGCGGGATGCGACTCGTGGCTCCGGCTCGAACACCACCGGGCTGGCTCGTGCGTGAAGAAGCCACGGACGCTCCAGCAGAGCCGGCTGCCAAATTCACCTTTCTGCCCCCTCCCGACGAGCCAGCCGCGAACCAGCCGCCACCCAAAGCCAGAACTTAGCAGAGCATCATTGTCAAGCCCCTCGACACGCCTGAGGTCCCGCGCGCCTGGCTCCTTTGCGAGAACAAGCAGCGTGTCGCGCAGGGTATCTCGCCTCTGCCCGTCCCCCTGTTCTCCGGCCTCGTCAAGGACTGGACGTCCAGCCCGGAGCGAACCCCGCGCGCGGAGCTCCCCATCGCACCATCCGCGGTGCGCGCGCAGAAGCCGGAGCAGAAGCGGCGTGGAAAGTGATCACGCTCAAGCTGGGGGAGAAGTTCAAGGGAGAGACACTCCGTATGTTGTTTGTTCTGTGCGTTACATCGTGCACTCATGCTGTGTGTTCAGCGTGGGCGAAAATTGGCGCCTTCCTGTGGTGACCGGCCGTCATTTTCGAGGAAGACGGCGGCGGCATCCCGGCTCCTGTGCTTTCGCAGAAGGTGACTGCACCGCTACAGCCCTCTCAGGACCGCTGCCGTCACTCGCGCCTCTACGCGCCGAGCCCAGTAGCAGACCTGGAAGAAGCTGCCTTCCAAGACCCTCACTGCCACCGAGTGTGAAGGTGACTCGTGGCAAAAACGACTTCAACCCCGTGCCCTCCGCCTCCGCCAACAGCGGCATGCGCCGCACCGAGATCGGCCGTCAGCGCGTCGCGGGCAAGGGCGCACAAGACGATTTCACCCGCGGGCGCGATCGACGTCTGGAGCCCAAGCACTGAGTGCGGGCAGGCTAGGGGCGGGCACTCAGTGAGCAAGTCGGACGTTTCTCACTCCCAAGAGGCGGAGTAGTAAGTGTATAGGTTGGTGCATGCGCTTGGAGTGAAGGAGACCGTAGGTAGAAAAAGGAACGTAAACCAATATGGAAATGCATGACGAGGCCGATCGCCGACTTGCTACGGCCGAGTCTATCGAGGTGTTGCCGGCTGGCTCTCCCGTAGTGGAGGAACGTTTCCTCGATATCGTGCTAGGAACACAACGGGAGAGACAACATGCGGAGGTGCTGGCGAGGGCGTTGTGAAGTGAATCGAACGCACCGCCCGAGACTCATCGTGACAAAACCGGACTTGTAATCCATTGCTCGATGTTGATTTCCCCGCCGCTCTCCTTGACTGCCTCGACAACCGCAGCGAGAACTTCTTTCTCCTTCAAAGCGGGTTCCATGGCGAGCTGATGGTCAGGGTGCGACTCCTCCAGCTGCGCCTCGCCGCGGTAAGGAATATAATGCGAAGAAAAGAAGATGTGCGAGTGTCTCTGCTCCGCCGGCGCGTCGACGGTCCTCATCCCGGGGAAGAATCGGTCCAAGCGGGAGGTCAGGCTTCGGGTCAGCGAATGCGAGGGTCCGCGTGCGACCCACACGCCGACTCTGGACGCGCCTCCTCAGTGCACACTGCAGGTGGGAGGGTCTTCCTGAAGTTACTCCACGCACGCAGGTAGATCTGCGTGGTGCTATGATAACGCTGCTGCGGGGGCACCGGCTCGTTGCCGTCGGAGTAGTTGGCTTCCTCCACCTCGCTTTCGTTTGTGTGCGGCAGAATGGGCTGCCAGACGGGGATCGACCTGACCAGCGCCTTGCAGTCACTGAGCGTGAGTTGGTATCCGCTCCAGATGGCGTAGGTGTTTCGATTCTTGGGAAATTGCCGGTTGGGAAACTCAACGTAGATCACAGTGGCAGAGGCGGCGCGACGACAGAGCCAGAGAGTCGAGAGTCGAGACACGCTAACCGCCAGTGCCTCAAGCCCACCACCCACGTGATCGATAGCAGAACGTGATCTTCCAGTCGCACTTCCGCGGACATGCATGGTGGCTTCCGGAGCGTCGACCTCTTTCATGAACTGCTACTGTCTGGCTCCGGTGTTCTCTTGACGTCCTTGCATGCCGCTCTCCGCTTCACCTATCAAGGCACATGCTTCACCTCTCAAGGCACATGGACTGCCCGCAGGCGGGCACACAGTGACGCCGTAAGCTTGCCCTATTCTCTTTTCCGTTTGTCTCCCCTTCGGGCTCCCAACAAGCTCTACCCACGAGTGCGGCACGGTGGTCACTGGGAACCCTCCCGTTCGGTCCATGATGTACCCTGTGATCGTTCGCTTGCACGTCCTCGGTTACCGCTCGGGCATGCTCAAGCGGTACTCGTAAAGTTCGTGGCTCTGCCCGAATTTCGTTTGTCCGGCGCGCCGGTTCCGCAGTCGGGGTGTCCAAGGTCTAATAGGACGCCTTTCACTCGCACTCTCATAGAGAAGCGCTCCGTCATGTGTTCGCTCATGCAGTTGCCTTCCCCAGAATCACGCCCAAACGGAAACGGGAGCAGGACGAGGACGGCTCCCCGTTGTCTCGCCGCACCAGTCCGCAAAAGCCGTCCTCCGACGATACCCCCGTGCTCGACCCCGTCTGTGTCGTAAGTGCACTTGCCAGACCCGCGTGCTCATACTAAGCATGATCAAACGCAGGCATACGTGCACAGATTCACCACGAACTCCATCGGCTGTTTGCCATGGGGCGCCCAATGGGAGCTCGCGTGGTGGACATCTAATGGGTTCGGGTCTTTGGAAAACAATCTTCCTGTCTCCGAGTTCAACAATATCGCTCGGATGTCCAACGACGCCGGGGCCAGCGCGATGCGGAAGCTGCTGAGCGAGAGGACGGAGAAAACTGATGGCATGTATGCCCGAGAACAATATTCAAAGGTGTGATTGTCCTTTGAATTCATGAGTCCTATCGCGATTGACCTTTTACCAGCGACTAGCATGGGCGGAATTAGACAGAGAAGAACTCCTTCTCAAGGATACGGAGTCCCATCCTAGCGTCGGCGGCGTGCATTCCGACGACGGCTACGGAGGTAAAGTCAACTTCCTTGCCAAGGTCACTAAGATCCCTCAGAGCTGCCCCCCGAGGTTCCGCCTCACCCTTGAGCGCGCGGAACTCGGGCCTTCCAACCGGTTCACCAGGCGCTTTGGCTCAAGGCACTTTATCCGGGTGCGCCTCACCAAGGAGGCGCTCGCCCACAAAGGCCCTTCGCTCTTTGATTTCTTCCTCAGGCACTTCGTCATCTGGACGTCCGTCTACCGAGCGTTCTTCACAAAAGAACACAATGTGTTCCTCGTGAGGACCAATGAGGTCCCTCAAGCCATCAGCAAGGACCGTGTCGTCATCAGTCAAGATACGACTGACACTCGCTTGATGTCGTTCTCAGATTTCATCGACTGGTTCAACAGGCTAGAAGAAAACAAAGAGCAGGTGCGTAATCAATTTCTCAGGGCTGGAGGTACTGAGCGCTGAGCACTGTGTATAGACTATGGCCAAATGGGCGGCCAGATTCGCTCTTGGCCTCTCCACCTCAATACCCGGTATCAGGTTGGAACACGAAAATATCCACCACATAGAAGACATACGTACGTGAGCGCATGCAGCCATGATTTGGACGCCAGTAGCTCACCGTGTCCTTGCCCAGTATGTGAGGGATACGACGGACCGGGGAAGCCTCCCAGCGAGGTCCAGATGACGGACGGGTGCGGGCTCATGAACCAGACCGCCATGCATCTCCTCTACGAGCGCGTCGGCGCGCGCCTCTGGACACGGGCCCCGACCGCGGTTCAAGTGCGAATCGGAGGAGCCAAGGGCCTCCTCCTCGTCCGCTACGACCTCCCCACCGAAGACGAGGCGGCCCCGAAGATCTGGCTCCGGCCGTCGCAGGTGAAGATCAACAACGCCCGCGAGAGCGCGCGCGACCCGAGCTGGCTGACCATCGACGTGCTGCGCGCGGCGCGCATGCGGACCCCCGCGAAGCTCTCCGCGGAGACGATCGTCAACCTCGGCGAGAACGGCGTGCCGTTCTCGTGCTTCCAGGAGCTCTTCCGCGCGGACATCGCCGAGCGCGTCGACGCGCTCCTCGAGTTCCCCACCGGCGCGGACCCGCCGCAGACGCCGCCGTCGACGGTGCGGGCCACCGACCCGCGCGCGGACGCTCAATGGGTCCTCCGTCTCCTCAAGGCCGTCGAGCGTTCGGGAGGGGTGATGCAGGCTCGCGCGGCGCGCGCGGACTCCGGGAGGGCGCGCGTCGCCGGGCACGTGTACGACGACCGCGACGACGGGTACGAGGACGAGGACGACGTGGACGAGCCCGCGGCGCCGATTCGGGAGGGGAGCAGCGCATGGTGGGAGGACCCGGTGAGCGGCTGTCCGTCCTCGCTGGAGGAGACGTGCATGGTCCTCCTCCATGCCGGCTTCGAGCCTCGGACCTGTGAAGTCCTCGCGGAGAAGCTGCGGCAGGTTGCGCTCAAGGAAGTGCAGGTCTTCAAGATGAGGTACCGATTCGCTGTTCCGATGTCCTGCTCGGCGTTCATGGTTCCGGGTGAGTTGTTTCGAGGATCCTCAGGCTTACGGAGGTTGACAGATACGTTGGTAGATCCCCTAGGCGTCCTCGAGGCTGGCGAAATTCAGATAAGAAGTTCTGAGTGCAACTTGCCGGACCCCCGAGGAGTGTTGCAGCAATGCGTGGTAGGCGAGGTTTTGGTAAGCGGCATGTCATTGTGTCGAATTTATTCGGCTTGTTGAACGAATTTGACACAGGTGACGAGACACCCGTGCAAGGTCCCCAGTGATGTGCAGCGAGTGCGGCACACCTGTTACAGTTACTGCCAGAGGTTGATTTCTTATCTATGTGATACAGGTTCGCGCCGTCCTCCACGACAAGCTATCGCATTATCTCGACGTCATCGTCGTCTCTGTAAAAAGTGCCGTCTACGAAGGAGAATCACTCAAACGGCATTTGGCCAGTTTGTGTGGTGGAGGTAACTGTTCATCATGTACAGCGCTGTACATGCCGTTGATGATTCTGATGCGCTGCAGGCGACTATGATGGCGACACTCTAGAGGTGTTCTGGGACCCTGTTATCGTGCAGAATTTCAAGGTTCCGGACCCACGGAAATTCGGCGTTGTACCTCCAGAGGTGCACTCCAGTCTGTTCAAGAACACCATGTCCGCGGGTGATTTTCTTGATAAGACGGCATCTGTCGCTCCCAACGGAGACAAGTACATCCAGGACCTTCAACGGCACCTGCTCGCATCCCTCAAGGCGAGACCACTGACGGGCATGTACTCGTCGTGGTGGGAAAACAGTGCATACATGAACGGATACGACCATCCCACCACGATCTTCCTCGCTTACATGTCTGTCCATTCTCCCCACCGTACGCGTGTCCTTCGTTATGCTCACTCCTTGGCCCCACAGGTTCTGCGCGATCCTGGATGGCTCCAAGACGGGCGTCACGGTGAAACACAACAAGCACACGATCTACTCCAAGGAGCTGTACGCCATCTCCGCTCCCCCGCCGTACAAGAGGTTCGACTTCGACCCGGAGGATCGAGGGACCAACCTCCGGCCGTCGGAACGCGGCAAAGGGCTCCCCGAGTTCATCATGAAGACGCTCGAGCGCCTCACCGACGCCGAGTGCGCGGCGATGAAGGACCGCATCAAGCTCAAGTTCGCGCGGCCGAAGCTCCTGCAGCCGGACCCCCACCTCTGCGCGCCGCACGCGGACGCGGTGCGGCGCGGCGCGGCGCTCGCGCGGATCGGGGTGCCGGGCTTGCGCGACGAGCTCGCGCGGATCGAGGAGCACGTGCGCGCGTGCCGGCTGAAGGCGGAAGAGGAGCGCGGGCGGCTGGTGGAGAGGGAGGAGCGGAGGAGGGCGGAGAAGGGCAACAAGGGGCCGCGCGGGCGGGACAAGAAGGAGAACCTGTTCTCGAGCCTGCCCATCGAGGTCCGGCAGGACTTCTTCCGCGCGCAGTCCCGCCGCTTCCACCTCGACGGGCCGAAGGAGCTGCTGTTCTTCAGCGACCTCGAGGCGGGGAGGGTGATGGCGTCGTACGCGTACATCCACGACCACGAGGTATCAGGCAAGTACTGGACGAGATTTCCTTGGGACGTTGCGATGAGAGACTTGTGCGAGATCAAGGCGCATGCAGTCGGAGGGCCGAGGATGGTGTCGGAGGCCGTCTATCCTTGGTTGACTATCAGCGGGGTGGCTCTGAAGGACTGATCAGGTGTGTAGTTGTTGTGTTGTTGTATCTTGGATGTTGTACCGCTCGTTTGCTTTGATGTTGTACTCGTTGGTTTCTCCGTGCTGTACTCGTTGGATACTCTTTAGACAGCCAAAGCCTTCCATACTGTACGTTTTGCATACTCGCAGTTGTTTTTGCTTAGAACCACAATGGACTTTGAGGAGCGGAACGACGCACACGAACGAACCAGCATGCAGAACAGGAACTCACGGAAACAGGAGAAAGAAGTGAATTAGAGTACAGCGAAAGCAGTGTTCTACAGTACGACAACCACGACGCACCCCGACGACGACGCTCACAAGTCCATTTTGTCCTCCTTCTCCCAGCCCGGGTTCTTCTGCAGGATGACGAAGCCCTCCAGGACGTGCGCAAAGGGAATGAACTCCTCCGTCGCGAGCTCCGCGCGCTCCGTCGTCCCAAGCCTGACCGGCGTCGAGTGCGTCTGGAAGCCGGAGATCGTGCGCGGTTTTCCGGCCTGACCGACGACGTCCACCGCCTGACCGACGCGCACGGTGACGGGGGTGTTGTTGAGCTCCTCGTCGAGCGTAATCAGGAAGCGGGGGTACATTGACGGGACGAGGAAGTAGAGCATCCAGTGATAGCGGTCGAGGATGACTGGGGAAACGTTAGTCCTGTTGAACATCGAGGAATCGACAAAGGGAGAGTACTCACAGCCCTTGGCGTCGGTGAACGCGGTGAGTACCGCGAGGAGGCCCGCGACGGCAGTGCGGCCCATGATTGTCCGGTCCGAGAAGAAGGGGTTGATGGTGATCGTGCCCTTGCCCATGTGAACGAGACCCTGCGCGATACGGACCATGAAGAGGCAGTCGGGCTCCTTGTAGTAGTAGCCCGCAAGCTGGCGGAGCATCTGCGCTAGACGTGCGTTGTTCGTGCCCGCGCCGATGAGGCCCATCGCGAAGATGGCGTTCAACGCGACCTGGAGGTCGTTGTCGTGACTGTACTTCGAGAGCGTGTCCATTATCGGTAGTTGCGGGTTGGATGCGCTGACAAGACCGAGCGCGAGAGGGACGGCTTTCCGGATGATTGGCTCGCCGTAGTGCATCTGCGAAGACGAACGATTAGATCAGATATGGTGAGGCCACAATGAAACGGCGTACAAGGTGGTTGAACTGTCGCAATGACATCTCGGACCCAATCTCCTCGCCCATGGCGACGAGCGCGATACCGATGACAGCGAAGGCCTGGAAGGTATCGTCCTTGGGAGGCTCCTCCGGCGTCGCATCCTTGTCATCCTTCTTCTCCTTCGGCGACTTGTCGATGTGCTCGTCACAGTAGTGAAGGAGTTCCTGGACTTTGAGCACGTTACCCGTGCCAGCGAAGGAACACATGTCAACGATAACGACAGCAGTTTGTGATATCTGGTGCTCGATGGCTTTCAAAGTCGCGATCGTAGCATCTGAGCCCTCCTGGATGCCTACTCATGGCGTCAGCGCGTGCATGGCTCCTCCAATGCGACAATCCTCACCGAGGTAGAGCAGACCGAGACCGAGGACCATGAACCGGGCGTACTTCTCGTCGAGCTGCTTGGGGTCCCGCTCCATCAGGGTTTGCAGGATGGTGCTCGCGATCTCGCCATTAGCGCTCCCTACGAAGATGAAACCGAGGGCGAGTGCTGAGAGCGAGGCGATTTCCATCGATACACTGTCGTCCGCGACGAATGGCAGAATCATGTCCATGATGTCTCCACGATGTGCACCCGCGTACGCAAGCCCCAGACCCATGATCGCGGAGACCTTCAACGACGCGGACTTGTTTTCGATGTAGTCGCCCAGGAGCGCAAGGGCCGCATCCGCCTCTGTCCGCACGCCGCAGTTGAGGATACCGAAGGCGAGAAGCGCACCAGACTTGATGTGCTCTTCTGGTGAGTAGGTGTACTTGTCAATCTGACTGAGACCCTCGTCGGTGTCCCAGAGAAGACTGAGACCAAGACTTGCCGACGCGCTAAGCATGCCGTGGTCCTTGTTCTTGTATACCCAACTTGCGCCCTCCTCCGCCTTGGCCATCAGCTTGTCATTGCCGAAACCTGCGTTGACGAATGCGTTGACGAAAGTGCCGGCCAAATTGGCTTTCGCAGAGTCGACATTGGCAGTGGATCCTACGAGACGTCTGTTCACAGCGGGCGTGCAGAGAGTAATGGAAACCACTCACTTGTGTTCTCGAGGTGAGATTTGTAAACGTCCTCCAAGCTCTTGGGCTCGAGCACATTCAGCTCCTTGCCGAATTCCTTGAATTGAGTGCTGAGACGTGCGTTGCTCAAACACTCCAGGAGGTCCTCCGGCATCTCAGACTCGTCCTCCTCCATCCCGTCCTCAGACGGAGGATCCAGCCACTCCTTCGGTACTTGGGCGCGTGCGAGTAGGAATGCGAGCTGCTTCTTCATGCTAGGATTTGCGGGCGCATTGAAATCCGCGCGAATAAGATCGGGATCACCAAGGCGGATAGATAGGGAAAGTGCTTGCGGGAACTTATTGTGCTTCGCATATATGCTGTGCGCGGTGCGGAGGAAGGAGAGATCGTCTGGTGGGGGGAGGAGGTTTACGCAACTACGCCGGATGAGCGCACGAAGGGTACCACAGGGGAAGCCTACTTACCGAATCATGTACTGGCACACACGCTCGTATGTGTTATCATCGACAATCTCCACAATCTTGTCCACAATTTCCATTTCCTCGAGCAAGTCGACGGCGTCTGGTTCCGCATTATGCTGCAGGAGGAACGTCGCGCACACCAGAGCAAGAGCACGGAGGTCTTCCACACTCCCAGGCACCTTGTTCTCCTCCGAGGTCTTCTCCATGCCGGATTCGTCGAACTCACGCAAACTGTGCTCCTCCCCAAGTTCCGCGGCCAGGTGCCGGACATACTCGTGACCCCACGAACCTGGTTCTGAAAGAGGTGACGATGGACTGAGAGAAGCTGAGAGAAGACGGTAGCGCAGTGTCCCCCGAGGTTGAGTGTCAGAGTAGGTCATGGCCAGTACAGACAGGATATCCGCGAAGAGGCTCTGGGGTATGATAAGTACCAATAAAAATGAGTGGCATCAATGCTCACCTTGTTTTCAGAAGCGGACCATGTCTCGTAGAGCTCTTGCAGAGCAGGATAGTGTGGATGGAGGAATTTGAGAGGTTTCGGGACGGAGGTCATAGACGATGTGGATGTACGAATGAGTGTGCGCAAAGTCTCAAGAGCAGGACGGTAGAGCTCCGTGTTAGGTTCCTGGAGATGGTTTATAAAGTTAGCGCATGGGCAGAGGAGGTAAAACGTGAACGCACCCGCAAGCGTTCAATCAACATCTCGAGCTCCGTCTTGAGCTGCAGGTCCTCTTCTGACTATTCCGGGTAACGACGGAAGGGCGCCAGAGCCGTAAAAAAGACATGCAGAGATGTAGCTCCGTGAGATCCCGAAGTATACTCTGTCGTAGGTGCAGATGTACTCACGAGATCCTCTCCCTCCTTCTCCTCATCCTTCTTCTTGGAGGCGGCATCCTTGGCCTCCACGGGCTTGTCCTCCTGCTTCTTCTTCTTCGGGTCTTCTGAGGGCACGGGAAGGGCGAGTTTGGTGGGGTCGGGCATGATGGAAGGCGGGCGGTGGGGAAAGCAGAGGAGAGGCGGACGAGACTGGCGGGTCGGCGCGTCCTGGTCGCTCGACGCGACGCGTCAGTGCACTTGAAGCCCGATTTTAGGGTTGGCGCATGACGCGTAACAAGCCACGTGGGCGGTAAGCTCTCGGGAGGCGCCGAAATGGAGGACGCTGGACGCGATCGCGGATTGCACGACGGAGCATGGCCTGATCTCCTCCGCCCCCGGCTTATAGCCTCCCCTTCGCTTCGACCGCATCTCTGTCTTGCGCTCCCCTTTCTTCGCGCTCTTCGCGTTTTCTTCTCACTACGCAGGACGACACCCGATGGCGACAGCCACTGCAGCGATCCCCTCCTCCCAGCCCGGTTTCGCGCAGGTCCTAGGTGGCGACAAGTACCGCGGGGCCGTGGTTGAGGTCAGCACCGGTTCTGGTTCGTTGCACCGCGAGGGAGCTAACTGGGTATATGCTCGTCGCATTGTGCACACGCGTGCTGGCACCACTCAGGACCTCCAATTGCCCCCGGCGTTCGCGCTCCCCGCGGACGAAGCCATCTCCCGCGCGATCGAAATGGCATACGAGCGTGACTTCTCCCACATCCCGTGAGTGCTCTCGCCCCTCGCGCGCACTCTTGCGCTCCTCGCTTTCACCCTTCGACCGCCTTGGGAGTGCGGAGTGCGGAGATGAAGCCAGGACTGCGGTCGTGAATCGAGCGCGTCGGGCAGGAACGGGACGTGCTGACTTGTCTTCTCCCCGTGCCTTCGTCTCTGCCCCGCCGGCTGTACCTGCGCAGTGTTCTGGACCGGAATCGCAAACCGCTAGGCTACATCGACGTCACCGCCCTCAAGACCAAATGGGAAGCGGGCGGCGCGCACCCTGTGAGTGTCCCTTCTTCCGTTGCACAGTCGATGGAAAAGCAGGCCTGTGGAAGCTAGAAGCAGTCTTGTGTCCTGGATGGCAGCAACCCCATTCCGAACTCATTTCCAACGGTCCCCTGATATTGTAACACCATTTTCCTTCGCTGCGACTTATCGACCAAGTTTCTTCTTCTCGTGCTTGGGCGATGACTGACGAAACGTGCAGGATGACAAGGTCGACCAGTACATGAGCCGCTTCAAGCGTACTGCCGCGACACCCTACACCGTCATCACGCCCTCGACACCCCTTGCGGACCTCGAGACGTTCTTGAAAGCGAATATATTCGCCATCGTCACCGACCGCGATCGCAAGTTCGTACTCGGCGTCGTCACGAGCCATGATCTTGAGGTAAGCATATGCTGTCTGTTTCCGTGAAGGTCTACTCCCATGCGACCTGGATAACCGTCGTCTATCTTACGTCCCGCTGACATGCATTTGTACAGAATTTTGTCTCGAGGCGCGGGCTCTGATCTATAGTGATATAGTGGGAGTTCATGGGTCCAGGAGGAATAAGTCCGCAGATATCACACTTCGCTGTACATTGAATGGCCAGCCGATCATTTATGCCAGGATGAATCGACTGGATCCGCAAGCGCAGAGGGCCGCCATCCGACTGATGCTGACATGGATCCAACGCTCAGGAACCTCTACGCGACGTCGCGCTGGAAAGGATCTGCGACATCCTCACTCGGATATGGTGGACAGGATAGAATTCATGAAACGTTGCCTGGCTATAAGCCGTATTCGATGACAGCTTGTCCTAATGCATTGATGCAGGGTGTGAAGTATGTAGGCGTTGACTGTCCATGTCGCGCGCACATCGTCCGTTCATGGCGGCTTCAAGCCCGGCACAAGAAGAGAGGCCCAAACGAAATCAAGTGAGTATCAAGTTACAAGTAGACTTACAGTGTTCGCCGTTCGGGCGCGGAGCCTCGGACAAGCGTTGGCGGTGTTGCACAACAGACGTTCGAGCTGGTATCTGCCCCAGTTGGGGAATTTCCCGCTGAAGAAATCGACGTAGGCCATAGTGAGCGACGCAGAGACGTTGAAGAGAACGTGTACATCGGAAGCAAGAACATCCGTGCCACTTGAGGGGCCGTGGCAGTCACATGACCGCGTCCTGGCTGCACGACACAGACTCGAGAGTCCAGAGTCAGACCAACCGGAACTAGCCAGACAGCACTGGCCATGGTGCCGTTCACTTTGCCACACCAGTCGATTTCAAACACTCAACGCGATATGCATTCGGCGACGCGCACGCCCCTCGCCTGCGAGCGCCGTGTCCAACCGTCCCAGACGGCAGCCCGCCAACCTCGGCCTTCGGTGCAACTACCCGCCCCAGCCAAGGGGCGGGCGCGAATATACGCGTACAGCTAGAGTACAAGCAGGGGAGTTCCGGCCCAGAGAGGTGAGGAGAAAAGGAGAGCGAAGGAGCGAGGATACTGCGCGGCGAGCGAACGAGGCGGCGGAGCGGACAGGTGATTAGACAAGGGCGTGTGTGGGTGGGGTAGAAGCACATTACTTGTACAGGCACGGTAGGGGTAGGGTATAGCAACAGACGGACACGAGGAGGTCATGGTCATAGCGAGGGTGGGAGAGGGTGTCTCTGGGGCGAGTACTAGATACAGCCGAGGTGAACACGGGTGAGGCCGAAGAGGGAAGGAGACGGGAGGTGTGCCGAGAAACCCGATATGATCAGAGAGAGAGGGAGAGGGGGGAAGCATGGTCTGGTCGGAACGAACGTACGATCCGACTTGTCCATTGTTGTCGAAGCCAACGCTTGAAGTCCGTCCATAGAGCCGCAGGATGAGCTCCGAACGAGACCACAGGAGCCCAAGCCACGATGAGGAGCCCGACGTGATGGGTCCCGAGCGGCGGCAGATTGGGCATTGACATAAAAATGACGATGAGGGAGGATAGCGTCGCGACGATTTGGGCAGTAGATGAAAGCAGGAGGAAGAATATGAGGCGCCAGACTAATCGCCTCGAGTTGGGTATGGGCTGTTCACTGGAGCCGGTGTCGTATGTCGATGCTAGAAAGCGCAGAAACAACCAATTCAGCAAAACTGTCATTGAGGCATGCATCCTACGACAGGCGCATGTCCATGGAGTTCGAGAGGAGACGTACCATCCCTTGGTGACGGTCTTCTCGTCGTCCTATCAAACTCGTCCTGCGCCGGGGAGCGCGCAAACTCTAACTCAGACTTCATCGTCGAGGCGTTGTCGTCGTCGTTCAAACGCCGCACCCATCTTAGTGAGCTGCTGACATCGTCTTCGTCTTCGTCAGCAATCACAGCGTCGTAGGGCCCGCTCCTGCTTCTGCTCCGGCTCGCGTCTCCATTCCGACGCGCCGTCATGAACTCTATCTGGCGCATATACGCCTTCTCGTCCTTGAGCCACGGCGCAGCGTCGTAGATCCGCTGCTCCGCAATGTCTAGATCGGGCGTAATCGAGACGGTCGTGTTCGGGACCTGCCCACTTTCGTCAACGGGGAAGGCGAACACGAGGGGTGAGGGGGTTTGACGAGCGGTGCCGATGTCTATGGAGTCGCGGAGGGGGCCAAACGAGTCGCGAGGAGAGGGAGGATGCCATTGGAAGGGGAGGTGGTAGCGCATGCCGGGTTTCATGGCCCCCGGGCTAACGGGGGCACGACCGGCAATCATGCGTGCGCGGGCGGAGGAGGATATGGAGTCCGGAGGAGTGGGTATGACTTCGAAGTCGCCAACGATAGTGCCGGAAGGGGTTACGCTTGCATTTTCCGCGCTACGACCTGTATCCGTAGGGGAGAGCGCAGCCATGTCAATCTCGTTGGAGGATTTGGCTTCCTGCCACGGATGACTTGGTCTCTGCTTGGGCTGTCGGCGGATGGGGACGTGGGTGAAGTTGTCACGGGAGCGGATAAAGGAGTGTCGGTGATATGAGGTGCGGATATAGAGCCGGAAGGTTGCAGAGGTCACCATTAAGAGCGACGGAAATGCGAGAAGCAGCGGGGCACCGGCGTAGCTCAACAGGCGGACCCTACAAAGCCGTGGATTAGCAGAGGAAACTTGAGAGCGCATACAGGCACTCACCAGACCGGGTCGTTCGCATCGCAGTTCATTCCGTCGGCCTGGCGGATGGCACCAAACTTGAGAGCGAGGATGATGTAGGCGACGAGGGCAGCCAACGGAAGCAGACCGAACAACATGTATGTCCAACGCCACTGTCGATACCTTCGGCTGACCGCGGATTAAGCCCGTGGAACGGCAAAGGAAATAAAGCCAGACTTACGTGTAGGATAGGACATCTCCAGAGGCACGGAAGATAGAGAGCGAGAGAGTGATGCTCATCCATGCGGTCAGGGAGACAAGGGAGTTCCAGGAAACACCCATGAGGATGGGTTGGACTGTTGTGGGTCCAGAGTCAATGCACGATCGGAGATGGGCTGCGGGGGTCGTGTGAAGTGGTAGCCAGAGATAGAACTCACGAATGCAGAACCCGTGGGGCATCTCAGCTGGATTCATCTTCCATATCATCCCTTTGGTGCCTGGTCATTCGAAGTGCTTAATGACGGTGGAAAGAACTCACCGAGACAGAACAGGGCCTGGAGGACGAGATTATAGAGAAAGTAGAGGATGGGGATGAGGTAGCCGTCGAGCGCCTGCGCGAATGCGGGGAGAGCAGTGAAGCTGCCCAGCAGACCTGCGGATGGGGGCGGGGGTGAGGACGAAGGCGGGGGCTCGACGGAATAACGGACCTGCGAGGGAGAGGGAGAACCATGCCACCTTGATCCCGAACGCGAGCATGCCCTTGCTGCATGGATCGGCGTGCCGGGACGCTAGTAGACGACGGTACCGTCAGAGAGAGGGGGTGGTGGGCAGAGGAGGAGAGGGCAGGAGGGCATGGCGCGTGCTCTGCGGATGAGAAGGCAGATATCCCCTCGTCGGGGGACACACGCATCACCGCGCCGGATATGGCGCACTTGGCCCGGGCCCCGGCTTGATCTCGATTCTAAAGCCGCCATGGGCCGCATCAGCGCCTGAGGCCTGAGCCGGTCCGAGCTGAGCCCGCCCCGATCAGTCAAACGAGTCCGGCAGCCGGCGCCTGCTTCGCCGCCGTCGCCGTCTGGCTGCAAATGGGCCGACGCCGCAGAGACTCCTTCCACGGAAGCTAAACATCACCGACTTGTTAGACTTTAACGTTTATCCGCCAACTCGCCCGAGTCCAAGTATTAACGACCTTGATCGTAGCACCTCGCGCTTTCGTCGCTTTCACATCCTTGGCAACGGATTGTACGATTGGCTTAGTACTGGCTAGCAATTGGCGTGCTTGACGGCGAGGGTGACAGCGGGTGGTGATTCAGATATTCAAATGTCATCCGTGTACTCGCAGACCAACGTACAATGCGCTCGCAGTCGCCCTACGCGTGCATACGAAGCACAACTCGTTCACAGCCTCTCAGTCGTCTGCCGCCTGCTGCGCCTCCAACAAGTCCCCGCCTTCTCCCGCCGCAATCGCAGGCAGCGCCGCCGCCAATCCGCCGGGCTCTACTACCCTCCCTTCCGCGCTATCTGCGCTCGTCGCACGCTCGGGCGGGCTCAGCACGTCCGCCGCCTCGGGACACCACTCCATCGACACCGCGACGTCGATGATGTTTGCCCCAATCCCGAGCGGGAAGTCGAGCTCCTTGCGCGTCAGCGTGAGCGTCGTCTGCTGTGTGTTCGCGTCCCGCGGGTGTGGCATGTGGAACGTGGGGATGAACCAAAACCAGCCCATGAACACCTGCGGGGCGGGCGCCGCGTTGAGACCAGGACCGAAGTTGCGGTGATCCGGCCGCAGTACGCCCGCCGTGTTATCCACCGCCATGGTCAGCTCGCGTCGTCAAGCAAGGATTGGGGACGCACCTGCCCAAGATAGAGCTTCACGCGCACTTCGCGATGCGCGTCGAGCACGACGCCGCCGTCGCCTTTCAGCGTCTGTGTCACGTCGTCCACCGACGCGTCCTCGCCCTCGGGCGCGACGTCCACGCTCTTTCGCTCACCGCCCGCCTCGATCGTGGTCCGGATGAGCTCCCACTTGTCTCCCGTGAGCGGCCTGAGCACGAGAGTCTCGATCTTGCCGCCCTGCCTGCCGGTTAGTACTCGCAGCGCGCGGGCCATTACGCACTCACGTCTTCGCCTTTCTCCTTCTGGGCGTCCCCCTCTTGCACCGGCCCCATCCGCGCGAAGCTGCGCACCATCTTCGTCGTGTCCCACTGCCCGTCCCTGAACGTCTCCGCGCCCACCGCGGTGCGCGCGCGCGAAGAGCCCCCTTCCCTGCGCGTGTCCCGCTCGCCGCGCTCGAGCGCATCGACAAGCGCGTCGTCGTACCGCGCGAGCGACGCCCACGCCTCGTTCGCGCTCACCCCGCGCGCGCCGCGGCCCGTGCGTTCGAGCAGCGCGTTCGCCGCGCGCACCACCGTGCCGCGGAGTCCCGACAGCTCGCGCATGCGGAGCGTGAGCGCGGTGACGCGCACCTTCGGCGGCGGGCGCGCGGACGCTTCGGGCGTCCAGAACCCCGGGGGAGCTTGGTGCGCGAGGACGAGCGACCAGTAGTAGAGCCAGCGGCGCTGGCTCGGGATGCTCACGCCCTGCTTGAGCTTTTCGCTCGGCGAGGACGCGCGCTTCATGCGCTTCGATGTGTGGAGATCGAGGACGGCCGTCAAGTTGCTCGCGGTGTCCTTGCCCGTGCCGGGAGCGTCGTCGGTAGCGTCGGCGAGCTCGAGCTTCACGAGGTCCTCCTCTTCCTGAGTTGTGGCGCCGATGAGCTCCGCCGCGGTCTCGTCCACAGGCATGGCGTCCATGACGGCCTCCGCTGCGCTCTTTGCACGCTCTTTGGCGGTCAGGCTTTGCGTGGGCTGTAGCGAGCCGCCGGAGGTCATATCCACGGCAAGGAGGTAGGCACACGCCATAGTGCCTGACCGCCCTTTGCCCGCTGTGGCGCTCATAAGCCTTGCGGAGGGTGGCTCAAACGTCAACACTTGGACTCACCCTTGCAGTGAAGAACGGCTACACGGTTGGGCGAACCGTCCAGCCACAGACGTATCTCTCGTGCGATCAAGGGTAGAATGGCAAGTGGTGGAGCGCTGGGAAGGAGAGGATCAGTGAGGTGAATCTTCGGCGGTGAGGAATGCGCACTGGTGGTCTGGGAAGGGGTATCTGCTGACGCGGCCGTCGAAGACGTCCGCAGGATATGAGTTTTCCTTGATGGGGCAAAAGTTGAAGACCCAAAAGTTCTTGCCGTGACGATGTTCGAGGAACTCCTTCGCGTCCTCCCGCCTATTGCGATACAGCCCTTCTATGCCCGTGGCTGGGTATCCCATAACAATGACCTGGTCGGTGATGTAAGCAAGGTCTACAGAAAGGCATCGAATGCTGGTTAAGTCCTCGTCGGATTTTGCTAGGAAGGAGTTCAATTTCCCACCTAGCTCGAGTTGGAGCTCGCCATCTTTGTGACGAGCCTTGTTCCCAGACACAAGGCGGCGGACGTAGTCACCCATGGTCGTAGAAGGAAGACCTGCGGTGGACGGATGCATTGGGACGGTATACGGATGTGATGTGGCGATGATTGGATGAGGTCATCGCCCCCGGCCCGGCACCAAGGCGGCGTGGGAGAGTGGTGTGAGGCCAACTCATGCTCAGGCGCTAGTCGGACACTCTTCATCCCACCATCTCCTGGAAGTCTTGAGACAGCCCTCAACACCGTCGTCCCCTTGTCGCGCCGCGTGCTATCTCCTGTGGGACGGAATTCGTGGTCTAATTTTACCGTTCCGTGGTGTAAGTTGGAATTCTTCCGCGTTCTTGGCCGTCTAGTCCTCGCAGCTAAAGTTTCTTCGTTACTCTACAGGATCATCTCCGCACAAATAAAGACACAACCATGGTGGATAGAAGACCACAGCTGTCATATGTGTCGAAGTTGCCCGTCTGCGACGGAGTCGAATGTCAACCTCAACCCTGCAGCTGTCGACGTCATAGACGGCCCATGTAGTGGCTCGCTATAGGATATATACCTAGGACTCTGCTGCTGCTGATCCGCACTCTGCTTCTCAAAGATACGAAGACATGTCAGCAACTTCTGACACGATCCCAGTTCTCATCGTACGCCGCCGTTTTGACCTCGCCGTCAGCTTCTCACTGGGCCATCTAGGTCGGCTCTGGGCCCTCTGGTCTTGCTGCCGCGCTTACTCTCGCGCACAACCGGGTCCACTTCCGCATCGTAGAGAAGCTCACCGAATTCCACGAGACATCCCGTGGCAGCGGCGTACAGGTCAGTCCTCCACGTTCTCATTCGAGAGCGAAGCCGCCACTTATCGCGTCCTCGCAGTCACGCACGCTCGAGGTGTTCAAGTTCCTCGGAATTATGGACGACATCCTCAGCACCGGCACTGCTCTTCCGCCGATGCGTTCGTATAAACTGCCCGGCGGGACCGAGGTCGAGCACGAATGGATGATGCTCGACAATCCTGAAGCGACCCCGGACAGGCCATGCGTAAGTGTCGATGTACGTCTCCGAGGCCTGGAGGGTTGACTGACGTGGGTACTGTCGCAGAGGAACATCATGATAGACCAGTACCTCACGGAAGGCATCATGCGCAAGCACCTGAACGAACGATTCGGCGTTCAGGTTGAATTAGGAACCGAACCGATTTCCATTGAACAAGACGACAACCGCGTCTCACTCACCCTAAAGAAGACCGCACAGGACGCCAAAGGAACTACCGAGACCGTCAAGGCGCAGTTCGTTATCGGCGCAGACGGAGCCAAGGGTCCGTGAGATGGTTGTATCAATTTTACTTCGTGGTCGACATAGCACGTCATAGGTGTAATGCGCAAGTTCATCGGCGCCACCTTCGAGGGCGAGAATAAGGACGCGGACGGTCAGGTGTGGGCGGAATGCCACGCTGAGGGCGTCACCAACGAGGTGAGCACATGCTTCGTCGGGACCCTCAAGTCTTAGGGTGCTGATACGTTGAATAGTTCTGGCACATTTGGGCACAGCTTGATAATTTCATGTAGGTTGCATTGGACTCACTCTACATACTCCGTGGATAACTTGCGTGTGCAGTATCTCCATGCGCCCCAAGCGTGAGAAGGTCAACTTCCATATGGGCATCGTTGGTCAAGGATGGGACCCTGTCGACTTGGTCGACCCCGACAAGTTCGTTGAGTTTTTCTACGAATCCGTCGGTCGCACGGATATCAAGTTCTCGAACATGCACACTATGACTCACTGGAAGTAAGCGTCTTTTCATCTACCTCCGCGGGCGCCGAAGTTAATTTAGGCATTTACAGGCCGAAGATGCGCATGGTGAACAAATTCTACGAGGGACGCTGCTTCATCGTCGGAGGTGAACTCGCTCTTCATCCTCGTTGTCACGCCTCACGACTGTCTGCGCTCCCAGATGCGGCTCACATCCACTCGCCGACCGGCGATCAGGGTCTTGTGCAGGACTCGGTAAGGCTGACGTGCCCTTCGTGTAGCCCCCGTGTCACAACTGACCGCCGTCGCGCAGTTCAACCTCTGCTGGAAGCTCACACTCGCTTGCAAAGGCTACGCGTCTCCATATCTCCTCGCCTCGTTCGAGGCCGAGCGCATCCACGTTGTCGCGAAGATGCTTGCTACTACCAGCAACCTCCACACGCACGCCGTCGCCCGGGCGTCCGACGCCGGCGCCAACCCCAACCCCGACGACCCCCAAGACACCGCCGGCCTCTCCCAGCGGCGCACCGACCCCCCGCGCATGCTCGACGTCAACTACCACTGGAGCCCCGCCGTCGTCGACGCGCGCGGCACGCAGGGCCGCTCCGCAGACGCGCTCAAGGTGCACACGTACTCCGGCTGGGGCCCGGCGGACGGCGTGTGTGCGGGCGACCGCGCGTTCGACATCTTCCGACCCACACGCCACACCGTCATGGTGTTCGTGGACGGAGACGCGGCAAGGATGGCGGAGGTCGTCGAGACGGTAAACGGCTGCACTCCGCCCGGAGTCGCGAATATCGTTGTTATCGACTCGCTGGGCGCGCTGACGACCGTGGACGGCGCCGCGGAGGCATGCTTCGACAAGGACGGTTGTGCGGCGCGCAACTACCACATCGAGGCGAAGGTGTTCACCGTGGTCGTCGTTCGGCCGGATGGCTATGTCGGCGCTTTTGTCTACGATATCAACGAGCTCAAGGAGTACTTCGCGAAAGTCGTAGCCGTGTAGGGAATTAGGTGTTCATACCCGTAAGATCCAATCACTTCAAGTCCTCGTCACCAAGTCGTGTCGGTCTAACGTTATAAATATTCAGACTGTACTTGTTACAACTTCAACGTGTCCTCCTGGCTTGAAAGTACTACTCGATTCCGCTGTACTCCTTACAAACTCCACATCACTTCAAATTGACGCTGTTCCGAACGTGCCTTCTTGTTGTTTCAGTCGTAGGAGATGTCCGAATTTCCAGATCCTGCACTATGAATGGCAAACAGGGCCCGGGGTGCCATGGTCGCGATCAGCTGCCTGCCCTCCCCCCTTGCCGAGTCGCAGGCCCGCGCTTCTCAGTTGAGGAACCTCTTTTGGGTGTTGGTTTGCTGCGCTTTCTGGCCCCCCATCCTGTCAGATGGGTGAGATTGAGATATGACCGAAGGAATGTTCTGGTCTCATAAATTCAAAGCATACCTTGGATGAGTAGACTCTGGTGTTTCGGTCCGCTCCTTCAGAATATCTTGTCCTGTTGAGGGTCCAGGTGTATCTCTACCGTCTCCACCTGCTTGTTGAGTAGCCGCCCCAGAGCCCCTCGACCGATTCCCAACTTCAGTTTCTCGCTTCCGTTTCAACAGGGCTAAAGCATAAACCGGGAGTTTTCCCGGAGGCGCGACACCCGCACCCACAGCCGTACGTGCTCGCTTCAAGGGCCTAACGCTAGCTTCATCACCGTCCTCTGAGATGATGCGAGTTAGGTCTGAAGTGATTCTGCACAAAGGCGAAGTGCCGCCAAATGAGACATAAATATCTCACCTGAATTTGGTGCAGGATAATTTGTTCTTGGATCGCTCTCAGCCTCTGAGAGGCTTGATTCCAACCCCGGATCCGAGTCGTGGAATTCGGTGCTGATATTCGTCGAGCTTCCCTCTTCATACGAGTCATCATTTCCATCCGTGTTAGTCTTCTTTCCGCTTTTCTCCGACTCTCCATCAGTGTGAAAAGTTTCAAGGCTCTCTCTGTATTCTTGAGAGAGATGCTCGCGAACTTCAGTCTCGAATAAGCTGTGTGCTTCGAGATCCTCGCCGTCGACCTTGAGTCATTGAATCATCAGTATCTGACGAAAATAACCCGATCAATCACAGACACAGACCTCAAACGAATCCGATACTAGATGGTCGAGCCAGCTTGGCTGAGCTTGCCCGACATGCCCAGAGGTGCGATTGATAGACCGTTTGAATATGGGAGAAAGTGTATACTTGAGTTCCGGGCCCTCCGAGCAGCCAGTACTACCGGACTCGCCGTAAGCCCGATCATCTTGCATGACACGGGAAGTAATCAACTGGTTTAGCACAACTACTTGTGGAAAGGAATAGTCATCTATGGCTTTGATCGCGGCGGCTGCCACGTCGACTTCGTACTGATCCGCGCTGATGTTCTCGTCGCGCTCGATTGGGGTGACTTTTGTCCAAGGTGCGCCGACGTTTGAGCGGTCGAAAATGAAGTGGGAAAAGTATATCCCACATATCAAAAACCCATGGACACTGTCCATGTCCGGATTTCCATGGAGGACGACTTCGGCCTGCTCACATAGTTGCTGGTAGGATGTCACTAATTTGTGCCATGCGATCGTGCCCATCTCTTCGGTTTCCCAGAGCCCGTCTGGCTTGAAATCCAGCGTGGAGCGACGGTATTTCCATGGGATTATCAGAGCCTTGATCTCCCATATGTCTATGATATCAAGAGGGTGGAAATAGTGATGGGACACAGCGGCTGGTGATTCACGATGTTCATCTGGGATCAGGCTCCTGGCAGAGTCGAGAATCCTGAGTCGAAGGCGACTAAAGTCTGGAATGCATGTGTCCCCTTTTTTGCTGATTCTCGCCCATGTGGATGGTGCAAGCTTCACCGACAAGTTGAGCGTTTGAAGGGCAAGTTGAGGACATACTGCCAGAGTAGTAAATTCTACTGCACGGGACGTGGGCTGTGATCGAACCAGGCTGGAGAAGACGAGTATGGTGTTTATGAAAGCATAAATAGGCGTCTCCGTGGAGTTTTGTGCGGTTGCGTAGTGCACACTCTCGGAGAGATTGTTCACATAAGCGGTCTCTGTGAAAATAATGTCCTGAAGTAAATAGCATTAGCAACATGAAAGCGTCTGAGCTTTACAACGTGGTGCGTACTTGTTTGGAACTGACAATCAGTTCACGCGCACGCTCTAGTTCATGCGGTGATACTGCGGCAGCCGACGAGGATTCCATCGTAGGGTGAGAGTGGGGCTGGTGGATTGTTTGGAGGGTTCGCTGCGAATACTGCTGGGAGGGAAGGTCGTGCAATTGAGTGAATATATAGGCTCCCAATAAATGGCTCATGTGATACATATGTGCGCAAATAATACTCAAATTCGAGGATGTGGCCGGCTGCGAATTGTCCCACATCGCTACAGGCTGTGGAGGGGCTGTGGTACTAGTACGTAGCACATGACTACTGCCGCTCGATGTTTGAGACCCTTCGAGACCACTGTGGGTACCGGCAGAACAAGATCCTGTACTCACTCCAATCACTGTGAGTGTCTTCCCGAAGTTTGGACCTGTACTGGAGTCGAGTAGTTCGACCCCCTGCCACTAGGGTCCAGTGGGTAAGTGGCATAAAAACTGTGTTGACAGGACCCATAGAAGCTAGCCAAATACGTGCTACTTGGCTGTCCAACATGCGGATACCGTGTGGGTCAGTGAAGTAGTCCTGTTTTGAACTGTAGGTCCAAGCACGAAGAGCGGGGCGATGGCACAGTACTAGCCGGGTGCTTCCAAGAGCAGTACTTCCGAGTATGTCGAGGTTTCAAACTTTTGTGGGTTCATGTTCCGATGAATGAATATGAATGCGACGATGGTGGGCACGTTCTACCGTTGAAACCGTGGGTCAGTATCATTCTGTCATCGCCGAGAGCGGAGACGGGGTAGCGCCTGCGCGCGCCACTGTAGTACTTCCGAAAGGTTCGCTCGAGCGTCGAACCGCCGCCCGAACTTACATATGTACATACTATCGCGTGATGTTGGAAGGGCGGAGGATGGAAGGATCTTCGTATGTCCTCTATGGACATCCATTTGTTGTCGAAGGCGTGAGATTGGCCATCCAGAAAACGTCAAAACGTGCTTCAAACATGTCTCAAGCCGTCGCGGGGCCGGGGTGGCGGGGAGACGGGGAGAACGATACAGCTGGTAACAAACGATAGGTCCCTCGGCTTCCCACAGATATGCGGTCGGTTATGGCGGAGCTCGAAGAAAAGCGACGCTTGCGTGGTGAAGCTCCAAAAAGTGCGGCGCGTGCGCACACAGGCGCAGCGGGAGCGGGAGCGGCTATCGGGGACCCTGGACGCTTCGCGCAACTTGCAAGAGCTTGCAAGCGTCGTGTTTTTTCGAGCTCCGCTGCAAGCGACCGTAGGTTATGTGTGTGGAAAAGCGAGGGGCCTATCGTTTTGTTACCAGCTGTAATCCCGCCGGTGCCGCCGCGCGCCATGCGATTTGTATGTAAGTCCGGGCGGGACGTGTCGCGGTTTCGGCGCTCGACCAGACCGGAGGGAGAGAGACCAAACCGCGGGCCTCTCGTTGCAAAAGCTCACCGAGTCTCGCAATCTCTCTCTTTAGCCGTACGGAAGGGGATCGGCTGGGGGACGGGCGTGAAGGATCTGGCCTGCTCACCTGGCAGCAGCACAGAAGGGTCTGAGCAGACCCTGGGGCTGCGTGTGTACTCGCACTAGAGAGGCTCTGCACCGCCGCGACGCGTGCTGCGGCGGGCTCGTGGAGGTCTCAGGTAGGTTCGGATCAAGTCCCGTCGGCGAACGATATTTTGGCGCTCCGCGCCACCTTCACGGTTCACCGTGCGGCGTGCGCTGCGAAGCCTGCAAGCGCCAGAGCAAGGGCTTGCTCCGAACCTATCACAGAGGTTGCCCGTTGGCAGGGGGCGTCACCCTGGCCGTCCGGTGTGGTACGGGGCGGGCGCCGGAGGGCGCATCATGGTGCTCAAGTGCGTGTGAGCCAGTACTGAAATTTCCCAGTGAGAACGCACAGGTTTCAGACGGTTTCGGACGGTTTCGAGTCACTAGACGCCCGTAGAAGACACGTTATTAATAGACATTTTCGACAACAACGTGTTGAACAGTTGCATTCTGCAGCTTCAAATGCGCAACTTCGACGATAATTTCAACACAGCAGACGTTGTGGCACTCCATTCACACGCGCGTGGAGTAGCATGGCAGCAATTGCTGATTTGCAATTTTTTCTCAACTGCTTTGCCTAAGCTTTCAACTCGCCCCTTCGCTCCCGTGGGAGGACCACGTGATTACACACTTTGAGTCATGCCATAGGCTGCATCTTGATGTCTCCGTCCACCTCTACCGACCTCTACTATGCTTCCCCCCGCTGCCTCCGCCTGCTGCGACATCTTGCGAGCATCGCCCGCGCTCTCCCCGTGCTGTGGCCCTCACACCATTCACCTACTGTGAGTGAAGTTCCTCACTGCATATACTCAGCATTGTAACTTCCCTACCTGCTTGTATGCGTCTCCCTTGAGCGACTTATTGCTAGTCACCAATTGGCCTTGCAACGCCGCGAACGCGGACACCAAGTGCTCTTCTAGGCGCAGCACAGACATCGTGCTTGACAAAGGCTTGCAGGTGATCTGTACGTACGTGCCCGTTGCTCTGTGTGCCCGCCCGGCTGACTAACGTGAGATTCACTGCTAGATCAAGTGGGACGACCACTCCGCCTGGGCTGCGGTCGTTGACTTTTCAATGAACAGGACGTTCGCGAGTATCCCAATCTCGCCACGCGGTCCCGCATCGCTCGCTGCCGATGCCATCCGGATGAAGATGTTTGTGGTACCCCGGTATACCTTGCGCTAGAAGTGGCCGTACGTGCACGATGCGCTCCCCACACTCTCGAACCTTGTCAACAGCCGGAACGCCGGCATGATCGTCTTTGCTGTGTGTCCGTCCGAGCGCCAACCGGACGTGTGCTGACCAGTCTCTCTCGTCAGGCTCACACAGGGCACCCCGTTCAATGAAGACCCGCCGGGTGGAGTGGGCGCTCCTGGACGAGTATAGGGTGTGTCCTCCCCCTCTTCCTCGCCGTCAGTGCGACATGCGACTCTGCGAGCTGACCGGGACCCCGCACACACACCACAGTTCATCTGCACGCTTCTCGCTAATGCAAGTGTCTCGCACCAATGCCAGCGTACGATTACTAGTCGGAGGACGACATGCCACCGCTAGAGGAGCCTCGCAGGGACGCGAGCGGGTGCGGAAGGGGCGCTGGTGCTCGACGCACTGTGGAGCGGCCCATGAACGCACGTAGACATAGTGTGTTTTCTAGTGTACTGTATACGGTAATTCAGTGTTATCTCATTCTAAACCACGCGAAACTGCTCAAAACCGATCCCCAAATCATCCGAAACCGTCCGAAACCTCCACGCAACCGTCCGAAACCGTATGAAACTGTTCAAAAGTTTCATACGGTTTCTCTTACCAATATGACGGTAACAAGCGGTTTCTCAGGGTTTCAGGCGGTTTCGCCCAAACGAAACCCCCTGAAACCCTCTGAAACCTGTAAGTTCTCACTGGAACTGAAACACACTCTCCACTGCTGGCTCTCTGGTGAATTTCGATTTAATTTTCGACACGCGTTCAGCGCTCTGAGCAAGCTCATGTAGCTGTATGTATGCGAGGGATGTTCATCCGTAACTAGTCGCCGTGGCGACGGCACACAGACAGTACATACCTGCTGGTCTCTGCTGGTGCACAGTGGGGCGCAAAGCGCCATTCGGGCCCCTGAGTAAACTGCTATGATCCCGAATATTAGTTCGTCGAACCTTTTACTCTTGAATGTGGCGTATGACTCCAAGCACCGCCAACCTAAACTGACCCAAATGTACACTGAAACGTCATGTATGGAATCAAGTCTTAGATACAAGTCTGGCCGAGGCCGAGACAATCGGGAATGATGCTTGACTCAACGAGGTGTTGACCAAACCCTGCCATGGGCAGTGGAACGGTGACACTGATGAGCCGAGGAAAGAGAGTTGAGTCAGCAAATGAACTTTAAGTAAGCCATTGGACGAGCGAAAGGATAAGTAGATGGCAGCGCTCGGCTAGTGACGGTACATCACACCCGTCATTCTTCCTATGTCCGGCTCCATCTCGGAACTCATCCCTCAAAGCCTTGAAGCTCCTGAGACTGAGGTCGCTCCGCCCTACGAAGAGGGCGTAAAGCAATGCCTAAAACCCCCTGTTCAAATAGTGAGCTCAGCGGGCTTCACTCTCTTCTCTGCCATCCCCTCTGACAGAGTTCTCGACAGCTCATCGAAACGCTGTGTCGCGAATACCCGCCCATAGAGGAGGAGACACTACCTTCGACTGATCTTTACCGCGGAAGATCCACCCCTTACCACAAATACGAAACACCATCCTCCATACCCCGCGTGCTCGAACCCAGCTCGCCTGATCCCAAGGGCCCTCCCCTCCTTTTGTACGGATGGACCTTTACCGACGATTGGGTTCTTGACTGGGCACGGAAGCTCAAACACACGATCAACCTCAAGGCTACACTTTTCAGATCCCCTGGTAGTCAGTCGGCGGAGGTTTTCCACTGTGCCGACCTAAAAGCAGGCGATGCCATAGACGAAAGGTTGCGCAAGCATGTGGTCCTTGTTACGCGTCAGAAGTTTCTGAAAGATCTCATCAAGGAGCTGGGGGCGGAGATCGGCTTCGAGTCGCTACTTTGCAGCATGGAATACGATTCCATGTACGTGCTCTGGACGAACTACAACTTTGCAGAGCGGCAGTGGATTCTCGAGCGCCGTTGCCATGAAAATATGAAGCTTGAATGGAGCACATTCATGGAATCCATGAACGAAATTATGGCCGAACCAGGTCAAACCACGAAGCAGCCCATGTGGTGGTACTCTTCCCTCAACTTTCAGGCATGTGCCCATGCCCATCCCTATATTCACATACATCCATCAGGCTGACGAGCATTGCAGGGGATATAGTAGCCACGTACATCATTTCCGCCGACAGCGACAGCTAGCCACTTCAATGATCGACGCTTCTGTCCCAATGATAATCCCTCTGTCGGAGATTACAATTCTTAGCCCCTTCCTATCGACGTCGTTGTAGTTGTGTAAGGTGTACAGATATATATATGTATGGCGGTGAGAACACTTGGGCGTTGACGTCGATGGCAGAGTGTCGAGCACTGGCCGGAGGCTGGATAGAGGGGACTTCCTCTGCCACGTTCTCCTTCGTCGCCCGCCCCGTGTTCTGCCTAAATTTTGCCGCCTCATTTGCGCGTAGGTCGCTGCGACCACTCACCATCCTAAGCCCGTCGGAGACAGTCGGGGGCTCATTCGAGCGTACCGGGGGATTTCTCCGCTTCCTCGCGTGTCTAGTACTGCGCATGGTGCACTTCCTGAGTCTGCTGTTTCGTTTGTACATAGCAAGAGGCGTAGCGGATGCTATACATCCGGAGCCGTGAGTGCACCCACTTCTGCTTGTACATATGTATAAAGCGTTGTCCATGACCGCCGCGTGCAGCCATCTATGTACAGGGGCACGGTGAACGACCCCGCGCCATTCCCACCACTGTCCCAGACACACTCTCTGCCGGGCTCGTCCCGCTTACGGTCGCTTCCTTCGCCACGAGCGACACCACCTACCCGATCCTCGCCGGGGTCCCCGCCGTTGGCGAATCAAGAGCGGCAGTTCGAACTCGTACCACCATGCAGCGACTTCCTCATACCCTGTGCAGAAGTTTTGGTCCATCGAGGGCGGCGAAGACTCGGCGTAGTATTCTGGACAAGCTTTGTGACCGTAGCTGTGGACTCGGCCGCAGAACGATTTCGACGGAGTCGAGTCGGTGGTCGGCCTCGTCAGCGGCACCCTCCCATATCGGTGTACGTCCCTTTCTCCATCTTCGGCCTCCTTCCCTTGGAATGCATTCAACATCCTCTAAACGTACTACCCCACCTCTTGGGAATCGCTCTGAGCATTCCAGAGAGACTGGACGTTTGCAAACCCCCGAAGCCCTGCCGCCCTCCCTCCCACTGGCGCCCGTTGCTGACCGGTCTCGCCTCTTGCGACACAGTTTGACGCGCTCCTCGTCGACAATGTACCTCCACCCCCGCAAGTTCTCCGGCCACCGTCGACGTCTACATACCGGTGTGTGCGACATAAACGACATCGGTGTGTACCCGCTCGTCAGTTTTCGACAAGTCACTGATAATCGCTGGCATCGTTTTGCTCTTTCGTCTAGGTCTCACTCCGAATCGCCGAAACGTGGCATGCGTGAGGAGAGACACGGTGCCACTGTTTGTGTTGTAGGCGTTTGTGCGGTCATCAGTCATCCACGTATGTGTAGGAGCATCTGTCCTTTCATCACGGTCTCCCTTGCAAATCACATAACTCATTTGCATCTTCCTGTGCACATCACGCGTCAAGCGGTTAGATGCGGGTCAAATTTCCGTGCATTGTAAGTAATGGCAACATTCAATGCGGCTGCCGGCGTAAGTTCCTGCACTCAACGTTCCCTTGCACGTCGCATAGTCGGACCGATCTTCCCTTCTTCAGCGCGTTCAGGGACTTATCTCTCTTCGGGCGTTCTCAAATCGGACTCGCTCCTCCTATACCTCGTGGTTAGTTCCTTCCAATACTACGGCGACATCACACTCATCGGCGTGTCTCTTGTGGCAGATTTCCAGTGCGTAGGTATCTCGAACAGGCGGGCGATTAAGACGAGCAAAGGCACCCTGTCCCCCGTCACCTCTGGATCCTACCACTTACCCTCTTCTACACTCGTCGCTCTACCCCTGGTCCGCCACGTGGAAGATATACGACAAGAACATACCTGCGCGCGCGCGCTAGTTGCGCGTTACGTACTGAACACCCACAGTTCGAGTTCGCCCAAGCTTCGACATTCAACTGCTTCCCACTACGTCTTCGTCGCCAGTGCGACTCGCGGCTACAAACCACTCGTTCGTTCCCTGTTGACGGTCCACCCCATGGTCTTTCCGACAAAGCTGGCGCGATGGCGTTCTCCTTCTCCGCCTACGACGCTTTGGGACATCTACGACAGACAGATGTACAACGACGACCTGGGATACCCCATCTGGAATCCTTGCCTCTCAGACGACCGGCCATCACTCTCTTTGGGCTCAGTGGTATACAAAGACTACGCCACGGTGGAGCTCTTTAGCACCGTACATTGTGCCGACGAACAGCCACACGCGCCACCCGACCATACACCATACCACTACCAAAGATGCCTCGATCTCTTGAAGATGGAAAACCGGACGTTCATCCTCGGCCCGTCGTTTTCATCTCAAGGTCAGGACGTAGAGCTACTTGGAGGGTGAGTTCCTTTCTCTTGCCAGTCCACCCCCGAAGTGAACCTGAGTCAACGGAACAACAGCGAGGACAACCTCTACTCGATCAAGTTTCGCAGTAGTTCCGACCAGGGTTCTCTCTTGATGCTGCAACCCCCAGCAATGAACAAATCGATCGTGTCGCAGGGAACCCTCAAACCGCTCATGCGCGAGCATTTCGACAGCTGGCTGGAGCTCGCCAACACGCGGCTTCAGCTGGGTCTCAAAGACGAGGATCTACACTACGTCGCCTTCCTCACCAACACGTTTACGTGGGCCATTGGCTCTGTCCATGGTGAGCAGTACGCTGCGAGAGACGGCCTCATCATTGGAGACTTTGACCGGTACGAGTGGTCGAAGATGATCGTTCGAATCGGAGACCACGATCTCGAGGGGCCTAATTTCAGATGGGGCGGCTCCCATACCGTTCTGCCTGATAAGGACGTCGCCAGGATGGCCGAAGGCGAGAAGTCGCCGGCGATACCTGGGCACCCCCTCTTCATGTCTTTCTTCAAGATGAAGAGACGATTATTCCGGAGAGTCCCATACAATATTAAGGCAGGGGCAGGCCCTCACACTATCTCAAGAGGTGGGGACGACGACGATGAGGACAACGGGAGTTGTTCGTTCGCGCAACTTTCGGAGGACTCGGAGGACTCGGACTCAATGCGTAGCAAGGTTCGTACCTCATCTCGCGCTCTGCCTGCGTACTAACTTGTGGCAGACTTTTGACCCCGTAGGGCCCGTGCTCGACTATATTCTTGAGGTGGGTGGCTATCACACTTTGTGCTTGCTGATTACTAAGACAAGCTCACATAGAATTCGGAGGCGGAAGTCGCCATCGCGTCCAGCGCCGCGGTGCCGATGCTTTTCCGGGTACGTGCGGCGGTTAGAACTGTGCTCCATCGTGACCTGATGAGAAGGGCCACAGGGCATTGGCATACCCGACGACATTCGCGCTGCGCTGCAGGAGTTGAAGCCACCTATCGTCGTCGATGAACAGGGCACTGGTTTGGTGTCTGTTGATCACGATACCCTTCAGAACGGAAAGCCCCAGCTTAGGGCGGATATAACAGAACATGAGTGCAGCGGATCCGTCCCTCGACATCCGAGTATGTGCAATTCCTTTAGTTCGGTGGCCCAGTTCCGACCTTAAACGTTCTCACAGGGCCGACGTCACGTATTCTCTCAGATCCGAGACGGTCGAGGACAAGGAGCTCTTCACGTCGTGCGCGTTCACCTTTTCAACCTGCAGGAGATGGTACAAGGACACGGCTCAATCGCACCGCTGTTTTCGACTACACCCGGTCATGTGTGGACAAGGCGCCCCCCGGTGTGTCTAATGGCCTTCGCCCATCGCCGCTTCTGGCCGCATGAGCATTTTGCGTCGGGTAGTCGTGTGGCTGCCAGCACACCTAGGAGTTTGTAGGTGCCGTTCGATCAGTCGTTGATAGATTACCTCCTCCAACACGAGCGGCCTCTAGTGGTCTTCTTTAAACCTTCTCGTGGGCGGTTCCACATTGAGCTTCAGGGAGCAGAAGTTCTCTGATTCGCCAAGAACGACGTCCCCTGACCTGCGGTTTTTGCCTGGGAGATGTGTCCGATAAATGTGTCCTGCACGCGAGAACGAGTTCTTAAGCCACGATTCGGAGATAGGAATACGTGTCCACTGTCCGGCACGTAATTTGAGGGGCAGGATGCCGGTCAGGGAGACGAGGGCGGGCGATGAGGGTGGATGGTCAAGTGTTGTTCGTCTCATCGCACGCACGCAGCGACGACGGCGAAACCAACCAGATAGTATACGTGAGGCGAAGTAATCGTCGTTCAATAGTATGTCTGGTCGTTCATAGTGCGGTAGTGGTGCTACTTAATGAGATTCTCTTGATGAACCCCTGGCAATGCGAGCACACGAAAGCACACCGAGGTATGAGATTGGGTTCCCTGCCACGGGGCGGTCCTTGCATCATAATGTCGTGAACGTTGTACGTGGTGGACAGGCAAGTACAACGAGCAAAGAGGATAAGACATCACGACTCAAGGGGGCGCACGGCGAAACGAAAGCAAAACAACGACAAAAACTCGCGGTGGACAGCACGCCGTACGACGCGACGGATGAACAGGAATGCAGCAGGCATGGACGTGAAAGCGCAGTGATGAGGGGGCGGGGGAGCGGATGGGGAGGGTGCGGTTAGATGCGTATGCGAGTGGGTGCAGGGTTCAGGTATGCAGGTGCGGTGCCAGGCTAAGAAATGAATGGAAGGATGCTGAGAAAAGAACGTCACTTGTGCAATTAAGGTCCGCATATCCAGAAGGTCCGAGTCTACGATGCGCTCGAATCACCAAACCTACAACAGACTCTCGGGGGTGTGCGCGGGCGTAAAACCTCGCGGGGGCGGGGGCGTAAGGCGTCGTGAATCATGAAGCGAACGTGAGCGGGGCTTGTGAGCCTCCTAGTAACTGTGGGGCGTGCTGGGGAAGGTGAGCTCCTCGAGCACGCCGTCCAGGCTCGCGTAGTTGCGGTCCGGGATCCATGGCGACTGCACGAGATCGACGCCGGGCATGCGGACCGAGTCCATGAAGGACACGAAGATGGGCGTGCGCGTCGGGAGCGCCGCGCGCGGGTCCTCGAGGGGCGCGACCGGGCGCATGCGCGTGCCGGTCTGGAAAGAGGCCGGCACGGCGGGGCTCTTGAGCGCGGCGAGCGCGGTGGGCGCGCGCGCAGGCGGGGAGAGCGGCGAGCCGACTATGCCGAGCGCGAGCAAGCCATACATGAGGCTGGGGGAGGACGGGAGGTCAGCGCTCGAGCAGCGGGCAGTGATGTGGGAGACCGGTGCAGATCCGGAATCGCGGATCACGGGGGGCGGGAGGAGAGGGAGGCGCACTCACCTGGTCTTCTTGCCCGCCCAGGAGTCGTAGGAGGCCATGCCCAGGTCGGCGGCGCCCTGCCTGACGGCAGCGGACGGGAGGACGGGGACCTCTTCGGGCTCGGTCGTCACGTCGACGGACATGGGAGCGCGCGGGGCACGGCGGGCGCGGCGACTCGCGAACGAGCCGGAACCGACCTCCTTGGCCGGAGGAGTGGGCAGGGTGCGGCTGTGGCGGGTGCGCGGCGTGGCTGGAGAGGGCGTAGGGGGTGAGCATCGCGTGCGCGGGGGAGGGCAAACTCGGGGGATACGCACCAAGAATGTCGGTGGCGAGGACCTCGGGGGTGGTGTCGGCCTCGAGGAGGCGGGTGTAGGATGCATCGTAGCCGTGCTCAGACATGAGCCAGGCGTGGAACTGGGAGAGGGTCTTGGGGTTGAGGCCAGAGTGCTTGAGGGGCATGTCGATCCCGATCGGGAGGGGGGAACGGCTGAGGCTGGCGACCTCCTCGGCGATCGTCATCGCGAGCTCGGTGATGGCGGCCTTCTCTGGGAGGGCAGTGGGGCAGCGAACGGACAAGGACGGGCGAGCAGAGGCTTCCATAACGGAGGGGCGGGGGGCGAGCCTGGCGGTCATGACGGGTGCGTGGGGAGTCGGGGTGTGTGCGATGCTGAGGACTTGCGTTGCGTAAGTGACTGTAAGCTCCTGGGAGAAAAGGCAAAGAGAAGAACAAGGAGGAGCGTTACAATCGACCTGCGATGTGCGAAGAAAAAAGGTTGGCCACGAAGTGAAAGTGGGAGGGAACCAGCGGACGGGGAGCGCGCCCTGGCCCTTTGAGGGCGGCGAGCGCGTTTCCCACATTCCCGTCGCGTGGTGCATTGCTCGCCCTCACGCTCCTCGCCGGCAAGCCAACAGGCAACAGGCAACAGCGTGATCGAGCGAGCGGTCTCGATGATCCCACCAACGATCACTCGAATCCTCATCGACATCATTTGTCACTCAGTCCTCCCGCCCCCCGCCAGCCGTCCAGCCGCTCACCGCGACAGCTACCTGTCGACCGACAGTAGATGGCGAACGAGCCTTCTGAGGCTGCGCGAGAACGCATCGACCGATGTTGAAGCGATCCGCAGGTGGCGAGCTCGAGACGCGACGACCGGGGCGGACAAGCAGTGCGGTGTGGCCAAGGCGCGCCCCGCCGACCCGCAACCAGTTGTGCCGGAATGTCGCGACAAACTCGGTGGGCCAATCAGCTCGTGTGCCGACCAAGGCCCACAGCGGTCCATAACGCTCTCGCTCTCGACAAGTTCCAGGAGGCGCCATGTAACTCCATCGCCAAACACTGCCTCCGCGCGTGGGTGCCTGAAGGTCATCTATTATTGAAGGCCGGAACTCCACTGCCAGGTCTCTATCACAGTGTTATCCTGTCTGTCGTACTTTGTGTACCCATAGTGATGGTATACAGTGGGCTAGTAAGAGTACACAGCGACGTGAGCGTTGTGGACGATGGAGATAGTCCCGGTGCCTATCCGCAAACCCGGCCCTTGCTGCCGCAGCCCATTGGCCGTCCACCCAGCATAAAACATCAGCCGCCTCCTCCTCTGTGGAAGCTGGCAGCGTGTTCGGGGCGCTCGCCAAGTTCCAACGACGGGCTCCTGGGCTCCTGATCATCAGCCGCCTGCAAGCGCGATCCATGCGCGAGTGCGTCCACGCCGCGAAGCCGCCTCGCGTTCCCGTACACACTAAGCTGGCCGGCAAGCATGGCAGCATTCTGTCTTCGGCAGCAAGCAAGCAATCATGTGCGCCGATAAAGTGGCGACACTCCTCGATGGCGCGGCGGAAAGGCGTTCGATTCGAGGCCCCGCAATGCTGCGATGACACACCGGGGCGACCATCTTTCTAGTGCCACATTAAAGCCGAGAGAAAGGCAAGTAAGGTTTTCTCTCGCCCATAGAAACCCATAGAAATGCTTTTTCTGACCGCACGTGGATTTTAAACCTTATAAACGGCTCCCAGAAAAGCTCCCAGAAAGATGGTCGCCCCGGCGTGTGAGTGAAGTTCGCTGTGCGCACCCACGGTCGACGGATGGCTTCTGTCTACAACGACGCTTCGGGATTCCGGACGAGAAGATCTGTCTCACGCGGGGCGGTACAGGGCGTCGCAGTCACACACAGTGCTCCGTTGCCGCGGTCGATTGGCCCGCTGTTGGAGTCGTGGTTGGCTGAAAGCCTCCGCGCACGTTCGGTGGCTTGATGCAATCACGGACACGACCCTTGTGCGAACCCAACGCACACCAGAGGGGCCTGCCGATCCTTCGCGCGCCCACGAAGTTGCACAGCCTAGGTGAGCCGCGTTCATACTCAGCGATCGCAAAGCAAGCAATGGAAGCCCAACTCACCGCCATGTTTCCTTGTTCGCGTCACGAAGCATCTTCCCGTCTCAACTGCCAGTGTCGCTCAGGGGGTGACCAAATGAAAGACAGCGGCATATCTCCGTCGACATGACGTTGGGATCTGCGCAGCATCTTGATGTGGGGTAGCTGCTGCCAGTGGCTGGGCCAGAATCACGGGTCGCGCCTACTGTTGGCTTACCCCACTTGTACCGATGCTCCTCGTAGATAGCCGTTCCAAGGATTGCGGCTCGAAGATCCCTCGCACGACGCGATGATGCCACATCAGTCAGGCTGTCCTACGGCAAACATACTCGACGCCATCATAAAGGAATTCGAAGGCCTCACCGGTATTACATCGTGACGGGCGTGTGACCGAGATACAACTTGTATTATCAGGAGTCTCAGTGCCGCTACCCGCACACAAAGGCACGGCATTTGACAAGACGCCGTCCTGGTACTGTGATACATCCGATATTCGATAGTCTGTCTCCCAAGCACCTTAGTGCGCCGCGCCGCGCAGGAAGACGAGCGCGTCGAACAGCGTGCTCCACCAACCCTCGTCGTGGCGGTCTGCAGGGTGGCCCTTGCTCCTGACGACGCCCGCGGCCTCGCCCGTGGGGTACACGGCCCGTGGTGTGCCATCCCGGCGTTGAGCGCGGCGCGGATGCCGTCGACTTGCGCGCGGTCGAAGCCGTCGTCGACGAGGATCGCGAAGGGGCGGGACAAGGTCGTCGACTCGCGGGGTGCGAAAGCGGGCTGGGAGAGCTTCGCGGAGCAGTATCCGGCGTTGGCCGGCGCAGGTTCGGAGGAGATGGGCCCGTCAACGTTCTGGACCACCTGCTCGGCGAGCTCGAGGCTGACGTTGTTGAGTTGCTACGTGTTGTCGGGTCGTCACAGTAGGAGAGCTCGAAGAAGGCAGCTGACCGCGAACCCGCACACATCGCGGACACTGTCCTAGTAATGCGCGAGCTAGAGCTCAGCGTGGTCCATACAAAGGCGGATTAAAACGTCGACGCGCCGCGCTCCTCCGGGAATCCTGGACGATGCTGAAGCTTGAAGTGTACGAACGATGACGTGACCCGCGACGAGTCGGCTACTAAACGGGCGGATGCGCATGCTTGGCCGCCCTATCTGTGTAGGGCAAGCGAGATAGCCCGACGCGGTATGTTTTAAACATCCGCCGTAAGAGGAGGTGACCAGCGCACCACGAGATACACCGGCAGTTTTCCCGCTGAACGCGGAGCGGGCGATGAGGGAGGACATGATGGCGGTGAGGAAGAGAGAGGGTAATCCCGGCTCGTAGTCACTGCAGCGCTCTAGAATCACGCGCTCGTGATTGGCCTTCGCGCACCCTGCCCGTTTCTCCGTCTACTTATTGTCCCAGCTTGCAGTAATATCCCCCATAGGCCAAAAAACAACAATGTAAAGGAGCCCCCATTGTTGGTCCTCTCTCCACGGCCCTGAGTCTCATGTACCGACTCGCTTCATGAAATTAAATTTGTGACTGGCAGTCTGCATCAGGAAAAAATGACCTGTCTCGGGAGTGCTCCCGAGGCTCGAGAGCAGTTCGAGCACGGCGAGACAAGTCCCCTTCTCTCGAGGCACGCGAGCTTGGCAGGGCGCCTCGCGGGCGCTCGGGAGACACAGCCGCCTTCTCGCCGAGCACTCCGGAGCAGCCTCGAGTTTCGTCTCGAGAGTGCTCGAGAGGCATCTTGGGCATGGGACGCACTCCCGATATTGCTCATATCCTGGGTCTGTTTCTCTCCGCTGCCAGATATGCATCGAAAGAAAATATATTGATCAAGTATATGTAATAATACAGTCCAGCTCTCTATATCTACAATACATGTGTCAACCCACCGTGTCTGCCAACCGACAATGGCGAGGTCATCGAGGCGGACCACGCGGTCCACACCAAGCACCCACTCACCCAGTGGGCGCGCCACGGCGAGTGCATCAAGCTCTGCAGACGAGAGCGGAGAGGCGCGAGACGGTCAATGGTGCTTGGCAATCGGAGTGCCGAGGGAGGGGGCCTTGCTACCACTGCGCTCGAGGGGGAGGAGAATGCGGTCCTGCTGGCGAACTGGGGGCAGAGCCGAGCGTGGAGAGTTATCAGTGGGCACCGTGTGTGCGCAGCAGAAGAGGAAATACTCACAATAAAATGGACAGTATAATGCGCAGGGCAAACCACAAGCACCAGCATCGAAAGACGGGGCTCCAGAAGAGCCAGGTGGAGAGGTGGAGTGACGGAGAGCTTGACGGTCTCGCAACACACATGAAAACTGTCAGGTCTGGGCCTACTGCTTATAAAAGCCTTGACGTACCATCATCCCTATCCAAACATTCCCCACCCAGTGGGCTTCGAGAGCAGTGGTACACCGCGCGCGTACGACTGTAAAGCTATTGCCAAATAGTAGATACAATGAGATCCGGCAGACGGCGCACAGATGGGAAAGGACACACCGTATTCAACGCCTCCTGCGCGGCGAAGATGAGAGACCCAGGAGGCGCGTGAGCCGCTGTGTCCTGCCCGCGCCGGGGACGATCCCGAGCCTGACCTCGGGCGGCCCGATCTTCGTCACGGCGTGTCCTGGGGCGTGGACGGATGAGCGACTGTCCGCAAGCGAAGCCTCGGGAGCACGGGCGTTCACCTGCGATGCGCAAGTCGCACGCGAGCCCGAGCTCGAGGCCGCCGCCGAGCGCGGGGCCGTCGATGGTGGCGAGGGTGGGCATGGGCAGGCCTTCAAGCGTGCCGAGGGCGCGGCGGAGGTCGAGCAGGAACTGGTCGACCTACGCCTTGGACATCGACGCGCGTTCGACGAGGTCCGCGCCGACGCAGAACGCGCCGGGAGTCGACGAACGGACGACGAGGACGCGGGTGCTGGGCGCGCGCGAGGGGCACGGGGAAGGGGAAGACGCAGTTGAAAGCGATGTCTGGAGCCCACACCGGCAGGTGCACGCACCTCTTGTCAGACTGGACCAGTGATCCAAGCACTCCGGGACTCCTACGTGCGCCGCCCTCGAGGGCCGCAGGCGTGAGCGGAGAAGGGTAGTCAGACGATGCGTGTGAACTAAGATGTCAGAAGGCTCACTCACTCACAATCACAGAATGCGGGAGAGTGAGCAAACCGGGCGAGAGATGCACGCACATGGAGTCGACGAAGGAGCAAGATATGGAGACCACTGGAGACCATGGCGCGCTGGCAGAGCGCAACAGGTCCGCGCGCAGGGCGACTGGTCAGTGCGTGGGAAGTAGCTACCATTTTAACACGAGAGTATCGCGCATGATAGTCCCTGAAGGCCTGACTAGTGCGCTGTCTCGACTTTGTTTTTTTGTTTCCCTGCCTCCTCTTTTCGGGTCCTCCTACACCTCCATTTCCGCCTCGTTGAACCCCTTCCAACTGTGCGCTCACATAGACTACCGAGAAGTTCGACGGAACGGCTACCCAAGCCTCGTCGTGCAAAACACCAGGTGCGCCGTCTCGAACTTGCTTCCCTACATCCTCTTTCGCGGCCCCTCACCATTCATTCCTTCCTAGTCGAACACCTCCTGCGCGCCCATGGAGACCTCTCGCGCGAAGCCCTCTCTTAGGCCGTCGGGCCGCGCCGGAACTCAAACAAGAGGCGAACAAGAGTCTGGAGCGCGGCCGCATTCGCACATCGGAGCTCGAGGCGGAGCGCGTCCGCGTTGTCCTCCACCCCGCACGCGTGGAGAACTGTGGCAAGCATGTGCACGAACCCGACCCTTACCCCTCTCCCCGTCCTCGGGAGCCTCGCGCAGCCGGTGGAGGTGCGTTCGGACCGTCAGCACCCGGCGACCACCTGAGGTTCGGCACACGCATTCAGCAATGGGTGGTGGAGAGGAGACTCGGACCGAAGGGCAAGGACACAAGGTAACGTGCATACCTTGCGTTCTTATACTTGTGTAGACCGCGAGGCTCCTTTCACCCACGCCACCCCGGCACATCGAGCACAGGCTGTGGGCATAGATGCCCTAGAATGTGACTTCAACCACCGCGTCGCACGCGCCAGACCATCCACGACGCTTCGGCCTAGCCCTCACGCGGACAGGGCCAGCTTCGCTCCTCCCTCTCACCGTCCGCACGCGGCACAGGTGAGGAAGACCTGGGCGGCGCGGAGCTCTGTGGGGGAGTTTCGAGCAACACAGCGGTCCGCCGGTGCTCCTCGCGCGCGGCGGCAAGCTCCCACTGGTGTGCCTTCGCGCTACGCAAGTTACGCCGAATGTATGTACAATGTACCGAGTTCTTCTGTTAATGTTATATAAGTGGTGCAGCCAATGACTGCATGTTCTACACAAAATTTTTACTGAATTCCTGAGGTATCCCGTCCGCTGAGGGCGTCTCGACTGTCCTCTCGTGGCGTCACTCAGACACGCGAGAGCTCGGTAGGAGCCGGCCGTGACTCTCAAGGTGTAGTGAGCAGCCGCTGCAACTCTGGAGTGCTCGCGAGCTCACCGCGGTGCTCGCCGCTGCTCGGGCGACCTCGATATCATCAGTCATTACGCTCGAGAGCTCGAGCGCTCTCCCGGCCATCACTGGCAACAAGCGTGCGATCTAGTCTCGTTCCCACGACCCTCTGTATCCAGAGGGTCTGGTGCATTTCGTCTCGCTTAGGGGGGTCCGTGACGCGGGTCACCGATTGATGGATTAGTCATGGCTTAGTCATCCCGGTCTGTAACGTAGGACCCGCTGGGCAGCGGTGAATTCCAGTGCTCTCGATATTCACCATGGGCGACAATCGGTCCGCGAAGATAGACGCTGTCGAGAAGCGACACGAAGAGTCTTATGAGCTTCTCAGGCAAGCACGGGCGGCTGCCAAGAAGAAGTCAAAATACAACAGTGCCGACACGCGCAAAAAGATGTACGAGGAGTGCAAGCGCCGGACAGGCTTCGAGCCGAAGAAGGAGCAACTGGACATTGCAGAGTCCATGCTGCTCGGCCTCGACTCAACCGTGATGGCAGGCACTGGATGGGGCAAGACTCTCCCATTCGCCCTCCCACTGTTTGTGCGGCAGCGGAAGATTGTCATCGTGATCTCACCACTGAATGTGCTGGAGGCTGATCAGGTAAGTCATCGGCTACGTGTCAATGCTGGCTTGCTCATGTGGTGCGTGCTAGGCGAAGAAGTTCTCGAGCTGGGGACTGAGGGCGGTTGCTTTAAATAGCGAGTCAAAAGAAGGCATGACGGCCATGCTCGAGGTGTGTGGCAGATGATGATCAGCGCCGGACACGTAACAATTACATCATACATAGGAGGTCAAAAAGAACAAATTCGACATTATTGTCGTTGGCCCAAAGCTCTGTTTGGATCCCGAGGGGGCGTTCAGGCCACTACTCAGCGACCCGAGCTTCTCGAAGAGAATTCTCGCCGTGATCGTGGACGAGGCTCACTGCATCGCGCAGTGGGGTGACAGCTTTCGCCCCGAGTACAGTCAGCTGGAAGCGCTGCGAGGATTCATGGGAATAGACGTACCGGTTCACGCGACCTCGGCCACACTGACCCCCACCTCCCTCGAAAAGACACGAAGAGCCCTCCATATCCGCGAGGACCGGTCATTCCACCTGAACCTTGGCAACGACCGGCCAAACATCGCCTGGGAGGTACGGAAGATGAACGCAGCAAAGAGCGACCTTGAGTCTCTCGACTTCGTGCTCGGGTCAGAGCCCCTTGATGAGGTCGAGCGATTCCGGAGGTCCATCATCTTCTTTGACGACGTCATGTTGTCGCTGCAGGCTGTTCAGCGGCTCCGAGATAAGGTCCCCAAGCACTTGAAATCCCGCATCTGCGCGTACAACTCACAGCGGGGACCAGTCTCGAAGCGGCTTGTCTTCAAGCTCTTTCAGCGAGGGGATATCGACATCTTGATTGCCACCGAAGCTGCGGGAATGGTGAGCAGATGTGTATTGCCATGTGGCATGTTACTGATGTGTTCGAAGGGCTTTGATGCGGCGGATATCTGGCTCGTGATCCAGTTTATGGTCCCGTCATCGCTCGAGGTGTGGCTGCAACGAGCTGGGCGAGCGGGTCGTGGTAAGGATATTTGTGCGCGAGCTATATTGCTAGTCCAGCCGACTGTTTTCCAAGAGAAGGGTAAGATGACACGTCAGCCAGGGGATACTGTGAAGTACATGAAGGAGATCGGAGAAGACTTACGGGACTGGATCACAGCGCCCGAGAGCGAGTGCCGTCGCACGGTCGCGGATCGTGTCTTCAATAACCCTCCCCGAGAAGGTGAGTGTTATGCAACTTTAATATGGGTGGTAAACTTACAGATGGTGCTATCAGTGGCGACCGGTTTGTGCTGCGACCACTGCGAATTGCGGGCGGCGCGTGCGGACGCTGAACAACGACAAAGGGACCTGTCAGTACGAACCTCGGAGAACGAAATACCCGTGGACACTGGCGACGTGTCCCACTCAGCCGACACCACCGATGCACAGGCCATAGCAGTCGAGAGCGCAGGTGAAGTGGCTGCTGAGTTGCGGGACTGGCGTTCAGTCGTGCCCGTTACACGGTCTCCCGAGGATGTCAAGGAAGCCGTGTCTCTCCTGCGCAATTGGCGTACGAGAACATGGCTTTCTGAGCATTCGCTTGCCCGCTTCGGCGAAGCTGGCATCTTCCCTGACGCGATTCTCCAGTCCCTTGCCGCAAGGACGACGTACCTTTCAGTGGACGACCTCGCCTCTCTCGGTTGGAGGTATGCCTCTCGTCACGGTGCCGCTGTTCTCCAGCTCCTCCATGACTTGGATAGACGTCGGGCAGACGATGTTCTTGAAGCTGAAGCGAGGAGGGAGGCAGAGAAGAGGAGGATAGCGGAGGAGAAGGCCGAGGGGGAGAGGAGGAAGGCTGAGGAAAAGGCTGAAAAGGAGGCTGAAAAGGCGCGACTGAAGGCGATCAAGCAGGCCGAGACGGAACTCAAGAAGGCGGAAAAGAAAGCGGAAAAGGCAGCAGAGGCGGCGCGCAAGAAAGCGGAGAAGATGGAGGCGGGGACAGGAGGCAAGTTGGGGAAGAGATCGCGAGGCGCCGACGGCGATAAGGAGAACGATGCGGGGTCAGCGTCTATCTCGCCGTCGAAGCGTGCGCGCGTCGGCGACCTCGCCTCGTCTTCCTCCCTCCCATCTCCTCCTCCGGCCTCTCCTCCTCGTCCTCGCCCGAAACCGAAGCCTAGAGCAAGAAAGAAGACGAACACAGGTCCAACGACCTCCTCTTCCTCCTCTTCTTCCACTACCGTGCCTACACAAGTCTCGCTACCCTCAGCCATCCCATTGCCACTTCCTCACAACCCCGCTCCCCTTTCCCCTCACTCACTACCTCAAACATCCGCCCCTACTCCCAGAGATGCGCCACATACAAGCCTAGGACAGTTTGGGATGAGTCTAGGGCAGTTTGGGATGAGCTTGGGGCACTATGGAATGCGTCGATGAGCATTCTGGTAAGTTTTCACCTGTCTATGCTATTCACCTGTCTACCAGTCCACTTCCCACTCCCCTGAGCGAAAATATGAGAACAGAAGCTCACCATGACTTTATTTTCCAGGTTTTGAGTATGACACGCCCCCCGCCCGCGCGCGCGGCATTTGCGCCCCCCGCCCGTGGCATTCGCGCGCGCGCCCGCGGCATTTGCGTCGGCGGTGCGCCACGCGTTCGCGCCCTCCTCCGACGCCTTCACCTCCGACGCTCGCTGTGCCCCCGCCGGCGTGCGCAGACGGCGTCGACTGTGGCCCGCAACACCGCCCCACACCCACGGCATTCGCGCCCCCGCCCGCGGCATTTGCGTCGGCGGTGCGCCACGCGTTCGCGCCCTCCTCCAACGCCATCACCTCTGACGCTCGCTGTGCTCCCACCGGCGTGTGCGGCGAGCGTCGATTGTGACGCCCCACGCGCACCTCGCGGAGCTTGCGCGAGACTGCTTCGCGCGTGGGACGTCGCACCGCCGCCTCGCCCACCACGAGCTCAGCGGCACCCCCGCGTCCCCCGGAACTGGGCAATGCTCGCCGTGCCCCAGCCGGCGTGCGAAGACGACGCCGACCGTGTCCCGCTACACCTCCTACCCATCGCCCCCTACGCGCGGCATTCGCGCTGGCAGTGCACCCCGCGGTCGCGCCCTCCATCTCCACCTCCACCTCGTCACCCACCTCGCCATCACCCGCGGCCTATGCGCACCTCGCGGAGCTCGCGCGAGCTGCTTCGCGCTTCACCCGCTGTCGTACGCGTACCCGCTTCACCCTCCGCCCGCTGTGGACCCCACCGCCCCTACACTCGTTGTAACCCGTTGGCGTGTGCAGACACGCCCCGCGCGGAGAGCGTCAAGGCGCTGAAGCACATCGTCACGCAGTACACCCAGCCGGGCTAGCAAGTTAACGTGGCGCACCGCACGCCGGACACCTGGCCAACTTGGACGAGGCCGCGGCCTCCGGAGCATGGGTGACCAGCCCGGCCGATGAAGCTGCCCAAGGACATGTACGACGGGTACACAGGCCTCGCAAACTTCGACGGAGTCTGGCCATGCGTTGTGTGCGTGCGCCTCTCCCCCAAGTCCGCCGCCGAGTTTGACTGGGTGCGGGTGGGCACGGTACAGCACGAGAGCTCGAGGAAGGTTTCCGAGAGGTACGTCCTCCGCCATGGCTTCCTTACCCTACGATAGTCATCATGAATCCCTAGTCCATATCCATACTATCCACGTCCTCCGTCGCTGCTGCGTCCGTAGTCTCAACTGCCTTGTCCGCATCCTCCGTCACTGCCGCGTCCGCGTCCACGTCTGCGTCCGCATCCGCATCCTCCGTTGTCGCCACTGCCACCGCTGCTGCCGCCGTGTCCGCAGTCTCCGCCATCATGTCTGCAGTCTCCACCCCATCTGTGTTGTCCATCTCCTCGTCGGAATCCTGTATATCGTCTGCGTAGATCTCTTCGATAGACCGCTCGAGGCTCCGATGAACCCACCATGTCTTGATCGTAGACTCAGTTCCCATTTTGTCGGCCCCACGTGTGACTATGTCTGCCGCAGGATCGTCCTTGCTCTTTCGCTCGGCCTGGTACTTGTGCATGTTTGACCTCAGGTACATATCAAGTACCTTCTTCACATCGGCATCTTTTGAGGGAGTTCCATGTCGTGTTCCTCTCCCGAGAATGGTTGAGAACTGATCTCGGACACTGTCACGGACGGCACGGAGGAGAGGGATTGCGGGGGACACCTTCTGGATGTAGTCAAAGTTTGCACCGGGTCCAAACGACCGCCATGTAACCTTGATGTCCCGTATGTTTTGCTCTTGGCCTAGGTCTACAGGAAGGAAGCCATCTCGCTTTCCCGTCCGATTGATCAGCCAACAGTGTCGGATCATATAGTTCCTGTGTGACCAGTGGTGAGTACGTTTTGACACCTGACAGATATCTGATGACAGACACACTTCCAGGGCTCCGGCCACTCGCAATGAATCTTCTGCAGAAGCTCCAAGATCTCTGCCGCATACTTGTTGTTCCCACCCCCAGAAAAGCGAAAAAGGAGAGTTGGAAGGAGGTCTTGCATCCGTCCCACATCACCGCACCGGATGGCTTCTCGGAGGTCAAAGTAGGGGAGAATGTCGATGCTAAACATCATCATCTGCTCCTTGACGAGATCACGTTGATTATCAGGCTGGTTTCGGGCGAGAATGAGTGCAGTGTATGAGGTGTGCTGGGATAGGATGGTGTCGAGATTATCAAGGATTTGGTGGGGTGACTTCGACTTCAGTTCGTCCAGACTGTCAACCTGACCAACTGTGCACCACAGAGCTAGGAAGTTGGCTTCACCGATATGCCACAGAGCTTCATCGAGATGATGCCAGAAGACCCCCTTTGTTTCCTGCTTGATTAGACCCTTTCGACCGAGGATGTCGAAAGCCTTGCGGAGCCCGATACCTGCTGATGTCCCAAGGTACTGCTTGTGCAGTGAGTTTCCTGTTGCCATGAGAGCGTGAAACCATCCGAACTGGGTTTCAACCCAGTCGAGACGCTCAAAGGAGTTCACGTCATCATGCCGATGGCGTTGAACACCTCGAGTGCGATCTACAGAGAGTTGATCACCAACCCAAGGAATCTTGCGGTTGCGACCCATGTTGCGTCTGTGTTCTTCAGTGAAGACACCAAGCTGTGAAGCGAACTCCTTCTCAAATAGTTGTTTGGTACCATTGTAGCTGGACTCGTCCACTTCCACTGTCTCGAGAAAGTGTTGTTCAATGGCATTTTCATGGCCACAAGCGAGGAGATCGACAGGAGGGGGGTTCATGGTGTTGATGAGGAGGGGATTGGAACGGTGAGGGTAGTCGACGAAGGCAGGAGACTCGAGAAGGAAGCGTAGGATGCGTGATTTGGCCTGTGCGTCGAGGCGCGAAGCAGCCTCAGCAGATATGTCTAAAGCAACCTCGGTCATGTTAAATGGGGTTTTGTAACCCTCTGCTCGCTTCGTCTGGATAAGGCTGTGAAGGTCTGGGGGGAGATGGTCGAATGCTGACTTGGGAAGTACCCAGATAGTGGCTGCGGTGGCGTTGATGAAGTGGTTCTTGTTGGCGAGACGTTGAGAGAAGACGCGCAATGGAATGTTAAGGTTATCGTGGGAGGCGAAGTAAGGCTTGTCGCTGATTGCAGCCATTCGTTCCGCTTTTGCTGCATTTGCTATCTTCATAAACGCGTTGGCGGTCCACTTGTGGCTCATCGTGATACCAAGAGCATGGAGCGCATCAAAAGCCCGAGCGCTGAGGCCGCAGAGCTTCAGATAGACAGACCACCAACGATTGACACGTGAGACATGACTCGAGCGGGAGTATGACATCATGACAATGTTCATGAGCACGACCTGATGAGATGCATGAGAACAGGACCGAGATGGCGCCAACTGATAGTGAAATCGTCACCTGGAATGGATCCTTTACCTTGTTCTCTCGTTGCTGCCTAGGCGTGGATGCGAGGCTCTCGAGGAGACGCCATAGATGTGGAGCACCGTCGCGGGATTTCACATGCTCTCCAATGTCACGGAGGTTGATGTCTGTGAGGTTCTTCTTGGAGAGACCATCAGGGGGTGGGGAGAGGATGGATGAGAGGGAAGTGATTTCCTGACTAAGCAAGGAGGTGGTGGAATCAACGGCAAAAGCCTGGAGAGCGGGTTGATGACCAGCCGCTCTAGTAGGAGGAGACCACCAACGAGACAGGACCGTCGCAAAGGTTGGACTGTTCATGAACTCGCTTCGCTCATAAACCACAGTTGAGTTACTCGTGCAGCCATTATGACCCCAGAAAATGAGATCAAGAAAGAGCTCAAGGTTAAGCCCTTCCTTCTTCATAGCCGCGAAGACGTTGCAGACCTTCATCTCGACATGGGCGTCAGAAGCCGGGAGTGTGTTACGCAGGGACTCGGCCCGGTGGAAAGCAGAGGCAGGGGTGCGGAATGGATATGCGTGGGAGGACGAAGGCGTACTGGGGGACTGCGGAACCATAATCTCTGCTTCAGGGTGAAGCTCACCACCATGCTCCCACCAGAGGTCGAAGTCGGGGTCTTCGACCGCGCGGTAATCTGTGTCTTCGACGTGGGAGACAGGGGGCTGGAAGTCCTCAGAGTCCGAATCCAGCTCTCCAGGGGGGATGTCAGTGTGTTCCTCATCCGCATCTCCTCCGAAGGCGGCCCAGTCTTCTTTCTCCATGGATGCGTGGGCAGAGATTGAGCGAGACATGCAGAATGGCCGGAGAGATTGCGCAGGACACGCGCGCTCGAGCACAGATAGACGCGCAGAGCTCTCGCTCTGGCGCTGCGTCACAGCTGGTCACCCTCATACCGGATCCGGACGTCGGGGAAAATCGGAGTGACGCCAAAAGTCACGGACCGACATCCCGAGCCCGAAGTGCACCAGACGTTCTACAAGCACTCCCAACGCGCGCCTGCCCCGTCCCCGTGAGAAATTTCAACTTTTGCATGGTTCTCATTCAGTCCCGATTCAGTATTCCCTCCATCCTCCATCACGATCCCATTCCCAATTTGGTATACCTCCCACTCCTATTATATAATCACTGCGTAGGGGCAGGCGCGCGTTGGGAGTGCTTGTAGAGCGTCTGGAGCCGAGACTAGCGTGCGATCCCGAGTTCGGGCCGGGGCTCTCGCGCGGTGCGCTTTTTCCTGATGTACGGTCATCCTTGTTCAGACTCCCCACACTCTTCTCGGTGACATCTGCCTCCATGCGCGGATTTCCGCGCGCGTAACCACTGGGATCTCTGGCCGCTCTTCAATGCGCAGATGTCCGCGCGAGTAACAGTTTTGTTGCATGGGCGGACACTGTCTGCGCGTCGAAGGACAGCCGTTGTACGCGCGGATGCCCGCGCGTTGAAGGTCGGTCCTTGCACGTGCGGATTGGCCAGTCCTTGTGCACGCGGATGTCCGCACATGCAACCTTCAGGATCTCTCAATATCCTCCAATATATGCATATATTGGTATTGGTCCATGTACTAATACATGAATACTATACGACCTTGTCGGGGAGAGCACAGATTGTCACGCGTGAGGCGGCGTTCGAACGGGGGGTTTAACACCCAACTGTGTGCAAAATACCGTGCCAAACGGAGGAAGAGCGGGCAAGATGCGAAGGCAGGACCGGACGACGCAGGAGGATGGGAGGAGACAAGTCCGACGTACATAGATTCTGGCACCTACGACGCAATTCTCCGCCGATCTTTACGGCCAAGGGCGCGTTCGAAAGCGTTCCACGACGCGCGTCGAATGATGCCGGCCGCGTCTTCTAAGGTGGCCAGGTGGGCAAGATCGAGCTCCAGGAAAAGGGGAAGGGAGCGCCAGCCGCGGCCGCTCTTGCACAGCGCACAGCGGGCAAATGAGGGCGGCGGGCGAGACAGTGGTGGGCGCGATCAAAAGGAGTCAATAATGGCCATCAACGCCCCAACTTGCAGCGCGATCGGAGCGGAAGTGGTGCGACGGCGCATCGAGTTCATGGCTTGAGGCGGTAGGGAGATGGAAGCGGCTGCCACGGGTGAACGGATGCGCGTCTTGGCGGCGGCAAGGACGCGCTCAATGCGAGATGACGAGAGGAGAAGACCTGCCAGATTGCGTGCGGAACAGTTCGTCTGAGTCGAGGAGGGTGCAGATGGTGTGAAGAGGGGGTGATGTGGCGGCTGTCGCGAACGAAGGGCTGGGCGTACCGGCGCGCGTGAAGGTGCGTCAGAAAGGCCCTGACGATGGCAAGAGAACGAACCCTGCCACGTCGCAAACGGGTTCCGAACCGTTGGGGGACGGGAGCAGCAAGTCGCGATGTACTGAGCGCTCTTCTGTCGCAGAAAAAGATGCGCAGCGGGACGACAGCGTGGCGAATGGTGGGACGGGGTTGTTCATTGGGAGAGGGGGAAATGTACGCACAAAACAAGCCTATACGACCCTCAAACGGGGAGGAACTCGTGGAGGGATGGATTGGTGATCGGTAGAGGGTGACATCTATGTCGAGGGCAGCAGTGATCGCAACGTAGGTCGACGATATCAGCACGCCCCACGACGCGGAGGGACACGTTTGAAAGCCACTGATGACACGCACAGAACGATGCCGGCCGCGCAAGAATCGGCCACAGCGTCGCGGACCAATGGGGTGGGAGATGTCGGGATGGGGAGGAGGGGGACTGCGTCTTCGAGCGCGACATCCCTGGGCGTCAAGCGGCGTAAATCGTTCGTGTGTGGCACTATACAACGGGGGGAACGAGTGTGTTCGAGCGCAACAAGAACGAAGAGCGTACCATAAAAACCAGGGGATATACGTCAAGGTCTTCCATCCCCTAGCCTCCCTGGGCGACTCTTCGGGTGCTCGGACCGCTGGATGGCAAATTCGGTGCGTATCGACCTGTGAGGGGCATCAATAGAAAGGTGGAAGCAAGACGGATCGAACGATACTAAGATCATGGCTAACGGACGGTGGGAAGGGGATGGATGACATGACGAGTGGGTGGGCATGCTTACCTCTGACTGCCCAACTGGATTATGCTCGGGCATCCGCGCGCATTCCCACGTCGTCTCGGCGGCACCTTGCTCCATGCGCGGACGTCCGCGCGCACAGCGTGAAGGCTCTCCTATAGTCTCTCAAAACGCGCGGACACCCGCACATCTAGCATATATGGGCATACCGGTTCGGACTACACACACTCCCTTCTCGGAGACATCTGCCTCCATGCGCGAATGTCCGCGCGTCTTACGCTGAGCCGTACATAGGCACTGAGTGTGCGGACATCCGCGCGTTGAATACTTACTCAGCTTACATCATAAGTCGTTGGGTGTACGGGTGTCCGCGCATTGAACACATAACTGTATATTGTTGGATGCGCGGACATCCGCATATTGAATGCCACTCAGCCGTGAGTCGCTAGGTGCGCGGGTGTCCGCGCGTTGAACAGTCTGCCGGGCTTCATTGTACATGTACAAACATAGTATATGATTTTGTCCTTCTGTTCGCGGACACCCGCGCACTTTGCCAAAAGCCTCTGAGGTTTCTATCCCGAGCCTGTCTTTAACATGGTGTAGTTAGCCGAAACACCCCTTCTATGATTGACAAAACGCGCACTTGGCTTTTCCAATCTGACCCAGCGATTATTGAAAGCAGGGAAACTTCGATGCACTCAAAGCGTGTTGCTTCGTTGACTTCGTCGAATAGAGGGTGTGATTATACGAGCATACCATACTACAAGCACCGTGCCAGCTACACCGATGGTGGTGCCGATGAGGACGACCCAACCCGTCGGATCGCTCCAAACACCATCTCGTCCATGCCGTCGCTCTCCGTCCCAATCTTGCCAGCGCCGATGAACACATGGTCGGGGATCTTCGCGAGCCGGTCGACCTCGGCGCGCATGTACTCGACCATCGTCTCCATCAGCTCCGGGTAGGCGACGTACTTGTACGCGTCCGCGGGTGCAAAGTCGTGCACGCCCGAACCGTCGTCGCGCGCCTCTTCCTCCGCGAGCCCCGCCTTCTCCACCCGGTCGAACTTTTCCATCTCGCCACCCGCGAGGTTGACCGTCCGGCGGAAGTACGGCTGCTCGGACCCGTCCTCGGGGTAGACGATCCCGCGCGCGCCACGCGCGCCCAGCATATTGCGCCAGACGGCGGCGGCGAGCTCGGGGTCGGAGCGGACGAGGCCAAGGTCGAAGGACATGCCCATGCCTGCCCACTGCTCTTTGAAGATCTTCATCTGCCGGGTGACGAGGCCCTCTGGTGCGCGACCACGGGCGAAGGGGAGATCTTGTCGGCGTTGGCGACAGTGTAGAAGTCGGTGCGCGATGTGTATGGGAAGCCGAGATTGGCGGGGGTGAGCCTGCCAGGCTCGAAGGGCTGGAGGACGGCGCGGATGCGGTCCTCGATGTCGAGGAAGAAGTGGTCGATGAGTGCCTGGACGTAGTGGGTGCCATGCGGAGGTGGGAGGGCGCGGAGGCGAACGGTGAGCAGCCAGACGTGAAGGTTCGTGATCGTGAACCAGGACTGGAATGTCGGTGGGAAGCTCATCTCTGTGCGGACGTGTGAGCGGATGGGCGCGTAAGGTAGGTGGCAGCGAGGCGCATACAGCGACCCTGGGGAAGCGCGAGAGAGGAGAGGGGCTTACCATCTTTCCAAAATGCCTGCTCGTCGTCTGCGCGCGGAATGCAGAGGTCGCGGTACATGATGAACGCTCTCCTGCCCGCGTACTGTTTTGCGCTGCCGTAGCCCATGAGGCCGAGGACGCGGAAAAAGACCTCCTGCGCGCCGGGGTTGTTGCGAATATAACGGGTGAGCCAGGTTTCTGGCGGTGACGCAACCTCCGGGGTGCTACGCCTTTCTGTGCGTTTGTCTGCCGATGAAGGGGCTCTGATGACGGCGGTGGTGGCTGGGTAGCCAAAGCGCGAGTTCGAGCAAAACTTGCGGGTGTTCGTGGAGTCCGCACAGCACGAGAAAGGGCTGTACGGGGAAG